AACTGTTAAAGTTTTGGAAACAAAAAAAAAAATCCTTAGGAAAATTACCTAAAACAATTATTGTTCAGATTTTTTTTAATTCATAATCATTCACGTAGCTAGGAGGAGAAGGGGCTACGGACAACTCTAGAAAGTTAGTTGACCGGCTAATTGGTTGTTCAACTTAGCTACGCCATTGATTATGATATTGATCGATAGTGACAATATAAAGCATTTGTACATGTTTTTTTTTGTAGTACATAAGATTTGCCATAAACAATATTCCCATCTAGTCTCAAATTTTGTTCGCGCTGCAACTATTTTCATTTCACTGGACCATAGTTTCTTAACCTTATTTTGCCATCCCCCCTCTTTGCCCATACGTATTTTTCTAGTTATCGCCATGTTAATCTTACTTATCTGCCTTTTTTAACTATATTTTTTAATCTACCCACGCCCCCTCTGCGTATTCTTAATAATGAATGATCTCATCTATCACTCCTTAATTTTTCCTAAGTCTTCTATTGCCCTTTAATTTAATGTTGATGTATTCCTTTTTTTTAATTCGATCGAATTAGCAATGAGGAGGTCCTGTTTTAAGTCCGGTTAAGGAAAAAAGACAAATTATTAGAACTATTGAGGACAGAAGGAAAAAAATGTTGGGACACTTGATACGACATGACGAAGTTAAGAACATTATAATAGAAGGTAAGATAGAAAGAAGGAGGGGAAGAGGGAGACCGAGACAAAGTTACATCAGGCAGATCAAGGCAGGAGTTGGTGTCGTGTCGTATCAAGAGGTGAAGAGACTCGCTGAAAATCGTAGTGAGTGGCAAGAGTTCCACCGACAAGAGCGTAGCTCTTAAATAGATAGATAGATAGTATCCCTTTTATTGCGGTGTCAGATTGTGAATGTGTTTGTGTTGGTTGTAAAAGTTGAAATTTTACACACATACGTTATGTAGCTCTTACTAAGTAAGTCCAAAGTAACTTTTTATTTTTATCATCGCGAAAGGGTGAGACCCTCTCTAGTGCTGTCTATACCCCCTCTGTTAGTGTATATTCACAGCGCAGGCGGGCTTACTTTTTTATTCTCATACCCTCTCTGTAATAACGTACTCTTTTGAAAAAAGCACAAATCTATATGTGTTTTTTTGGCCATAGAACACGGCGTCCATAGTCTTGTAATTGAACCGCTTAAATAACTCTTCTGCAAAAATCAACTTATTCATTTATGGTAACACATAGAAAATATTATACGTACTGGCAAGTAATTGAAAATAGTTGAGACACAAAATTACATAAACTGATTAGGATTATTCCTAGTTTAAATAGTCCAGTTTAAATAGTGATGTTCACAATACAAGTGATTAATGGAAACTAATTTCATACTTTAATGGTGTATTCATGTCACTTGAAGTAAATCAAGTAGACTATAAAAATTTAAAATTTTTATCACCAACGTTTCCTATGGCACGAATCTCAAATTTATTCTAAAGACAAATACAGCGCTAAACAACTTTTTAATCACTTTATTTACATCAGTTTAAAATTAATGCTTACTTCATTGCTTTCTTTTCGTCATAATTTAGCACTTTCAAGTTTTCAAGTTGCAACTTATCACAAACTAAGTAAATATAAAGCCAATTAAATTAAAACATGTCGTTTGCAATAGGAGGCGTCATATGTAGAATGAAATAAGAGAATTTAGAAATATTAGGAACTTATTTATGGAAATGAAAACACTTAAATCTATTTTAAGACTTCACACAAAATTGATTCTTATAAAAGTTCATAAAGACTATTATAACTCAATAAGTCTTGTAATCTAATCGATAAATTAAATGACGCCGCATATTGCCAACATTATAAATAATAAAATAATGATTAACGCCAGTCTTACTAACATTGGGGTGGGGTTCTCTGTTAAATAGTGGGGCAAGATATGTATCGTGATATATTTGTATGGTAAGTTATAGTTACAACATGAATGGATATTAGCAAGAACCCCTAGGTGAAAATAATACGACTTAATTGTAAATCTGGCAGAATTAATAAATAATTATACATGCTCAGCTTAATAATTACGTCAGTCAGCTTACCCTTGACTTGTGCCACAAATAAAAAAAAAAAACCCAATAGTTCTGTTGCGATATTTGTAACAGATAGCACTCGGGAGTATATAAGAACTGCAAGACAAAATAAATGGTAGTAAAGTGCGAGTGTTATTCGATAGGGGATTCCCCTTTAGATACCGCAAAATTCGCATTTACAATCTCGCTTTTGCGGTATTGAAAAATAGAGAAAAATTTCGCTGAAACGCGGTAAAAATATTACAGTATTGCCTCTGAACAGGCATATCTTTCCAAGACTGGAAGCAAACACTAAATAATGTTAATAAGGAAACCAACCTAAATTCAGTAACCCTATTCAATTAAGAAATAATTATTCAAAGCTGTGTACATAGGCATTGAACTTCTCTTTTGAAGTTGGTTAATAAAAACAATAAAAAAGATTGTGTGCGAATAGAGGTGGACCTCTTTGTAGATATTTGGAGCCTTAGGGCTTATGCTGGCCAAGGAAGTACATTGTTACTACATGCATACGCCGACAGCGTAACATAAAAAAATCTTCATACATACTAAAAGTATACGACACATTGTCAGGTGCATCATACATCTCTCATTCATTAATTAAATTCCCAAGGAGGGTTGACGTCAGACAGGCGGCCTGTCGTAAAACTAAATGCCAAACCTTGGGTATTATCTATAAAAATATGTTACGCCGACCCCAAAATTTATATACTTGGAATAAGGGTAGGAAGATTTTTCATTCATCAATTTAAATTTGAAAAATTGTTAAATATTATTATATCAATAATTAGGTAGGTATTTATACTAAAAGATAACATAAAAAACATGATCACGACTGTGATCATAGGTGGGGTAGTTAGTAGCTTTATACGTTTGTCACAGTTTTGTTAAATGTTACATACAGTAAACATTATAAACAACGCTGGTTTACTTAAATACCGAAAAAGTAGGTTGAATTACATATAAATTTATAAACAAACTTTGTCAAGACTATTACATATATGCATTATTATTATACTGAAATAAAATCAAAAATTATACATTATAATCTAATACATGTTTCATTTATCAATTCCATGATCTATATAACTCTTTTGTAATTATGTTAACATTATATGTATTATATTACAATAAAGTATCGCAAATTACATAGCAATTATGGTAAGTATATAAAAATATAAATTAATATAATTATTATAAAAAAGTCAAAATTAATCTGATTTAATTGTTAATATGATTTTCTTACTAATTTGATTATAAAAACTCATTGCATATAAAAATTCTTTTGAATTTATGTCGTACAACACTTGGGTAAAATAGTGATGTACCTATTATTCAGTTTTGTTAAGTCGATATTTACAACTTTTTTTTATTAAATTTCCCTCAATTCTCTTCACATCTCAAAATGGATCAGTTTTCTAATTGAACTAATACCAAATATCTATCAGAGATTTATTGATCTTTGTTGCTAAGTTAAAATATAGCAGTCAATTCATAGCAGACATTATCGCCTTGATAAATTCATCATTATAAAACAAATATAAATGTTTAACACCACCTCTCAAATTCGTTTCATTTAATGCAATAAATTGTTTTAATTTTCAGATTCTTTTGAATTGCTTGAGATCTATAATAAACTTATATATGCTTAATTGTATATAAATGAAATTGCATTTTTTTTAACTTATAAATTATAAATACAAACGTTACAAAAAGCGAAAATCTATTAATCAATCGAATAAAAAGATCGATTTGAATAAAATCGGAAGCAATCGAAATTTCACATACAATTACGTATAAAAATAATATTTAATTACAAATAACAATTTCATAGATTTTCTTTTCTACAAATGCCTTTAGAAGACTTCTACTACACGTCAAATGATATCACCGAAGAGCAAAAGTCAACTATTGGGTTTTTCTGAGACTGGAAAAGGACGGATAGTATTTTACAGTGACGATTATAATGAAAGTTCACGTTGATCAGCTATTTAACACGATTGTGGCTCAACACTAATATTTTATATATTTATTTGCGTGAAAATTCTCAAACTGTACTATGCCCATCTTATTATTCCTCGATGACAGTTCAACAGATAAATTAGTGATGTTCAAACGATTGTTTCGATTCAATGTTTTATCGATAATCGATATACATAAATCGATACTTGACCAGAGTGGTAGTGATACGCATTACCATCAATATATATCCATGTTTCTTATTTCGATTAGTGACCTGAATTATTATAGGATTTATCAGTCATATTGAACATCGACCATTTAAGATATAGAATTTAGAAATGTCACTATCTATATTCGCAACAATGATATCTGTTATATATTGATGTCGATTATGAAGTGGCATTTCTTTAAACCTATCTCTATTTATTTATTTATTTAAATTGTGATACATAGGTAACAATGGATGGTAAAATAAGATGTCTATGATCTGAAATAAGTCCTCTATGATATACCCCATATATCGAGGAATACAAATTTGCAATTTATATAAGAAAAAACAAATTATATAAAAAAAAAAAACACTATGATATATCTCTCTGATTAAAATTTTCATTTAATATCACTAATAGCGAAATCTTTATTCTTAAGTTAAAAGACAGATAAATTAAATTTCTATTATATTTAAGTCAAAATTATTAAAAATTTTGTTTATGATGGATTCAAAAATAATAATATCGCAAAACTTTAAATAATAGGTTAAGAGACAAGTTTAAAGAAATAGGGAACTTGATAGCAGTTCAACCGTGAAAAAGAAAATAATAAGATGGACGACGTATTAGTAACTAACATTTCATAAATGTATCTAAAACTCTCTATAGTTTATAACTTAATCATGTTAAAAAAAAGCCATACTGTTCAATTGATAACAATATTTTTAACATGTAAAAAAATTAAGAAAAAAGTTTTAGTCTACTGGATTATTAGCCTGGGATCGTTTTTAGTTGTGTTTTTTAAAACACATACAACTGGTGAACTCAAGATAGACAGTGCAATGTAATAAGTGAATGTTGTGTATATTTAGGAAAATATAAACACACTTTCAATTTTCTGAGAATTAGAAAAATAAAAAGCGGTTTTTCGTAGGCGAAGGTTACCTATTTAAATATAAAGATGTGATAAACGTTGAATGAATGATGAAAACAAAAATGGTTTAAGTCTCAGGATTACACAATTACCATATTTCATTGCACTAATCAATTTGTTTAGACAAAATCAAAGCCTGGGGGAGGCCTATGTTCAGCTGTGGACAGTTCACGACTGATACAATACAAAGGCTTAAATTATGTTACGAAATATATATATTCATCTTGTCTAAATCTTGAAATCTATATAAACAAGTCAAAGGATCCATGTCCCGCCCAGGTGTGACATAACTGTGTCGAGGAAGCCCACATTTTGTGTGCATTTCATGAAATGACCGTCGTGTTTATTTTGTGAAGTTTAGTGATAATTACAAATATAGATGTCAATAGATGTCGCTACTTGTTTTGCTCGACAATTGGTTGTAAGTATGCTCAAAAGAGTTTAATTGGACTCGTTAATTTTTATATTAAAAAAATGTCTAGGTTTTGCAAAATCTATTATATATAAACTATACTACAGGTGGCATATTCGAAAATACTGAAAGTAATTAATAGCTATCAATAAATAGCTCTTATAAGACAAAAAGTATAAATAACATGGCGTGTTTAGTCTCATAAAATTCTCATCTATTGTCATCTATATTTGTGATATATATGTAGGTGTTGGCTTACAGCAGTATGAGGGGGAGGTGGTGGTGGTGGTGGTGGTGGCGGCGGGCGCGGCGCGGCGGTCAGCAGGCGCGCGGCGGCGCCAGGTGGTGTATGAGCAGCGGCGCGGTGTCGGCGGCGGCGGCGGCGGCGGCGGCGGCGGCGCCGGCGGCGGGCGCGGCGGCGGCGGGCCGCTGCGCCGTCACCCGTTCCAGCACGCACGACGCCGACAGCCGCGCCTCCGCGTCGTGGTCCCAGCACTCCTCCATCGTATCGCACACCACCGACAGGCCCTGTCGCCATAAACAAACGGCAAATTTTTATATACATACTTTTTTAATACATAGGGGCTACGCTAGCATGCGGCTCATAATATACATACTTTTTTAATACTTAGGGGCTACGCTAGCATGCGGCTCATATTACTGCGCCAAAAGACGACTTCGTGAAAACCTCTGTCATTTAGACAAGATGTTTAGCAGAATCCTACATGAAGTTGTAAATATTCGAATTCAGAACGCGGAAACGCATGTGTATGTGTAAATTTTTCATAGCGACTAATAGTTTTTTGCTCTGTAAAAAATAGCAATTACAATCGCCACAATATTACATGTGAATAAATTTCATTATATAAACAATATTCTTTTGGAAGTCACTTAAAAAGAAATAAACAACGTCACTGGTAAATTCCAATACTTGTTTTGATAAATTCTAATATATATTGTTGATTTTATTACTTTTTTCACTGTTTCCATTTTATATTCCTTTTTATATTAATACCCGCCCACTATGTACTTTTTATTACAACACATTTGTGATTTGTTAATCTTTGTCGGGTGCCCACGATACAGGTTTGCCTAGTGTGGAGCTCATTGTATCTTGTTTTTGTAACTTTATGTTGTCAAATAAAATAAAAAAAAAACTGGTCATAAGCGTACATATATAGAGGGGGGAGGGGGTATCCGTACCCACTTCAGAATCATCTGGCGCCCACCCAACATTGCTTGCAAGATGCAAGCAAAGTTTTGCAATAATATGCTTGATTATGCATCTTTTTAAGGGGCCAGTCCCCCCCCCCCCCATCTCTGGAAGCTAATCTTAAACACGCCAATATCACTGGTGCTAACAGGGTGGTCTCGCCAGACGGCCGGTATGAGCGGCCGCAGCTTCCTCTGCACCACCGCTTCCTGCATTTCCTCGAGGCTGGGATGCGAACCGACTTCCTCTTCGAGCGGCAACCGGTACTGCGCCGTCGGCTCCGCGCCCACGTCGGTACATCTGTATATAACAGAATAAATGATATACAAACTTGGTTTTAACAACAAGATTTTGACGTTGACGACAAGGTTCTGGTGTGACGATTCGTTTTGCATAAATAGCAGATTTGTTTTTAATTAACCCTTTGAGTGCCGACGAGCGCCATCGCGCACGTGCGCATTGCTACTAAAAGTGTCACGAGCGTCATAGCGCTCGTGAAATCAGTCGCTGTTTAGTTTGCTGTAAAAAAAAATAATATTAAAATTGGATAATTTTTGAAGGAGATACAGTTTTTTTAGAGACAATGGTAAATGACATCAACACTACAAAGATTTCTTTGGCATTTTTAAGTAGATATGAGTAAAAATCAACGGCACTAAAAGGGTTAATGATAATGGAATTGTAACCCCGCCTGTTCTATAGATATACTTGTCATCAGCAAAGGATATTTTTTTTATGGATGATAGATAATGGTATGGTAACCTAACGGTATACGCTGGCGGGGCACCAGTGACTGATGATAAGTTAGCCCATCGTGATGAATAAACCTGGGATTCATCACGATGATTTCCAGGGGGGACCATGTCGACCTGACAGGGTGTATCGCTAGCAATGGGACTAGTAGTCCGTATTACTAACAATCCCTTCCCCCCTGACAAAGGAGGTTAAGCCAGGATAGAAACAGGTCACTTGGCTTATTGTGACCAATTCAACAATAAATAACAACAGTGGTTTCTATGGTGAATCGCGTGGAAACTAAACACCAGGGGGGGGGGGGTAATGTTAGTAAAAACTCGTAGAGGTTGGCAACCGCAGTTAGGCTTTGTTAATGTTTTACAAGGGACGCTTCTGCCCATCTCTCGACCATTATGTTCCCTTAATTGCTTTTAATGACACCCTCGCGAAAGGAAGGGGTGTTTAAGGAATGATAATGGAATGGTAGCCCCACCCGCGCTATCGGTTTACACCGGCGGGGCACCAGTGAAGGATGATAGGTGAGGATAAAGTGGGCCAGTTAGCCCATCGTGACGAATTCAACAAGAATTGTTCACGATGGTTTCCAGGGGAAACCAATTGGAGGTCGATCCAATAAGGCATATTGCTAGCAATGGGGCTGTCAAACGCCATTGCTAACAATCCCTTTCCCCCCGAAAAGAAGGGGTGACTCATTCCATGCCGCCATGTCTTCGCAATAATGTTTATTTTGTACTCTTTAAATAATAATTTATCTTTGCATGAATTCTGAATTTATCATTTTATACTGCGTGTATTTACTAATTACTTAGTGATAAAAAAAATGCGTAAGTTATGTCAACAAGAAAGGTAACGCCCATGACTCTTGGATTTGATAAATGCTTTGATAGTTTGGAATAATCGAAACAGGCTTATCATTGCAGTTGTATAAAAAAAAAAAAAAATTACCAACTGAAACTGTACCTAAACTGAGGCTGGCCATTTAGAATCGAAAAAATTTAGAACACGGAAATATAAACTTAATAATTTTGCAAACGTTGTATTGATATTGTCCTTTACCGCTAGTAATAGTTTTTTTTTTAATTAAATCATAAAAATTATTTTTATTATTAATTTATTTAACTTTTTATTGCACCATAAATAAAAATATACAATGATAAGTGAATAATTCAAGTGAAATACAGTAACAAAATACAGATTATAATATACACATAAAGGCACAAAAGGCGGTCTTATCGCTAGGGCAATCACTTACAGACAACCTTTAAAAAAATATTTAAAAATTATCCTATCTATCTATTTATTTTTACTAGCTTTTACCCGCGACTTCGTTCGCATAACCGCGTTATACTGAGCGAAATAAAGCCGCCTATATCCTTCTACATACCATATAGTACGTGTATATCAAATTTCATAGATTGATTAAGCTGTTAAAGCGTTATAAGGTAACATACAAACAAATTCACTGTCACATCATCACGTCGATCTGGTTGGGTATATGGTATCTGCGCTAATGGTATACGCTGTCGGGGCACCAGTGAGGGATGATAGGTGAGAATGAAAAAAGCAGGTCAGTTAGACCATCGTGATGAATACACTTGGAAGCACGATGGTTTCCAGGGGGACCATGAGGTGGTCGACCTGGTTAGGTATAATGCTAGCAATAGGACCCTTAGTCTCCATTATTAACAATCCCTTCCCCCCCCCCCCGTACATACTATACTTATTAAACAAGTACAATATAATACTTGTTTGCACATATATACCTACTGCAAATAAAAAGCTGATTTCATGTTATTATGTAGCGCAAATATTTTGCCGCGTGTAAGCTGTAATACGAGCCGGCGTTGTTATTGTAACACATGTTGAGTGTTACCATTATGAGAGCTGCTTGATTTGCGCACGAGTCATTTTTATAATAAATAAACTAACTTTTAGCGGCGACTCCGTCCGCGTGACAGGATATATATATATATATATATATATATATATATATATATATATATATATATATATATATATATATAACAATATATATATATATATATATATTTTTTTAATCAATGATAATGGAATGGTAACCTCGCTTATATATAGATGTATAAGCGAAGTTACTATCTTATATATAAAATTCTTGTGTCACGGTGTTTGTTACCAAACTTTTGTGCTTATTGGGTAGATCTGAGAATCAGCCAACATCTATTTTTCATACCCGTCAATGATAAGGGTGACCCACCCCAAAATATATTTTTTTTTTTATTTTTTTTTTTATTTTAATTTAGCATTGAAAAATACATACAACTTTAAATTTTCATCGTTTTATGATCAACCCCTGTATTTTAATTGCGATTTTTATATTTCGCTATAAGTGGTAAAACAACGTTTACGGGGTCAGCTAGTATGCTATATATTACTCATTCGTGCAATGATAATATAATTTTATATATTACTAGCTTTTACTCGCGACTTCTCCGCTTGACTGAAATATATAATTTTTTTTTTATACAACTTAGAATGGCAAAAAAGCTGACGGCCCACCTGATGGAAAGTGGTAATAGTCGCCTATACACATAAGCAGTACCATGGACATAACAGAGTATACTGTTTCGTCCATGATACCCCCCATGCGTTGTCATTCCTGAGGACTCAGGTATTATTCTTCCGCACCCAGTAAATTCACGCCATATCCCTATCAAACCGAAACACAACTGCTTCACGGTAGAAACACGAAATGGGACAGAGGTACCCAAGCAATCAACTTTTTTACAAAGTCTCCCTGATTATTATCCAAGAATATTGATATTATCCAAGATAAAAAAAGTGTGCCATACTGTTTAGAACTCATAAATAGAAGGATTATACTATAGTTTTTATGGTTGGTGCCATGGGCAGTACAGCATATTATTCTTCTGTGATATTTAAGATGCACAATTTGATAGCTGCATGAGCAATCAGTCTGAATGCCATTTATCGTAAATAAAATATAATATAGACTCACCTGGACGCTATTTCCCATAACACCAGAGCGCACGCGTACATGTCTATCCTAAGGAAGGCGTCCTTAGTGAAGTTGATGGCGCCGTCCAACACTTCTGGCGCCATGTACCGCCTCGTGCCGACCTGACCGTGAGCGTCCCCGCAGCCGCGTCCCGCCGCGAACACCAGCGCCAGCCCGAAGTCCGCGATGCAAGCGCTCATGTCCGCTTTCAGGAGTACATTCTTGGACTTGAAGTCTCTGTGCGCGACGGCCGGCTTCCCGCCAACTTCCTCGTGTAAGTGCGCCAGGCCGCGCGCCACGCAGACCGCCACGCGCCACGCCTCCGCCCACGTCAGGGTGTTGGCTTTCAAGTAGTCACAGAGAGAGCCCTACAATAAATATTTAATTGTACTAATAATAAACATAAAATTTTGTATAAATGTTGGTTAATGGAATTACGTTTAAATGGTTAATTTGATCAGTTTTTTGATTTGATTTCGCAGTCACTCTATGTTCACGTCCAATTTAAAAAGTTGATGTTTTTTACCATTATATTTTATTTAGTTATAATTTATGTTCACGTCCAAATTTAAAAGTTGATGTTTTTTACCATTATATTTTATTTATTTATAATTTATGTTCATGTCCAAATTAAAAAGTTGATGTTTTTTACCATTATATTTTACTTATTTATAATTTATGTTCATGTCCAAATTAAAAAGTTGATGTTTTTTACCATTATATTTTACTTATTTATAATTTATGTTCATGTCCAAATTAAAAAGTTGATGTTTTTTACCATTATATTTTACTTATTTATAATTTATGTTCATGTCCAAATTAAAAAGTTGATGTTTTTTACCATTATGTTTTATTTATTTATAATTTATGTTCTTGTCCAAATTTAAAAGTCGATGTTTTTTATCACTATATTTTATTTATTTATAATTTAACTTAAATTCAATTAAAATAATTTAATTACAATTTCCATAATTTGGATTGTTAATATATTTATATTTTAGGATTTACTTTTCATGAACACAGAGTGCTTTTTAGCTTAAGCACGCGATTATCTATATCTATACTTATATAATAAAGAGAAAAAAGAATCGATTATTTAGTGTGATTATGTTTTAAGTAAATGGATCCATTATTAATATAGGTTCATAATACTTTAATATATACATACATTAGAGCAGGCTCTAATTCAGTCACTCTCAAGCATAGATCAGATACCACAGAGCAAGTAAATCATTCAGAAACACATTACAACAGATTATTTCTTTGTAATGGATAAAATTGAAAACTAATTAACCAAATCTTTAATTTCTTTTTAATCTAGAGTAATCTACATTATCAGCGAGTAACATAGGATTTATATTATTATCTATCTACCTGTGCGAAGCCAGGGTCGGTCGCTAGTATTAAATACATAGGTTACAGAGTACGGTGGCTAGTTTGTACAATTGTGTAATGTACGCAATTCACTGTGCTCTTATTGCATGACAACGCGGCGCCGCGCGGCTCCGTGACTTTTGCCTTATATGTATTGAGCAGTACTTACTTATTTGTGCATTGAATATTAAAAATATAGGATAAATATTGAGCTTTATTATTATACAGCAAGATTGTAATCTCAGATAGACTAGTCAGAGCTCTATTAAAGACTGCTTCTTTGGTGCGATCATTAATGTAAAAAAAAAAAAAAAATTGCTGACTAGGCATAGATAATATCGGTATCGCTACGATATCTATTTATTGGATTTCGCTGGACATTAATAGCAGAAAATAGGTCATATTCCATTTCTATATCCCTCATTACAGTCGGTTATTTATATTAGTTTCGATTAGGTTCTTAATTCTAGTACTATATATCGGATATTCATATTATTACATATAAAGCATATCCGTTATTAGGCCATTATATTGATATTGTAACAATGATATAACTATATATAGATATATATATATATATATATATATATATATATATATATATATATATATATATATATATATATATATATATATATATATATATATTAATCATTGGAACATTGATAATCTATACTTATAATAAATCTGTAGAGAGGTCAATTCTGTACATGAAATATATTTCCAAAGTAACTATAGGGGTGATTAGTGATCGATATTGATGCTAAAAATGCAATCGGTAAAATTTTTGTATGTCTGTCTGTATGTTCGTTATAAAAACAAAAACTACTCGACGGATTTTAACGAAACTTGGTACAATTATTCTCCATACTCCTGGGCAAGTTATAGTATACTTTTCATTACGCTACGATCAATAGGAGCAGAGCAGTAAAAAGAAATGTTGGGAAAACGAGAGAAGTTACTCCCATTTATAAGCTTCCGTCGCGTGTGCACCCTAATGGCCACTTTTTAAAATTATATTTTAAATGTCCACCCGTGCGACGTCGGGACGGGCCGATAGTAAGATAATAAGACACTAGCTTTTACCCGTGATTTTGTCCGTATGACCGGAATAAAAAGTAATCTATATCCTTCTCTATCCAATATAGTAAGTGTATACTAAATTTAGTTTAGTTATAGTGATTAGTTAAGGCGCTATGATGTAACAAACAAACAAACTCACTTTCATATTTATAAAGTTAGTAAGGATTGCGTTCCTTTAACTGGTTATTACGAAAAATGTACATAACATACCTTCTCATGGTAAGCAGTGATGAGCCTATACTCCGCTTGCAAATTATCTCCTTTCTTATCAACCCCAATAAAATGCAATATGTCTGGGTGGTCCATCCTTGGGAGCCTGTATATTTCCTGTTCAGCCATCCAGGACTGTTTGTCTTGCAGTGGAAACACCTTGACTGCTACATCCATCTGTCCATATTTTGCGCGCCAAACGGCCCCAAATCTTCCCCGAGCTCTAACTTCGCATAAAGTTATTTGGCCCACCAAGCCGAGCCCCTCATTTTCCATACCAGCGGTAGCAGATGGTGGCCGCGAGAGAGACGGTTCTCCACTAGCGAGTTCAGCAAACGAACTACCCTTGCGTCTTCTGTATAAGAAGTAACATGCGAGAAGAATTGCAAACAGCAGAAACAATGGAGTCAATGTGTAAGCGATGACTGCTTTGGTATCATCATCGGAAGTGGGCACAGGAGATGCTGGGATAATCTCTACAGGTGCATCAGTCTGAGCTAGTACAACTTCCAAGCCTGGGAACGTCACATTCTGATTGCACATATCACCTTCGCAGCAACAATGCAGTAATGGCAGCTTAATATTATGCAATCGACAATTAAACGCCCTGTCTGTACATGAAACAGTATCGAGGAAGCATCCCTTAACCTTTGGATATGCAGTGTTCGTGACATTATCAAACTGCCACAGTACGAAGCAGTGACTGCTTTTATCAGTCGTTTCAGTTGGTAGGCATTCTTCTTTCTCCGGTGTCTGAATGCAGCTCGTGCTGTTGTTGGGGTCGCAAGGTTTTGAATCATTGTAAAATGCGCAGTAACGCGTAGTTACACCGCCCTCTCGCGGTCTCGGTGGTAGATTTTCATCGTTCGGTGGTGCAGCAAATGTTGTACCTTAAATAGGAAACAATAATATTGACTATTGTATAAAGTTACGCATCATGTTGAATTAATTTTGTGCAGCTGTTTATAATCTGTAAAATAGTAGATGAATCATAGGCATTTTGTGTAATCAGTACAAAACGTGTTTTGAATAATTAATTACATACTAATTGTTAATGTTACATTATAATTAGTATCTATAAATATAACAAAAAAATATAACAATTATATTTTGTGTACATTAAATAGATAACAAAATTATGTGCAATATATTAACAATATCTGATGTTTTGTATTGCAAGTTCAGAATAATAATAATGTTTCTCTATAAAATAATAATTATAGGTACTTATGGTTAATGGATGATAATGTAACCCCACCTGAGTATACGCTGGCAGGTTACTAGTAAGGGATAATAGGTGAGAATGAAGTCAGGTCAGTTAGTCTATGAATCATGTCATGATGAATACACCTGGAATTCATCACAATGGCTAATAGATTTTTTTTGATGGGCGAAAATGGTATGTTAACCCCGCCTGCGCTAATGGAATACGCTGGCGAAGCACCAGTGAAAGGTGATAGATGAAAAAGAAAACAGGCCAGTTAGCCCATCATGATAAATTCATCAGGAATTAACCATGATAGTTTACAGGGAGAACTGCGAGGAGGTCGACCTGGTCAGGTATATTGCTAGCAATGGGATTTTCAGTCTCCATTACTAACAATCCCTTTCCCCGTTGGCTAATAGATTTAATGTTTATAATAAACATAACAGCCTTTATTATGATACTTTTTTTACTATAGTGTAACATGTGACCACACCATCCTGGGTAAACACTATGGTCCATGAATATGATCAAATACATAAATATTTACTATTACACTATTAGATTACTGTGGTGTCTGTTTGCTAATGTGCAAGGAGAACTTGTTTGCTAATAAGGTAATTATTATTACAAGGTAATTTTTTTTGCTGACAAGCAGCTTTTGTTGTGTAGAATAATAAATAATAAATTTATTTGCTTCAAATAGTGTCAGTGTCAGTGGTTTTAGGTTAAATAAAGTTTCTTAATTCTATTTAGCTATTACAAAATAGCATGCAAATGTCACATTTTGTTAGGAACTGATTAATTGATGCATCGACAACACCAACTATACTAGATATTTATCTATCTTTTTTAAATATTTGTCTACCAGGTAATAAATTTTATTAAATAGCCATTTACGTAATTTAATTTTAAATTTATTTATTAGAAGTTCTTTTATATCTCATAGGAATATTATAAAAAAAAGTAACTTTGATCATAACTACATTAATAGTAAATTGTAATATGTGGTCCTACTTTGAACCTAAATTTTCACCTGTTACTTCATATGCATGGATTTGAGAAGTAGGAAAATCAATGAAACAGACTATTTCTAGATATTGAAACAAGATAAAACATATATCAGGTTATAAGTGAGATCTGGATTAAGGGGACTATAGGGGGATATATATATAGACTATATAAGGGGGATAATAAAAATTGTGTCTCATTTGGTGCAGTAGTTTTTGTATGATGCTGGAAGAAACATATAGATTGATAGACAATTTTTTGCCTACCCTAATGGGAGACAGGCCTAATCGATATGTATAATTTATATTTTTTTTAAGAATTAACATTTTGGCTTCTATTGCTCTCGTATTGATATTTAAATTTAAGAAAATCCAATTACTTATGTGGTTAAATTTTTATTCTAATATTAAGATGAATAAAGTACACTGATAGAAATATTATATATAGTTTCTTTATATATTTAGTTGCTGTATTATTAATTTATACAATAGGACAATAGTTTTATCTTTTTAGGTACTGTATTCATATTCATAAACTCAACATTTTAACTGTGTCATTGATAATATAAGAAAAATTATACAGTGTGGAAAACTGAGAGTAACTGGCAGTCGTGGTACAGATTACCTATAGAAAAACAGAAAAGTGATGTCTATAGTAAGCATAAATTTAATAGATGATTCCACTATGTATCATGGTATAATTACTAGAAGTCTTACACCTCTTCTGTTTAGTTATCAACTAATTGGATAATTTGTACATAAAAAAACTATTTGAGAATCAAAGTTAATTAATATTTATGAAAGAAAATGATTAAAATAACAATAACGCAGGTGAGTTTCTTTAATGCACATAAATGTTTATCTGGCCAATAATTAAATATGTACAGGATGAAATATATACATTTTTGGTACTATTTAATCATAAAACCTGATTATTATTATGATTAACAATAAATAGTGTTTGTAATTAACATAATTATTTCTTTCACAAGATAAAATAACAATATTAGAAAATATAAAAAATTTATAATGTTTGTTCAATTCATAATTTTTATTAATTATAGCCCTAAGTAATCTATACACCATGTATTTATACATAATACCTAAATTTAAATAAATCTAAGGGCTACTTATAAAAGGATTTGGTGCTAAGTAAGGCAAGTTTAACAGGGCACAACAAGTCATCATGAATGTACTCACCAAGAACAAATAGCACAATATGCAAAACCATTTTTTGGGCCATCATCAGAGCCATGGCGCAGGCGGGATTAGACCTTCTAACCCGTCGCGACAAACCAATGTTATTTTTAAACCCGGTCCCGACATGAAAAGTCTATTCTATTTACGAAATTCCAACATAAGTACATGTCAGACAAACAACGCACATTCAAATAGGGTCAATATAAACACAATAACATCACAACACCACTTATAATGTGTGGCAGTGTGTATAGAATAGTGTTTAAATTACAACAATCGCCGTAATTGCGCTGATTTAATTTGTATTTCCGAAAATAAAACAAGAACAAGCAATCATATTTCACGACCAAGCCACGGTTTTTTTATTATTTGCTTTTTTTTTATTTTATTTTCTAATCTTACAATTTTTCAATAGTTCTGAACTCTAGCGTTTTAGCTCAAATTTTTTAAGGCTCTATTACACGGTATAAGCCAGTGTTTCTTATTATTTTTGTTTGTTGTTCTAGATTAATGTAGAGCTTAAGTGTGCTGAACTTATCGATAAATATTTTCTTATGAGAGTTCATATTTTTTGATTAAACAATAAAAACAGTGTTAAGAGATCTTTGCTTTTGGTACAGAGTGTTAGAGGGCGCCAAGCGTCGTTCGCGATACCTCTAACGAAATGCGTCTCGCTTGCAATGCTGACGCTCCAAAACCCTGAGTGCGATGTCAAAGAACGGTATGCTATGAACAGTTCCTTTATATATAATAACTTTTGTGTTAATGTAAGATCAGATGGAGTAGCTCTCATCGATAGCACTAATGAAAAGAGCTTTGGCATCATGTCTTAAGAAATAAATTATATTAAAAACTGTTATTAAAAAATCAACAAATTTCTTAAATTTTGTTGAAATTGAACATTTAGTTTTACAGGGAAAGACTGGTAAAATTAGGATGCTAATAATGTTTTTTTTTTTGTGAGAATGGATTATCAGTAATACAGACCACCAGTCTTATTGCTAGCAATATACCCCCGTCAGGTCGACCTCTCAGTGCCCCTCCTCCCCCCTAAAAATTGTTTTGAATTCCAGGTATTTATCACAATGGACCTGTTTTTTCATTTTCACCTAATATTCCTCATTAAGGGAGAAAGGGATTATTATTAATGCGGACTATCAGTCCCAGTGCTAGCAATATATCCTATCAGGTCGATCTCCAAGTGGTTTCTCCTGGAAACCATCGTGCTGAATTCCAGGTGTATTCATATATACGGTGGGCTAACTGTCTTGCCCTTTCATATCACTTATCATCCCTCACTGATACCTCCTTAGTGTATACCATTAGCGCAGGCGGAGTTACCGTAGTAAGAACTTGAATATTATTTATAATAAAAATTATGAAACATTGTGTATCAAGCGTGCACTACATAAGTGTTAAAGTATTAATACTATTAATAAATTATTCCAACAACCATTTCATTATCGCTCATTGATGAAGCACATTATTTAAGAGCGGATATTGCCCTAATTTTTATTAATATAGAAAAGAATATACCAATTAATACGAAATATATATATATATATATATATATATATATATATATATATATATATATATATATATATATATATATATATAATATATAATATATACAACTATATGTAAGAATTAAGTATATATAAGTAAGTAAATTAAAGAAGTTAGACTGTTTAGATGGTGTATCAAGATAAAATTCATACCTGATTTAGATTTTCAAGAATACAAAACCGCATTAAAATTAGTGTAGTAGGTTTTTGTGTGATACTGTAAGAAGTAAATCGACGAACATAAAAAAATATTGAAAATTGTTTGTTAGTATTATTAAGATAGTAAACATTCCTCATATCAATTTTTCTTAAATATCTCTCGCATACAGACATCATTTTATTATAATTTTATTGTATTTGTAAGATATGTCGCTGTTTAAAATCACCATATAGATAAATATAAGTCATAGCTATTTTAAATTGTATAGTTTTATTATATTTAAAATTTAATGAACTGGTTGCATAGTATTTAAAAACTTTTTGTTTGAAATAACGATTTCAGGGATCAACGGTCTGTCAATGTTAATAGTTTGACGCGAAGCAGTATAACTTAACGTTTACTTATTCTGTGCTCAAACCGATTATTGACTTTGACAAAATATTTCTTGTTGACTTGACAACGGTGGACTTTTTGAATATTTTCCAAAGCCATTTACTTTTTATTAAAATGAAATATAATAAGTAAAATGAATTGCAACGACGATGTCTTTCTTTTATTTAACTCCTGTCAAAGGAGACTTACCGGTGCACTTCTTGGAAAAAATAGTTACAAACAGATTACTATATTTGGAAGATCTTTTAAAGGGTGAAAATGTTATTTACAATGAATTTGTAGTGGAAGGCAGTATTTACGATAACGTAGGGCACTACATGCTATGTGTTACTGCAATTCTAAACAAAAGTTGGGATTTTGTACAATTTATTTTAAAGGCCGAAATGGAATTGTTTAGACGACGAATTTTATCTATCTCTGCTTACGACATGCGATCGTTCGCTAAAAAGGTGATACGATGTATTAAAAAACATGATAAGATTCCAAGTTTCATGGAACCACTGTTGGTAATAAGCCGGCACTTGATGTTAAAGGATTTGGCTCAACACATTTGCTCGTCATCCCATTCTATTGAATGTACAAGCCATTGTATACAATTAAATTTTCGACATTGTCTTCAATTTATAGCTAAGAGGCAAGTGGAACTAAGAAATGGGATTGTTTACTTACCCTGTGGAAAATGGAAACAATATTTGATACTGCTCTTTAGTATGAATGTAAGACACAGAATAATGAATACAAATTTAGAACCTCTAAAAGGTGATCCTCGAGTAAAGGATTTATTACTTAAATTTAAAACACATCTAGAAAAAGACAGCGACTGTAATAGCAATAAATTGTGCAGTAAAGATGTTGATAAAGTATTAAAATTCTTCCCTCCATGTATGTATAATCTACATTCAAGTTTACGAAAGAAACATAGATTATCACATTCCCAACGTTTTTACTACACCTTATTTCTGAAAGATATTGGTATGCCTGTTGAAGAAGCTGTTGATTTCTGGAAAAGAGAGTATAGTTTGAGCCCCAATGGTAGTCATACTTGTTGTCACAATTGGGATAAAGATGAGAAAAAATATGTTTATGGTATTAGGCATATGTATGGTTTAGAGGGAGGAAGGAAAAGTTATTCATCTGTAAGTTGTCAGCACATCCAGAGCGCAGATGTATCTTGTAACGAAGGAGGCTGCCCATTTAAGGGTTTTGACATAGACAAGCTGGTAAAGGTTTTAAAACTTGACCATAAAGAACCGTTTTTGTCACAAATAAATGAACTGAGAAATAAAAATCAGTACACATCTGCATGTGTTACATATTTAAAATATAGTCACAATGTGGCCTGTGATAACAGTCTTAACTTTAATTTTACACCTGTTAAATTTTATATGAAATGTTTTGAGAAAAGTTCTGTCAATTAAAATTGTGTTAAAAATATATTTGTGTGATTTTTTTTTTTTTATAAAATCATATACAGTGACCTCTTGAGACTAGTGTAGACAAAATACCCACTAATCATATTTATTACTAGCTTTCTCCCGCAACTTCGTCCACGTGGCCGAGACATATTTACTGAGAGTGGTAAAAAGTAGCCTCTATCGCATATAGTATGGATTATGGTCACCCATCCTAGTTGGAACCACAGCCGGGGTTGCTTAACTTGCATTAGCACTACGGCCTCTGAGCAATTAGTCACTCCTTATTGTATTATATACTTAAATGATAATTACGTACCTAATACCTTCATAAAATTTTAGCCAATTCAACTGATCGGTTATTTTATAGCATTTTATATGTGATTCTTTAAATGGATATAACTTTTTTATTTATGAACTGATTGAAATAAACACATTACATTTAGTTAAGTGTAGCAAACTGCAACGTATTAGTGAAAACCACATAAAAATCGGCTATGCCGTTTTTAAGATTAGTGTACACAGACGAACAGACAAAATAAAAAAATGTTTTGAGTCCTATTACTTGGGTGGGCATCAAATAATTCTAGAGTGGGCATGGCCCAACCGTCCCCCTTCTATTTCTTAAATACGCCTATGGTGATACAAGAACACCCATGCTCACAAAAAAGTACTGTTGTAGCAGAGTTGTAGTTATTGTAGTTATTATATAGAGATGTACAGCCTTCAAGCATTAAGATCCCTTAATCACCTCTTGTAATACCCTCATACTCAGGTATATTTCATTATACGGCGGTATATTTTTAAATATATGTTATATATAGAAAACACCCATATTAATACAAATAGTCATATTTATTCATGAATAAAATTGTATTGTTCGGAATTGAATCCGTTACTGTCGGAAAGCGCTACACTGCCGCACCAGTAAGCTCGTTAACAATAACGTTTTATTTATTTACGAAAATTAGTTTATGAATAAAATATTGTTATTAAAAATGTAAATAACCAAATTATATATATAAATTTAAATAATCTATATACAAATTCAGAAGTCTATGTTTACATATAATAAAACTGTAGAGATCGTATGTCTGTACATTGAAAACAAAACGCTAAAATCCGAGGCAGGGATATATATATATATATATATATATAAATATATATATATATATATATATATATATATATTGAGTACAGTGAAACCTTTAAAATAATACCATATATAAATTAAATTAAAGAGTTCTCGTGGGATAGCTAAAAAAATATAGTAACTTATACAGCTTAGTACACAATCTATTTAAGTGAAGTCATTTTGATCTAAGGCAAAGAGTAAGAAGGACACGTCATTTATTAGGTAGGTAGTAAATAGGTAGGTACATACATCGATATAATACCAAACAGGAATAACAAATACCACGCGAACAAAGACGCGGGCATTAATATAGCAATAAATTTCCTCAATACCAATAACAGTTCGCGTAAAAAGCACTTTGTAAATAATTAACGCTACTGTTTCTGTTTAATTCATATCGTCCGTGAAATAAAAGTCGCGAACTAATGATAGTCCAATCCCAAACACATGCTGTAATCTCACAGGAGAACTTCGCTGATAAAGGAAACTCAGTTGACGAGCGGTAATGGTTGGCGGTGGTCGCAACGCACCATGACCGCCAGCGGCTTTCCAGTAGAGTTCGCCGGCGCGAATTACGACTTACGACAGTTCGTACGGGACCATCCCGGTGGCGTGAACACCTTAAAGTATTATAAGGGCAAAAGCATTTTGAAGGCGATGGAAAAGTTCGGTCACAGCAGCAGTGCGTATCACATGTTGAACGATTTTAAACTCAATAGTGGAGAGTTGTTAGATGTAAATTTGACAGGCAGTGTGAGCCTTAATGGACGGATTATAACGAATGCGGAGGCCGGCCGGAATGTGGAAGAGATAATGTTTCTTGAAGAGCTCGAGGTAATCATAATAACTTCATAAGAACTATTGTGAAGAGATAGTTTTTTTTTTAATGGGTGATAATGGAATGGTATCCCCACCCGCGCTATCGGTATACACCGACGAACTTAATGGTAAAGGGATAGCCAGTAGCGTCCCTCTTAAAACGTAACCAAAGCCTAACTGCGGCTGCCAATCTGACTGCCAAACGTGGCAATTACTGGCAAAACGCGCCAAGGGTGACGCTTATGTTGAACAATGGCCAGTCAAAAGCTCATATGATGATGAAGCATACTAATTTTAGCGGAATTAAACAAAACATAGAATCGTCTAACCAGCGATATTTTTTTTAACGGGTGAAAATGGATTGGTAACCCCGCCCGCGCTATTAGTATACACCGACGAGGCACCAGTGGAAGATGATAGGTGAGAATGAATGCAGATCAGTTGGTCCACCATGATGAATTCGACAATAATTAAACATGATGGTTTTTAGGGGGAACCACGTGGAGGTCAACCTGAGAGGGTATATTGCTAGTAATGGGGCTATTAGACTTCATTACTAACAATCCCTTTCCCCCCAGAAGGCACTATAGTTATCCGCTTTTATTAACACTAGTCTTTATTTATTTACTGGCTTTTACCCGTGACTTGGTCTGCGTGACTGGAATATGTTTACTGACCGCGATAAAAGTAATCTATACTTTTCTTCATGTTTCTGCCTTGTGGTTCCGGCATAGAATAAGCTACCCCTTCCTTTCCTGTGGGTGTCGTAAGAGTCGGTAGTATATTATGTTCACGTACTGGCCACTAATAATTTTGCAAATACTGGCCGGTAACAAATTATTCTATTTATTCTTATTTAGTCTTTAACCAATTCGCTTGTGTATTACTACATGCCCCAAAGTAGAATATAACCTATTTCTGTACTAAACATTAAAATCCGTTCAGTAGTTTTTGTGCCAAAGAGAAACAAACATAAATCCTCACAAACTTTCACAATTATGATATGTTGTACTCATCATCCTCATCATATCAGCCGTTGACTGACCACTGGTGAACATAGGCCTCCCCCATAAGGGGCGTTTTGCTAATAGTTGCCACGTTTGGCAGGCGTGTTGACAGGCGCAGTTAAGGTTTTAGAGGTGTTTTAAAAGGGATGTAGTATGATAGGAAGGAATAATTGATCCGATAGAAGATGTCCTATCCAAGTTTTAATGCGACCTCCTTACCTCGAGGTTCATCTGTTTGATCCTTTTACAGTGTTACTCCGTTGGAATTGGGATCAACTAATAAAATCTCTTTGACGCACTTTGTACTATTATAGGAGCGTAGGTATGCGACCTACTTTCTGTAATATGACGTCAAGGGATTGTCATATTGTACCTAGTTTAAAAACGTAGATTAAGCTTAGTACCTAGATGCAACGATTAAAAATTTGAAACATATATAAGTATATTCTTTTATTATGGCACGATATGTGATTACTCCATCCTGAGTGAATAGAGAGACAATATGGTTAGTGGCTTGCTGTCAAAGATTGAGGTTATTTTTAATTATTTCTTTTTATAAATAAGTACCAATCTTAATTTGACTATTGCGAATATTATAAAAAAATACGCAATCAGTTCAACCATTCTTAGGTAGTGTGCTTGTCAATGAAAAATAAATATTTTATTTTCGAGTATACATGGGAAGTAATATATACATATTTTATTTATGAATATTTAAGAGAAATTAAAATTAATAGAATCGTCTTACCAATAAAACTAAACAAATTTTGTTAAATGAACACAGATCGAAAAATAACACAAAAGCTTCCATTTTTAAATTTTGGTACTAAGGCATTCTTATAGTGCCTGACACCTCACTTTATCTTAGCTTAAAAAATGCTTTCGATTTTAAATTTGGAACAGTTTTAGATATCGTTAACCTACATACATTGCAAAAGAAATACCTATATTTTTTATTTTTTTTCCTGCAACTTAGAATGGTATATAAGCTGGCGGCTCACGGTAACTGTAGTCTATAGACATGAACAGTAATAATTTTTTAACTGTTTGATTGGTAAGCATTTTCTGCTCTATCTATAGGTATCTCTGATTTTGTATTAAAATCGCATGGTATTGCCGGAAACGTATAAGTAAAACGTAAAGACAATAATGTTTATTTATTTTTGTAACGGATTATGTATTATCTCGATTAATAACCAGATAAGTCTTGTCAAGGACTTTATAATAAAGATAAAAATGAGCGCTAAGATACATAAGATGTTAGTTAATAAATAATAAGAAAACTCAGAATTTTTGACATCATATCCAATTAAATTTTTTAGATATTTATTAATATCAAATAAATAAACTAGTGATACACTGTACGGATATTGTTTACGAATAAATGATTAATGTAAATAATAATACATTAATAATTTTAAAATCTGACAGACACTAAAAACCTTGTTCATTTAAACTTTTGACTCACTTTTCGAAGAGGGAAAACATATTGACAAAACTATATTTTTTTTTTTGTTTCTATTATAAGTAAAAAATTAAGTATAAGGCAGAAAAAGAAATATTAACCAGCTTTAGAATGTGTAAATTAAGTCTTTTAATAGTTACAATACACTGCTGGGCCAGTCCAAGTGGTGTTTTGAGATTTCGAGTATTTTTTTTGTAATCCATAGTTTTTTACTTTTAATTAATTTTGTATGGTTTTCTAAAAAATACATACAGTTACCGTTTTTACTTAAGCGTGATTAAAAACTAATATTGTATTTATTTATTACTATTAGTATGTATGTATGACTGAAATGATGATGACGATGATATGTATGTGTAGACGGAGGACTTAATGCTAAAGTTACCAGTGGGAGCCTTTGTACAAAAGTCGTTTGTTTGGGTACCTCTGTCCCATTCGTGTTTCTACCGTGAAGCAGTTTATTTATTTATAGGATTACCAACATAAGATACAGCAAATCATTTCAATACAATACACTGGTAGATCTAACTTAGATCTAACTGTTCTTACATTTATAGGCGACCACAGCATGTCTTGAGTTTGATAAACATTAAAGTAGAATTAAATTATTAAAGTTGTGTTTGCATGGCTGTGTTTCGGTTTGAAGGGTGGGATATGGCGTGAATTTACAGGGCATAGAGGAATAACACCTGAGCCCTTAGGAATGGGAACGCATGGGGGTATTATAGGCGAAACAGTATACTCTGTTATGTTCATAGTACTGCTCATGTCTATAGGCGACGGTTACCACTTTCCATCAGATGGGCCGTCAGCTTGTTTGCCATTCTAAGTTGTATAAAAAAAGCATTCTCTCCCAGTCAACCTTAGAGAAGTGTCATAATAATTGAATGCGGCACTAGTTATTACTGATATACATACCCGTTAAAATTTACATATCGTCAGCATCATTAGCCTTTAACTGTCCACTGCTGAGCCTCCCTCTTGGGGGGTTTTGCCAGTGGTTGCCAAGCTTGGCAGGCGGGTTGGCAACCGCAGTCAGGCTTTAGAGATGTTTTAAGAGGGACGCTGCTGATCATCCTTCACCCTCCCTAAGTCGGTCTTTACAGGGGAGTTTGACAGCCTTATTGCTAGCAATATGCCTTATCAGGTCGACCTCCACGTGGTTCCCCCTGGAAACCATCGTGAACAATTCTTGTTGAATTCGTCACGATGGGCTAACTGACCTACTTCATCCTCACCTATCATCTTTCACTGGTGCCCCGCCGGTGCATACCGATAGCGCGGGTGGAGTTATCATTCCATTATCATCCATTAAAAAAGTCGGTTTTTACAACACCCGCACATATACATACATATATTTATATACAACATACAACGGCAAAATTTACAAAAACATTAGTTTTCATTCATATATATTTATTAAAATATATATGAATAACAAATATACTCACACATACATAAGATATACTATTATATATATATATATATACACGAAGATGAGAACAGTAGATAGTACTTGTATTGAATGACACTTGTATGATCGATTGATAAGAAGCAAGTATACAACCTTGAATAAATCAATACTATGTTTTAATAATTCTGTATTTTGCAAACTTGTGTTTGTCACTATTTATGATGGTATCGGAATATGTCGGACTTTTGATGGTGTTTTTTTTTTAACAGTATTTAAATCATCTATCTTGTTTTACTAATATAATAAATTTCTAAATAGACAATAACTGAATATGGAAGAAAAAATTAATATTAGAAATTTTGTCTATGTGTATATTTGTTTTAGCGTCAGGCAAAAAGTATTAGATGAGTTTTTACAGTTGAAAGTATACAACGGTATATAAGTTATACACGCGTGTGTGTGTGTGTGTGTATGTGTACGTGAGTGCGCCTGTGTGGATAAGGGTAGTAAGATGGGGAGGGGGGGGGGAGGAATGGTAATAATGCGGACTAGTCCCATTACTAGCAATATACTCTGTTAGGTCGACCTCTACGTGGTCCCTCTTGGAAACCCTTGTGCTGGATTCCAGGTGTGTTCATCACGATCAGCTAACTGACCTGTCTTTCCATCCTTACCTATCATCTCTTCCCTGGTGCCCCGACAGCGTATACCGTTAGCGCAGGCGGGGTTACCATTCTAATGGAATGTAATCTTGCCTGCGCTAATTGTATACACCAGCGGGGCACCAATGAGGGATGATAGCTGAAAATGAAAAGGCAGGTCTCATGGATGATAATGGAATAGTAACCTCGCCTGCGTTAACGGCATACACCGGAGATGCATCACTGAGCATGATAGGTGAGGATGAAAGCAAGTCAGTTGGCCCATAGTGATAAATTAATAAAAAAACAATCAAGATGGTTTCCAGGGGGAGACGCGTGGAGGTCGACCTGATAAGGTATATTGTTAGCAACGGGGCCTCCAGTCCCATTACTAACAATCCCTTTCCCCCCTGAAAAGGCAGATCAGTTAGTCGAACGTGACGAATACACTTGAAATTCAGCACGATGGATTCCAGGGGCGTCCACGTAGAGGTCTACCTGACAGGGTTATTGTTAGCAATTGCACTAGTAGTCCGTATTACTGACAACCCCCCCCCCCCTCCCAACACTCTATAGGCGAGTCTGTTTTTCTGCTGTTTTAATTTGCATAAACAAGTTAGGTACGTGTGAAACAAAGATATAAACGGAACAAATCCACAGAACGTAGCAAAGAAATATGGCTCCCTATCACGCGTGCATTAGCATTTCGATTAGGTTAATAGGCAATTAGGTAGGTGTTAGGTACATATCTACCACTAAACAAAAACCGTGCCTATAGAAAATTAATTAGAATCTACGTGTTTAGGTTGTATTTATGTTACTTTTAAAAATAGAACTTATTTATTTTCTTGTTATGTCAATGAGTATTTTGTTTATTAGAGAAACGTCATTATTAAAAAAAAAACATCTATTATTGTACTAGGGAACAATATGATATATCTTTATTCAGTAAAAAAAAAAAACATCTATTATTGTACTAGGGAACAATATGATATATCTTTATTCAGTAAAAAAAAAAAAACATCTATTATTGTACTAGGGAACAACATGATATATCTTTATTCAGTAAAAAAAAAAACATCTATTATTGTACTAGGGAACAATATGATATATCTTTATTCAGTAAAAAAAAAAACATCTATTATTGTACTAAGGAACAATATGATATATCTTTATTCAGTAAAAAAAAAAAACATCTATTATTGTACTAGGGAACAATATGATATATCTTTATTCAGTAAAAAAAAAAAACATCTATTATTGTACTAGGGAACAATATGATATATCTTTATTCAGTAAAAAAAAAAAACATCTATTATTGTACTAGGGAACAATATGATATATCTTTATTCAGTAAAAAAAAAAAACATCTATTATTGTACTAGGGAACAATATGATATATCTTTATTCAGTATCTTATATTTTTATTGTTTTATCCAACGAACCCTTCACACTACGAGTAAATAGGTATCAGCAAATGAAACATGTATCATATGTCTATATAATTAAACCAAATAATTTTAACAACCTACCTACTTATATAATAAATATTAAAATAAATGAATATACTACTTACATTAGAAATTTAGTTTAATGATTTTAAGATTTGACAGTTCAATTAGAAAAATACAAAAAAAAAAAAAATTTATTCCTCGGGCTATGTCGGTTACTTTTGTTCTTTTGCGGATGACATCGTTTCGGATTCTATCACGGTATTGTTTCTTTATATAAGTATACGTATACAAAATATGAACGTACATTTTGAAAATATTAAAGCTGTAATATATTTATTTATTTAACTACGTAAAACACACTTCCTCATGAAATTAGAAATAGCCCAAGCATTGGGATTTTCAAATCACATCTGAAGAATTATTACCTCTCACAATGCTGATATACGTACTTATTATATTTATGTATTATATATAATATATATCTATCTATTTATATGTATTTACTTATAAATATATATATTTATTTATACCTATCGGTCTTTTTAATTGTAAAGACATTTTATTTATTTTTAACTATAACATTTAAGTCGATTGATACACATGTATGACTGTAACTACTAATGAACTGTCAGTTTTCTCATATTGGGTTTGCTGGAAGAAATCTCTATTGGAGATAAGCTCGCCTTTGTGCACTATTATGTTTGTTTTTACATTTCAATAACCTTTTGTGTACAATAAAGAATAAAGAATAAAATGTAGACTTAACACCGTATGGCGTTATCTACCCGTCAAGCATACACAGTAGATTAATCACTTACTTTAACTGTAACGATTTTCAGATCAAGTTCGAAAGTATTTCTTCATTGCAGGCACGACTGGACTGGTCCAAACCTCTGCTCCGACAGTTGGACGCTATTGCGCCTCATTACCACCTGTGGGTGAACAGCGCGGTGTACAGGAAGTGTCGACTATTCGAGAGTCCAGTCCTCGAGAGTATGACTTACACGGCCTGGTACCTGGTGCCAGCGTGTTGGGTACCTATTATACTCTATTTGGGGATCTCGGAACTTTGCAAGCACGTGTTCTGCGGAGGTATAATCTTTAGTTTCAGCTATATATAATTTGCGGATTCATTTTGACTGGCTATTATATATGAGGTTTTTTTTGTGATGGGTGAAAATGGTATGGTAACCCCGCCTGCGCTAACGGGATACGCTGGCGGAGCACCAGTGAAGCGTGATAGATGAGAATGAAAACAGGCCAGTTAGCCCATCATGATGAATTCATCAGGAATTAACCATGATAGTTTCCAGGGGGAACCGCGAGGAAGTCGACCTGGTTGGGTATATTGCCAGCAATGGGATTCTCAGTCTCCGTTACTAACAATCCCTTTCCCCCCGCTATATGAGGATTTGCCTTTGTTAATTGGTATGAAAGCAACCTATGTGTTGATTAAGGACAGTGTTTTTCAAAGTGTGGGTCGCAACCTCTTAGGGGGTCCCCGAGCCTCTACAAGGGGGTCGCGGAAGGTCGCGAAGCAGTGAAAAATCAACAGTTCCGTAAATACATTATTTCAATCAATAATACATAATGAAGTATCTATAACAGACATCGATTACATGTCTGTTTTAGATACTTTATTATGTATTATTTATTTTATTTTATCGACACCCAGCTGTGAATATAAATACAACTGTACGGATTTCATAATTGTACTATAATAAAATCCTTACGCATTCGAAACCGTGGAGGGTAGGGGGTCGCAAGATATTTTTACATAATAAGGCGGTCGCGCATTACAACATTATCTATCTGTGTACCAAATTTCATTGAAATCTGTATAGATATTGTGATCGAGTAACAAACATAAATATATTTTTAATACTAACAGGATTACGTACAAGAAAAAATCCGTACAATACTATTTTAAAGCAAAACATTTTTATAGCGAAGTAGTTTTTTATTGGAAGAAATTTATTGGTAGAGGGATAGGCAGCAACGTTCTCCTTAAAACATATCTGAAAGCTTTACTGCAGTTGCGAACCCGCCTGCCAAGCGTGGCAACTACTGTCAAAACTCCCCTTATGAAGAAGACTTAGACTTCAGCAGTGGACAATTAACGGCTGAAGTGATGCAGGTTTGTTCAGGTTTAATGACGCGCACGTGACATCCCTAGTGTTGCAAGCGTCCATAGGCTACAGTGACCGTTTACCATCAGACGGGCTGTATACTTGTTGGCTCATTATTGGTATAAAAAAAAAATAATTAAAAAATAACTATTCTAATTCCTACAACAAACGCATGGAAGTAAATAACAATGGCCGGGCTTCGTAAAATATGAAACAACGGTACTACGCATTTTACAATACATAAAAACGTGCCTGCCTACCCTAACGGGAGACAGGCGTGACAGATATGTATGTATGTATGTAAAAACGTAGTGATTACTTACTTTATGATAATACTTTTTTTAATCGTCGTGAAAACTCTATAAAGGTGGTTTAATCACCTTTATAGTGTTTTCACGACGATCTATGAGATTAAGAGTGATAAAAATACAATTTTTAAGCGACTTAATGCATTTGAAGTCCAGGTATACTTATCATGATGGGCTAATAGACCTGTCTTTTTAATTCTCACCTATCATCCCTCACTGGTTCCCCGCCAGTGTATACCGTTCGTGTGAGCGGCGTTGATATTCCATTATCATCCATAAAAAATGCATTATTATTAATGCGGATTACCAGTCTCATTGCCAGTAACTTCTAGCTATCCTGTTAGGTCGGCCTACGTGGTCCCCCCTGGAAACCATCGTGTTGAATTCCAGGTGTATTCGTCACGGTGGGGTAACTAACCTGTCATTTCATTCTCACCTATCATCCCTCAATGGTGCCCCGACAGCGTATACCATTAGCGTAGACGGGACTACCATTCCATTATCATCCATAAAAAAAAAAAAACTTTTTTATTTATTTAATTATATATTTAATTCTTTATTGCACCAAAAACATGAAAATAAATAATGACATATAAATAAGTCAACTGAAATACAGTAGCATGTAGTACAGATTAAAATGTATATTTTAATCTGTACTAATATTTTACTTAACCTGTAACTTTAAAATAACCTTTATTATTATATTTATATATAATATAATTATTATATTTATATAATTATATATAAATATAATAATAAAAGTACAAAAGACGGTCTTATCGCTAAGACAATCTCCTATAGATAACCCTTGGTTAACACAAAAAAAAACTTACAGATTTTGCAAAAATTTCCATAGAACCATCTATTTGGTGAGATTTTGGCAAAATCGGTTCAGTGGTTTAGTTTTTATATCAAAATAACTGGCTTTGCCACGACTGAAGTCGTTTTTTTATGTTTTGTGTTTAAAATTTTAGGTTGAATTGAAACAAGGTTTATTTATTTTACACTAAGTGCTTTAAATCAGTTTTAGAGCATTCTCATATAACAAAAGAAGTGAAATATAAAAATACACCTTATTTCGATGACGTAAAGCTCAATTTTAAACGTGTTCAAATTTTGCTCTCCTTTCCAAGTCGATTTATGTGAATGGAACTAACTAAGAACCTCATTATAGGATTTGTTTTATGGGTGATTTTAATACTAATTAATTATTTCAGTTTCATGTACACAGGATTCCCTGGTACTGTATCAATACGTATATCACATATTCGTGGGACTGGTGATATGGACTGTACTGGAGTACTCATTGCATAGATGGGTGTTCCACCTGAACCCTGGCTCCTCCATCACTATGATCAAGATACACTTCCTCATACATGGAATGCACCATAAGGTACATTTTATTCATTTACTTATGTGTTTTGTTAAAAATATTTATATAACTTACAAATGCAGTTTATGGGAAGGACTATGTTCATTAAGGAACTGTCTGATAATCATAGTAAGTTTTGACACCAGGGAAAGCCCCATAATTTCACATTAATTTGTAGATTTTAATATGCTCGACTAGTTGTGTCCCATGGCTTTGTCCGCATGAAGTGGGGTCGAAGTGCGGTGGCCAGAGTCGAGGTCCGAGCCACTAGGGCGCCCTCGGGCGCACACCGCAGTCCATCAGTAAAAGCTGAAGCTTTGGTCGATCCCCTCTCGTGGGCTTGGAGTGCCTTCCGCACTCGCCCCTACACACGCGCTCGATGAAGTTGTAAAGGCCATCTGCGGCCAACAGCAAATGCGGTACGAAAAAAAAACGTTCAATAGTTTTTGCGTAAAAGAGTAACAAATATCCATCTATCCTTATAAACTTGTGTATTTCTAAAATTAAAATAGGACATAATATGGGCATGACGAGTGGTTCATTTACCATAATATCCATAAATGCATCAAAATATCCTATTAAAGACGTGTGGTCCCGGCATAGACTAGTCCACCGACTAAGTGAGGGCGAAATATGAGCAGCAGCGTCTCTCTTAAAACATTTCAAAAGCCTAACTGCGGTTGCCAATCCGTCTGCCAAGTGTGGCAACTACTGGCAAAGCCCCTTCAGGGGAAATCTTATCTTATTTTTATGCAACTTAGAATGGCAAACAAGCTGACGGCGCACCTGATGGTAAGTGATAACCGTCGCCTATAGACATGAGCAATACCATGGACATAACAGTACACACACATACTGTTTCGTCCATGATACCTCCCATATGTTGCTATTCCTGAGGACCCAGGCGTTATTTTTCTGTACCCTGTAAATTCACCATATCCCACCCTTTAAACAGAAACACAGCCATGCAAACACAGCTGCTTCACGGTAGAAACACGAATGGGACAGAGGTGCCCAAGCAAACTTTGTAAACCTTAACTTTTGTTTGTTTCTTATCTACTGCTGAACAGTGGACAGTTAAAGGTTGATATGATGATGACGATGATCCCATTAAGGATTGTAGTTATTTTTTTATGCTTCATCGTTTCCAGGTACCATTTGATGGATTAAGACAAGTGTTCCCGCCAGTGCCTGCTTTCCTCTTGGCATATCTTTTTTATATACCGCTGCAAATGTTCCTGTCCTATCCACTCATAAAGTTCACAGGAGGACTTATAGGTAATCTTGAATTTAAATCTATAGGCGTAGACAGTCTGTAGTTATTTACAACAGATGCCCATTGGGGGAAAAGGGACTATAGTAATGGGAATTAACAACCCTATTACTAGCAATATACTATATCAGGTCGACCTCCTCGCGGTTCCCTCTGGAAATCACCGTGATTGATTTATTGGTGAATTTATCACGATGAGCTACTGAAACTGACCTGCTTTATCTTCACTTATCATCCCTCACTGGTGTATATCGTTAGCGTATACGGAGTTACTATTTCATTATCAACCATTAAAAAAAATACCCATTGTCGAGTCTCAGCTAACATCGATTTCAATCGATTAATTTTTATAATTCAATCAATATTTTGCACAACTTCAAGGAAATGCAGATTTGACTGTTTGATATTCATTTCAGCATGATATATCCAAGTGTTTCTGAGAAAAAGGGATTTGACAGACACTCAAATAATTACTCTGTAACGGTTTATTTTTTTTATAATGAATATAGATACATATAAGAAGATATGTTTTCAACAAATATTTAATACATTATACAACAATATAATTATTTTGGATATAAATACACAATTTCTAGTTTCTATAGTATTTAACCTAAAAAAAATGCATTATAACTAATGAAGAGAATATTACTTATGCCTACATTTAATGGCTATGCCCCAATCTTGATTACATAGATAGAGAGAGCATCGAGCCTCATAAATAGGTCAACTTTTTGTCAGCTAATTGTCAAAGTAGCTGACTCGTTTTTTTTAATAATATTTTATATACTTATGCATACAATGTATTTGACGTATCTATGTTTAATATTTTAATAAATAAAATGAGTTTTTGCGCATTAAAAATGTGCAGAATTGATAAGACAAAATAAATATAGAAGTTATAAAGGAATCACTCATAACTAATTATGTCGTAAAATTGTGTGAAAAAGTTGACCCGCTTTTTTCGAAGCACACTTTATATATATTTTATTGAGACACTTTATCTATATAATCTAAGGACCCAAAATAATTTACTGGCTACCTCAGGATCCAAAGACATTCTGAGAGTTTAAATACGCTTTTTTTTAAGGGGCCACGTCTTGGAAATTAATCTCAAATATGCCAATGACTTTGTGACGTTGTTTCTGCTTATATAACCTTCGAGAAGAATTCCAGCGTCAATTTATCGTTATTATAATTGCTAGTATTCATTCCCGCGATTTACAATGCCATGACAGTGAATCGATTCAAGGTCGAAAAGGATTGTTTATACACCTACACAAGTCTGTCTGATTTATTTAATCATCGGTACCATTTAAAAATTAGGCCGCAGTCTACGGTCGAGAGCAGATAATTAACTCTCGCCCCGACCCCATAACACATTGCGCGACGCATTATTCTAAAATCAAATGCACTGTTTTTTTTATATATATAAACATTCTGTTTAAATAAAGTGAAAGGACAGAAATCGTACAGTTATGATGTCCTGTCAAATTTTATTTATGGAATTTATTTTTTTATGCAAGTCAGTAAACAAGTTGATGTTACAGAATAAATGTACATACAATAAAGTCCACTATACTCCCCATTAATTTAGAAACGAATTATAGTCAAAGAATTAATAGAATTAAAATTTACAAATATTTATAAATAAAATGAATTTCAAAAAGAGAGGCTATTATTCAATTCATCTGGTATTTTTCTCTCTGTATGTTACATAATTTTTTTTTAATAAGTGGAGATGGAATAGTAATCCCACCTGCGCTATTGATATACACTGGTGGAATACCAGTAATAGGTGTGGATGAAAGCAGATCAGTTATCGTGACGAATCCAACAAGAATTAGCCACAATGGTTTTCAAAAGAAATCGCGTGGAGCTCGACCTGTCGAGGATTTTTAGATCACTCATTACCAACAATTTCTTTAAAAATTATGTTACACTACGATACCTATTGCTAATTCTATGGTAACACAAATGGGTATGAGTAGGGATTATAAGTCGATACTGAAATTGTTTACTGTATGTCCAGGCTACTTGACCTACGACATGATACATTATTACGTGCACCACGGCTCACCCAAAGATGGCACGTATCTATACGCGATGAAGAGGTATCACTCCAACCACCATTTCGTCAATCACGATAAAGGTAAACATATGTGCATTTTCTATATTTACATATACTTAATGAAAACTAGATATATTTCTAATACTGGATACTAATTCCAGGTCTGTAAAGTGCTTAAATTAAAGGCAATTATTATTATATTATCTGTAGTAATAGTAATAGATAGGTAGTTCCTGTTTATTATATAACTAAATCAATTATCTCTTTCAAGAAAAGGTTAAAGTTACATTTTCTTTCGTTTGAGTCATAATCTTAATTTTTCATTTTTCTAATTAACCTGTCAAACCTTAAAATCATTTAAGGGGATACGCTGGCGGAGCACCAGTGAAGGGTGATCGATGAGAATGAAAACAGGCCGGTTAGCCTATCATGATAAATTCATCAGGAATTAACCATGATAGTTTCCAGGGGGAACCGCGAGGAGGTCAACCTGGTTGGGTATAATGCTAGCAATGGGATTCTCAGTCTCCATTACTAACAATCCCTTTCCCCCCCTTATTCATACTGTTTGTACTGCGTTTAAATTTATCTTTAGCCAATTTTATCTATCTTTTTTATCTTATTATTTTTATGTTATGCCTTGGCTAGGCATAATTTTAATTATTCCTCTCCATCCTAAGGTTGCCTGGAAAAGTTCACTATTTAACGATAAGGCCGCCCATTGTTGCCTCTTTATCTTGCTTTTATGTTTGTATTATACATTTTGTTTGTGTACATATATTGTTAATCTTTATAATTTATTTATTTCTTTAACTCTTTATTGCACTAGAAACATAAAAATATACAATGACAAGTGAATAATTCAAGTGAAATACAGTAACATAAATACAGATTGAAATATACACATAAAGGTACAAAAGGCGGTCTTATCGCTAGGGCAATCTCTTACAGACAACCTTTGGTTAAAGGAGAACAGATTGAAGTGGGCAGGTGGTGCAAGAGTGAATTAATAATTTTTCGTGCATAAAATACAAAAACCTGTATTATTCTTTGAAGGGAACAACAATAAAGAGTTTTCATTCATTCGTGATTGTTATTTCTTTTTTAGGATTTGGAATCAGCAGCAAGATATGGGACTACGTTTTCAAGACGTTTGTAAACGTTAGGAAATTAGGGTTCAGTTTGCATTGGTAAAACGATTATACACAGTGGGACCCATCAAACTCGTATTTTCTCATTGCGATGTAAAATTTATATGAAATAATATAAAACAATATTTTTGATACTTTAGAACAACTAATAATAGCCAATTAAACATTCTATTAATATTATAATTAGAAAATTTTATAACGATGGTCGGATGTATGTTTGTTGCTCTTTCACGCAAAAACTACTGAACGCATTTGTATGAAATTTGGTAATCGGGTAGGTTATATTCTTAATACGAGCTGAACGAAGCCGCAGTGTATAGATATTCAAAAATAAGTTGTAATTACTTTCAGAAGATTTCTATTTTGAAAATCAATAAAAAGCTGTAACAGTAATTGTAAATTATTATTTTTTTCTACAATAATAATGTATAAGCGAATAATATTTTATTTCTGAAGAAAGGAGAGGTATGTAATTTTACCAGAGGGAGACTTTGTACAAAAGTCGATTGCTTGGGTACCTCTGTCCCATTCGTGTTTCAACCGTAAAGCAGTTGTGTTTGCATGGCTGTGTTTCGGTTCGAAGGGTGGGATATGGCGTGAATTTACTGGGTACAGAGGAATAACACCTGAGTCCTCAGGAATGGCAACGCATGGGGGGTATCATGGGCGAAACAGTATATTCTGTTATGTCCATGGTCTGCTCATGTCTATAGGCGACGGTTACCACTTTCCATCAGGTGGGCCGTCAGCTTGTTTGCCATTCTAAGTTGTATAAAAAAAAAAATGTAAGTCACCTTTATTATGGTTTTCTACCAGGTAAAGGTAATGGAGTTGATTGGATAATTTTGTTGATTGGATTGATGTAATAATATTATTAAATTATTTTACAACAATAATATAAATAATTACAATTATAATATATAAACAGGTATTATAGTAAATCTGATTCTAAATTTATATGGGAAATGAGTAAGTGGAATATTTAATCCAATGTTTAAACGTCTATATATTTTTAAAAAGAATGACAATTTTCAATTTATCTTGCGCGCGCAACCCCGCGTGCGCTCTGTTATTCATAATTTATTGTTCTACCGATATATATATATATATATATATATATATATATATATATATATATATATATATATATATATATATATATATATATATATATATATATATATATATATACGCCACACTTATATTAAATAAATAATGTTTAAATTAAATTTAATGAAATAGTAATAAAGTATAAGTGTTTGTATTGATATAAATATCTACTATAAAATTATTATGATAAAGCAAGTCTTGTATGGTCTCATCTAGTCATATTAGTACATTTAGCATTCTTATTGTATAATTCCTAATATTTGTTCTTTATTTCAATATAATATAGTAGTCAAATTATTTTGAATTTACTGGGTACAGAGGAATAACCCCTGAGTCCTCAGGAATAGCAACGCATGAGGGGTATCATGGGCGAAACAATATACTCTGTTATGTCCATGGTACTGCTCATGTCTATAGGCGACGGTTACCACTTTCCATCAGGTGGACCGTCAGCTTGTTTGCCATTCTAAGTTGCATTAAAAAATAATAATTGAATTTATTTGTGTTGTTTGATTTAAACCTATTTTTATTGTCTTATGTTTTACGTTACGATGTAGGGTTTTACGTACGATTATTTACTAATCAATAAATAATTAAACCAATATATATATATACAAATACTTTTGAAAAAAATTAAATATGTGATAATAAATATATTCTATAAGACATAGTTTTTTTTTTCGTTAAAATTGGGTCGTGAAATTAGTAGCAAAGGAACCATAATTTGTCGTTTATAATTATATTTCCACAGTCTAAAAAAACCGTTAAACGAATTTTAAAGAATTTCTATTACTTAAGTACTTACATGTTTTTGATAAAGTATTCAGTACTTACTTGTACATTTTTTTATTAATTGTCATTTTATGTTTCTCCTGGTGCTTTTATAAATATGGTGATAAACGTAGGTAGGTATATTATAGTTAGAAATGATATTTAAATCGGCTATACTAATTTTAAAGAAATTTTACTATTTATGCCTTTGTTTATGTATTTAGTACTTACCTATCTATATTTTTTTTTAATAAAAATTGCCATTTTATGTATTATTTTTTATGTATAATATTTTATGTATCATTTAGTTATTATACTTCTAAAAATATTCAATAAAATGGTCTATAAGCGACGGTTGTCACTTTCTTATTAGGTAAGTCTTCAACTTGTAAATTTTCTCTACTCAAAGATCGTCTGGAAGAGATTGATCGGTGATAAGGTCGTCTTTTGAATGATTGAATGAGTATACTTTATTTGCATTATACAATATAGGGAATAAGCGAGACAATTTACAAACACAACGATACAATTGTATAAGTACAGTAAGGCGGTCTTATTGCTGAGAGCAATCTTTTCAAGACAACCTTAAGATTTGTATAGTATAAAAATTTTGTATAGTTTCGCATTAATTATTTATCATATATATTTATAACTAAAGAGTGGTTTTGTAATTAAACTAAAAATTTAATAAATAAATAAATAAATATATCAGAATCATCACTATGGATATGAGTTATTGAATGTGTCGTAATAATTATTAAACTCTCGCACTTTTCATACCATTTTAAGATTTTTCTTATTTATTTAGTTTTAGAACGTATTGTTTATTATTGTGTATTAGATAATGTACGTACTATGCTTATGACTTAGATTATATAGATGGAGTGTCTCCATACAAATGCTTCTAGAAAAGCGGAGCAACTTTTTCATACAATATTGCGACATAATTAGTTATTCTTTTATAACTTCTATATTTATTTTGTCTTATAAATTTTGCACCTTTTTTAATACGCAAAACTAATTTTATTAAATAAATAATTAAATATAGATACGTCATAGTACATTGTGTACGTAAGTATCATCATCTTCCTACCCTTATCCCAATTATTATTTGGGGTCGGAGCAATATGTTTTTCTCTTCCATTCTTTTCTATTCCCAGTTATTTCCGCATTCAATCCCATTCTGGTCATATCGTCTTTCACACAATCCATCCATGTCTTTTTAGGTCTTCCTCCGCTCTTATAGCCATCTACATTCATTCTTAATACTTTTTTTAAAATATGCTCCTCATTCCTGCGCATCACGTGCCCATACGTAAGTATATAGAACAGTAATAAAAAAAAAACGAGTCAGCTAATTTGACAATTAGCTGACAAAACGTCGACCCGTTTTTCAGGCTCGATGCTCTATCTATGTAAGATAAGGTCTATGATTAGATAAAATACTCAAATGAAAAACTTGTGAAATACTTGCCTACATTGTATTTAATAATGAACCACTATAATTTAAATTTATTGTAATTTATTTATTTAATGGAAGGTAACATCTAAAAGTAATAATAGTTAAAATAAATAAATCTTGTAAAACTGTTTTTTTTTATACCACTGAAGAGACAAACGAGCATAGGGCCCACTTGATGGTAAGTGGTTACTGTAGCCTATAAACACCTGCGATACCAGGGGTATTAGGCGTGCGTTGCCGAACCTGAAGAAACCTCTTTACCCTCCTTTTGAAGAACCCCATGCTGTAGTCTCTTGGGAAAACTTCGGCAGAAAGCTCATTCCATAACCTGAGTGTTCATGGGAGAACTAGTTATTTATATTTCACAAATTGATCGTATGGTAAGGTATCTACTTGGTGCGATTATGTATACTAACTAGTTTTGTAGTTGCATAGTTTTATTTTTAAATATATGTACATACTGACCATGTGGTCCCAGCATAGAATAGGCCAGCCCTTCTTTTCCCGTGGGTGTAGTAATAGGCGACTAAGGGAGAGTGAGGGATGGGCAGCAGCGTCCCTCTTAAAACATCTCTAAAGCCTAACTGCGGTTGCCAATCCGTTTGCCAAGCGTGGCAACTACTGGCAAAACCCTCCAAGGGGGAGGTTTATGTTCAGCAGTAGACAGTTAAAGGCTGACATGACGATGATGATATGTAAATACGTACATGTTTAGGTAAGTACTACAGAGATGCAGCGAGTTCTTTGTTACTTTATCTAAGTTTATTGATGTAAATTTTTTTAGCCAGTTGAAATGGAGAAGTGCGCCATGCCACGGTTCGAATCATACATGACTTGCAAATAATTAATCAAATTGACAGAAATATTATATATTTAAATAACTAAACTGACTTCACTTCATTTTTATATCATACTAGCGACCCGCCCCGGCTTCGCACGGGTGTAATGCTGATACTAAATATACCTATCTACTACAGAACGTTCTTATAAACAACGATTACAGCTTTTTTGTCATTAGACAATTAGACAAACATAATATAGTGCTATAGGCACGCGCCGCCGGCCGGGCCGGTACCGCCGTACCGATATGTCCCTGCATTCTAAATCTGTAATATCTTCGGAAATATTCATTAAAATTACATTCTGTAAAGGGTCGTATTGATCTATATTAAATGGACAATATATTTAAGGTACTTAATTGGATTAAAACTAATGCTGTATTGCTTAAAATCACTTCGTAAATAAGCCACTTTTCCCGTAAAATGTAAAGGATAAAAAATGTATACGCTGTTGTGGGTTATTCTTAAGAGATAGACATATACCATTGCGGACTTTATTGTTGACCTTTTTAAGGTGTATTGTACACCTTGTAATACATTATTTTGATTTATTTCGTGGGGTTCAGCCAGCGTTTGCAATGTAAGCGCAAAAAATACTTTTATTTACGACAACACATTAGAAATCTCTAAATTTATCAGTGTTTCTCTACAATATTATGCATGTATTATACATATAAATCTTTCTCTTGAATCATTATATCTATTAAAAAACCGCATCAAAATTCGTTGCGTAGTTTTAAAGATTTAAGCATACAAAGGGACAGAGAAAGCGACTTTGTTTTAAACTATGTAGTGATTATAAATTGTTGTTTATTTCTTTAATATAAATCGAAATTATTGCATGAAAAATCTATTTAAAAACGAACAATTATATGTGAGATAATTAAATATAATCTGACATCTAAATTGACATTAATGCACGTGTATTAGCTACTTATCAATATAACTTTGTTACACCCAAACAGGGTTCGTGTACTTACTCAACATTGTAACAAATCTATATTATGTACACGAATGCATTATAATAAATAAATAAATCAATTATATTATATTCCATGCGTTAGTGAGATAAGCAATCTTTCTGTTCCTACATAGGCACACACATATTTAAATAAGTAGATGTCGTATTTGTATATAATACAGATAATTTCCATGTCAATTTGTGGCCTTAAATTTGACTTAACAGTTTAAAGCGTTGAGATTCCTGCATATATCTATGTTTTTACCAAAGGGAGATTTTGTACAAAAGTCGTTTGTTTGGGCACTTCTGTCCCATTCGTGTTTCGACCGTGAAGCAGTTGTATTTGCATAGCTGTGTTTCGGTTTGAATGGTGGGATATGGCAGAGAATTTACGGGGTACAGACGAATAATACCTGAGTCCTCAGGAATGGCAATGCATGGGTGGTATCATGGGCGAAATAGTATACTCTGTTATGTCCATGATACTGCTCATGTCTATAGGTGACGGTTTTTTTTTAATGAGTGATAATGAAATGGTAACCCCACCTGCGCTATCGGTATACACCGACGGGGCACCAGTGAAGGATGATAGGTGAGGATGAAGTAGGTCAGTTAGCCCATCGTGACGAATTCAACAAGAATTGTTCACGGTGGTTGCCAGGGGGAACCACGTGGAGGTAGACCTAATAGGGCGTATTGGTAGCAATGTGGTTGTCAAACTCCATTGCTAACAAACCCTATAGGTGACGGTTACCACCGTCCATCAGGTGAGCCGTCAGCTTGTTTGCCATTATAAGTTGCATAAAAAAATATCACAAATGATGAGTCATGGCCTAGTAACAGTTTCATTGTGTTTATAATGAGAGATATAAAGATTGTGCAGTGTCAATATTTGTGAAAGAACATTTAATGTAGGAATGGAATTGCCGGAAATAACATTCTACATTTAACGTTGCAGTTAGATAATCTATGCTTATGCGCCATCTACAACAATGAAAATATGCAGATTCACAAGTATATGCAGTTGCTTATTGTAATGAGCTATGCATCTTATACAGCCAGTGAGCCAACGCCTTTGGTATGTTCCGAACTTAGATTGTATAGTTAGAGCATCGAGTCTCAAAAACGGGTAAATTTTTGTCAGCTATTTGTCAAATTAGCTGACTCGTTTTTTTATCAGTATTCTATATATTCACGCATAAAATGTATTATAACGTATTATTTAATAAATAAGATGAGTGTTTACGCATTAAAAAGATGCAGAATTTATAAGACAAAATAAATATAGAACTTATAAAGGAATGGCAACGCATGGGGGGTATCATGGGCGAAACAGTATACTCTGTTATGTACATGGTACTGCTAATGTCTACAGGCGACGGTTACCACTTTCCATCAGGTGGGCCGTCAGCTTGTTTGCCATTCTAAGTTGTATAAAAAAAATCACGCATAACTATTTATCATGCAAAATTGTATGAAAAAGTTGACCCGCTTTTCTCGAAGCATTTGTATGCAAATACTCTATCTATATATTCTAAGGTCCCGAACTAATTGTTAGTTATAAAAATATGCATCGCATTGCTCTCTCTAGACCAAGATTATTTGTGACCAAGGCCATAAATTCTCATACTATTTTGGGCGAAACCCCTATTCCAAAATGAAGAGATACCTCAGATCCATATAGGCAAATTATTTTACTAGTACTGCTCATTTTTATAGGTGACGGTTACCGCTTCCCATTAGGTGGACCGTTTGCACGTTTATAGCACATTTTAAGTTGCAAAAAAAAAAAAAAATTAAAAATCCTATTCTATATTTAAAAAAAAAAAAAAACTTTACGTTTGGTGAGATGAGTAAACTTGACATTTAACAAAATAAATATAAATAAAATTCAGTAAATATCAAATATAATTTATTTAATTAATAACTATTAATACAATAACAGAATAAATAATTATTAAAAAAAAACATTAAAAACGCAAAGATGAATAGTAAAAAAAATCATGATGATGATGATGATATGATGATAATCTAGTTTGATCCGTTTCGTTTACATATTTATAATGAGATAAAATATATTTTAGGTATTTATGTTTATTATTGAATTTTTAAATATGATGGTTTCTATATATATCTACATAATATCGAATCGCAACTGATAACCTTATCTACTGTTATTTTTGTTTAGTTAAATAAGAAATAATGCAACATTTTATACCTAGATAAAAAAATACTATTATGTAAATAATACTACAAAACATGCTCTATCCTTTTGTATAAGCAATTATAAGCTCGCGCAATTCTTCATTGGCGTTGTGAAATTTTTAAATTGAGTATTCAAACAATAATATACTATAAGTTATTTTAATTTAAGAACAATTATTCTATAACAACGGAGACGGTAAAACACTTGATTTTTGTAACCTGTACGTGACGCGATTAGATCGAGACTTTTGTGATATTAAAATATAACCATATTGTTTAGCAGTGTATCTAATAACACGTAAATCACAGACTATAATTAATTTTTAATTATTTAACTGGCCAGTGATAATGAAAAATAATGTTCCTAAAAGCCATTAGTTGATTAAAAAATGTGAGGTGTAATTTTTTTTAAATGTACCATAGGCCAAGGTGAAAAAGTGTAAATTAATATGGGCATGTACATTTTTATATGTGGAAAAAATACTATTTTGCGTATAACGTTGTTATTACTTTTTTTATTAGTGTTTGTTAGTGGTTGCTATAATTCGGGATTGGATTTTCTCACTGAGGATATTTTACCAGCCCTGTGTCCGCTTTTAGCTGAGACTACTTCGATAATTAAGGATATTTTTAAATCAAATACAATAGGTAAGTTGTTTTTATCATACATATTATTCATAGTTGTACATAAATTGCTGTCACATTATTATAGACAAAAAAAAAATATTCGTGAAACTTGATTATATGGCACTAACATCATTTAGGGGACTTTTTATTAAATACGTATATAATATTTAATATAATTATATAATTATTATATATTTTAATAATATAATTATTTAATGAATCAAATTAATAAAGATCCAGAGAAAAATATGTTTGTGTATGTGATAAAAATTAATATGTTTAAAGAACAGGATTAATACTTTTTTTTTATATCACGACGGTGGCAAACAAGCATACTGCCTGTCAGATGGTAAACGGTTACTACAGCCTATGGACGCCTGCAACACTACTAGTGTCACGTGCACGTTGTTGACCCTAAAGAAATTTAAAAATACATTTTTTTTTAAGAACCCCATACTGTAGTGTAGGAAATCTCTCGGCGGGGCGCTCATTCTACAGTATGAGTTTTTTTTTACCACTGAGGTGCGGTTACCGTAGCCTATGAACGCCTGTAATATCAGAGGTATTACGCGCCCGTTGCCGACCCTGAAGAAACCTCTTTACCCCCCTTTTGAAGAACCCCATGCTGTAGTCTCTTGGAAAAATCTCGGCAGGGAGTTCATTCCATAATCTGAGTGTTCGTGGGAGAAAACATCTCTGAAACCGCTTTGTACGCGAACATTTATGCTGTAAGGTATGAGGGTGAACTCCCTGTCGATGGCGAGCCGTACGATGATAGTAAGTGGCTGCAGGTATCATATTGAGTGTTCGCGGGAGAAAATATTGAAACCGCTAGAGGTTCAGCGCTAGAGGAAAAATTCTCTGTTGATGGCAAGCAGGCTATGCTAGCCTAAACTATAAAAGAGTGTTATTTCAAATAAAAGTTTTTAAATACTATATGCTGTTATGGATCTATGGCCGTAGCTAGGGGTGGGGGCATTGAAGGGCAATGCCCTACCTTAAAATGAAAGGCGCTTTTTGGAAGTTATTTCATTATGGCTTATGCCCTACCAAAAAGTTCTTTTGCCCTGCCTTAAACTTGGATCTAGCTACGGTCCTGTACGGATTTAGATTATGACCAGTTAGTGACAAATATCTCATTTGCATTGTAGAAGACGGGCCAATAACATCGGATCTACTATCGGAATGCGTTCGATGTGGCCGTGAAATCTCCCGGCAGAAAACCAAACGAGGCAACCAGCTGGTTAACAGCGGTATCACCCTAGACGTGTACCCGCCAGGTCTCATGCATTTCTTCCCGCCGTCACTGCCTACTGATGTGAAAAAGGCCTCGGCAGCGTCCCAGGAGATACTCGCAGCTACTAAGCTGATGCAAATGAGAATAGCCAGGTTAGTACTAGGGTAAACTTACCTCTTAATCTAACAACAGCGAGCTCAATAATCATAACACTAGATACAAATACAAACTTGCTATTCCGATGTATCGTTCAGAAAAAGTTAATAGGTCTTTTATAGGGGGGAAAGGGATTGTTAGTAATGGAGACTGAGAATCCCATTGCTAGCAATATACCCAACCAGGTCGAGCTCCTCGTGTTTCTCCCTGGAAACTATCATGGTTAATTCCTGATGAATTTATCATGATGGGCTAACTGGCCTGTTTTCATTCTCATTGATCATCCTTCACTGGTGCTCCGCCAGCGTATCCCGTTACCGCAGGCGGGGTTACCCTACCATTTTTACCCATAAAAAAAAATAGGTCTTTTATAGAAATAGACATAACATACCTAAGGATATTTTGGATCTGCCTTTTAATAAGTTTAAAACAGTTATTAAAAACACTTATTGAACAAAGCCTATCACACACTAAACGGTCACTTGAATGACAAACGTGCATGGTGTTAATCGATCATGTACGGGCTTTTTAGTGACCTTGTAATTTCAGACAAAGTACATTTAAGTGAATATATGTAAACTTATATGTTAACAATGATTTAAAAGAGTAAATGTTGAGTTTCCTGCGGGCTCTTCTCAACAGATAATAACCTTCCGAACTCCGCAGCAGATTAAGAACAAATGACGTTTTAAAAGTGCTTGTATTAGTGCTATTTGAATAAAGATAATTTAAATTTTATTTAAATATTACATTTGATAATTTTTAAAAAGAATTGCTAATTTATGGAGCCACTAGATGGAGTGACGACCACGAATGCGTTGCAGGGAGTCAATGGATGCAGGTGGCTCGGACCGTTCCTTATAGTAGTCCATGGGAGAGTTTTTTTATTATTATTTCAGCCGTTAACTGTCCACTGCTGGACATAAGCCTTCCCCATAAGGAGAGTTTTGCCTGTAGGTGCCACGCTTGGTAGGCGGGTTGGCAATCGTAGTTAGGCTTTTAGAGATATTTTAAGAGGGACGCTGCTGCCCATGCTTGTAGAGACCACCATAAACTAAAATTATAATAATTTTGACGTAAAACTATTAGAAAATTAGTTCATATTGGTCTTAACAATAAAGATTTCGATATGATATCAAATTGAAATGTTAATTATAGAGATAGGTTGGAATGGAGAATGGCGTCTCAGAATCGATCCCATTGTGTTTATTGCAATGCAGTGAAAATGTATGTTTATTCATATACTTTACTAGCGGCCCGGTACGTGCTTCGCTACGTATAAAGTGAAATAATAAAAAAAAAAATCTTAAATTACCGCATGAATGACATAACAACATACTTATATTGTCAACACTGAAAAAAAGTTTCAATTTGACAGCACAATCCCCATCTTAAAAAAAGTTTGAATTTGAAACAAAAATCACCATTAACAAAATGATTTGCTATTTATTAATTACTGTTACAAAAAATGTGATAAATGAAGAACCGCTGGACCGATTTTGTGCAAACTTCACATAAACCATCTACTAAATAGTCCGAACAAAGTCTAAACATTTGGTTTGGATAGGTGAGCCCATTCTTGAGTTATAAAATTACAACGGAAAGTGGCATTAATTTTTATATACATAGATTAAGAAAAAAAGTTAATACAGTTTGCAGAATTAAGATGATGGTAACACCTCAGTTTAAAGCAATAAACCTTTGAATTATTCAATTTCATATTTCTTAATAATTATAATTTTTAAATAAAAATGATTATCGCTTTGGCATGTAAAGCTGTCATCCATGGCAAGTTAAGCTATTAAGTACTAAGAACATACATCAAGTATATCTGTATAGAGTTTTGTTTTGAGTTTTCCTTCTCTCATACTTCTTTAGGAGACAAAAAGTATTTTTTTTCTTCACCCATACTAACATACGACATCACGATAAAAACGAACAAAACAAATCTTTTTCACAGTTCAGGTGCGACTCCTAACACCTTCCTGTCGTTCCTCGAGCATCAAGTTATCAGGATCCAGGACGGTTCCTCCTGCAAGCCCGTTCACATTACCTGTCACAACTCGAAGTACCGCAGCATAGATGGCACATGCAACAACCAGCGGCGGCCGGCGTGGGGCCGGAGCGGAGCACCCTTTACAAGGATAGCCACCCCACGGTATGCGGATGGTGCGTCCTATGAGCTGAGATAAGAATAAAACACTATAAATTGTTATTTTTTTTCACGTAGAAAGAGAACGCCAGGAATGAATACTATCCTTAATCTATATTTTTCATAATTATTCGTTTAAATTTGGAATATCATTCCGTGCAGCTATGATGCTTTGTTTAAATTTGGAATAGTTTTCTATGTTATAATTTTTCTTTGTTCAAATTTGGAATGTTTATCGCAAACAATCAGCAAACAACTCGATATTTTTTTTTTTGAATAAACGTAAATTCAGTTTGTTCATAATGTTGGTATATATTCAGATAGTTAAAATTGTGTGCTGATTGCTATTAGAAAGAAAAAGAAGAATTACTTTTAAATTAGATACAATATATTACATTACAGATAAGCCGCTATCTGAGTTATAGAATGAATGTATTAGTGTTCAATGTTTTTTTTTATTTTTATAGCATTGAACAATGAGTTTCAGATAAGGAGATGAACTGCCATATTGTATCAACTTAATTGCTGGTTATCTAATTGTATTAGAATCATGAATAGTACTTATCTAATCATTTAATGATGACATTGTTAATTTTTTTAGGGTTCCGTATCAAAATGGTACAAAAAAACCTTATGGGTAATATTATACGCACCGCCAGGATAATGTAATATTATCATTGAAATCTAAGTTATTTAGCAATTAAATATTTTAAAAAAGAATTTCATCCGTAACCTGTAACACCAGTTTGTAAATTTGATTAAAATCGGCTTAGCAAATAGTCGAACAGCTTTTTCAACCAATTTAAAAAAGAAGGGAGTTCTGAATTCGGTTGTATTTTTCATGTTTGTTACCTCATAACTTCGTCTATTATAAACCAATTTGCGAAATACTTTTTTTTACTGAAAGGATATACTTATTAATATAGATTGATTCCATAGAAATTTTATCAAAATCGGTACAGTACTTTATTTTTTAGACCAAAACAACTGGTTTGGTCACAATTGAAGTCGATTATTTTTAATGAACCAGCGCCACAAAAATTCCATTCTGACAGAAGTCAATTTGAATTTGTCACAATTTTTTTTTAAACAGGAATATATACCATGCCAGTAGCAAAGAGCGGTCGTCCTCTTCCAAACCCTCGAGTGCTCTCCACGCAGATGTTCTCCGACCAACAGATTGCCAGCCGCGTCTTCAATTACATGAACATGCAATGGGGCCAGTTCATCACCCACGACCTGATGCTGCAGGTCATGGAAGCTACGGGTGAGTTGGCACAATTTAATAAATATATTATTGGGAAACATATTATGATAGATAGATACTCTTTATTGTTTCCTCCAAAAGATTACAAACTATTACAAATAGATTCTAACAATTACAAGAAATGTTCACACTGAGAAAACAATAGGCGACCTTATCGCTAAAAGCGATCTCTTCCAGGCAACCTTTGGATGGAGAGGAGTAGTTATAAACAGTTTGATCGGAGGCACGATGATATTGAATGCATGGATATTTATTATTATATATATATATATATTCTTTATTGCACTAAAACATACATTAACAACAATAAGTTAATAACAATGTTAGCAAAGGCGAACTTATCTCTAAAAGAGATCTCTTCCAGTCAACCTAACGCAGTGGCATAGAAAGTAGTGAATAGTATTTATAAATATTGGTGATTGCCAGTAGTAGATTTTTAAATTAATTACAATTGTTCAGCAATATTTACTATTACATTACATAGATGTGTAAATGTTTTTTTTACAATTACAAAAATTTATTATTTCTTTTTTTATTTCTGCCGTTAACTGTCCACTACTGAACATAAGCCTTCCCTATAAGCCTTTCCTTTTTTTATGGGTGAAATTGGTATGGTAACCCCGCCTGCGCTGGCGGAGCACCAGTGAAGGGAGATAGATGAGAATGAAAACGGGCCAGTTAGCCCATCATGATGAATTCATCAGAAATCAACCATGATAGTTTCCAGGGGGAACCGCGAGGAGTTCGACCTGGTTGGGTATATTGCTAGCAATGGGGTTCTATCTCCATCACTATTCACCAATCCCTTTCCCCCCTGGCAAGCAGGTTGGCAATCGCAGTTAGGCTTTTATTACTAGAAATATTAAAATAATACAGTTATAATATTAACATTTAATATTAACAAAGTTATTGTAATTTAAATTACACTTATTAATAATAAATCATGTTATGTTTTTACAATGTCAAACAGAAATCATAAATTACAATTATTTATAAAGTTTACAATTTGAAATATAGTGACAAAACACTTTTATAGTTAAAACAGGTTTTAGTTCTTATGAAGAAATAATGAAAGGTTGAAATTACATTTTCTTTTCCTTGAGTCATAATCTTAATTTTTTATTTTACTAATTGAACTGTCAAACCTTAAAATCATTCAACTAAATTTCTATTGTAGGTAGTGTATTAATTTATTTTAACATCCATTGTATAAGTAGGTAGGTATTATATTTATTTATAGTATATGTATTTATGTAATATTTTATTATGTATCTTAATATTTTATTTAACTGTATATATGTTTATGTATTCTAAATATTAATAGTCGTAGCACTTCAGCTACCCGCTAACGACATGCTTTCTAATTGCATTGGGTTGACTGGAAAAGATCTCTATCAGAGATAAGTCCACCCTTGCTCACAATATTTATAAATGCATTAACAATGTAATTTACAAGTGCAATAAAGAATATATGTATATAAATAAGGGGGTTACTGTCGAGTTTTCGTACTATAATGATCGTCTGAGTTCATTCCGGTCACTTAATGATTTACATTTTATCAGATGAAGGTGGTATCCAGTGCTGTCTCGGCGAAGGCGTTGAAGTACTTCACTCTGAGTGGCAAAATGACAATTGTATACCGATTTCCGTTCCCGAGGATGACCCCTTTCACCGTTACCACGGAATAAAATGTCTAAATCTAGTCAGAAGCGTCACTACGCCAAGGGACGATTGTAGTTTGGGATACGCGGAACAGGTAATTTTATATGTTACCAGAGGGAGACTTTGTACAAAAGTCAATTGCTTGGGCACCTCTGTCCCATTCGTGTTTCTACCGTGAAGCAGTTGTGTTTGCATGGCTGTGTTTCGGTTTAAAGGGTGGGATATGGCGTGAATACTGTGTACAGAGGAATAACACCTAAGTCCTCAGGAATGGCAACGCATGGGGGTATCATGGGCGAAACAGTATACTCTGTTATGTCCATGTCTATAGGCGACGGTTACCACTTTCCATCAGGTGGGCCGTCAGCTTGTTTGCCATTCTAAGTTGTATAAAAAAAATGACCATGATTGTGGTTCAATCTTTACAACTGTGATTTTTTAATGGATAAAATGTATTAACGGTCATCTCAAATGCGCTATTAGTATGGTACGCTGACATGGTACTTGTGTGGACTGATAGGTGAGGATGAAATCAGGTCAGTTGACTTATCTTAAAGAATTCACCGGCAATCATTATCATTTTCAGGTTCTTCTCCTGTCTCTTACTCTATAAATAAATATCTTTTTTTATATATTTTTAGATGAACACAGTAACGAGTTATTTAGACGGCTCTCCCATTTATGGTTCGGATAAGAAGTTAGCATCGCGGCTACGAAGCAAGTCCGGCGGCAGACTACGCCAGGAGACGAGGGAGAACTGCAAGCGGGGATTCTTGCCGTCTGTGGATAATAAGTCAGCTGTATGTGACCTGAGGAATACAACCGAACCTTGTTACCTGGCAGGTAAGGAACGTTATTTACTTTATCTTACTTGGCCAATCTATTAATAATACTTGCTTGGCAGGAATCTTATCTAGTTCTTCCTGGAGGTTCAGGTTGCAATGTGCCAAGGATACTGTCTAAGTTTTTTTATGAGTTGGAATGGAGTGATTTCCTATAATCCTGGAAACTAGGCCAGTTGACTAGATGGACTAGATGGTCGGCTAGATGGACCCATCGTGACAAATTCACCTGGTATTAACAACGATAAGTTTCCAGGTGGGACCACGTCTATCTGACAGGTGTATTGCTAGTAATGGGGCTGTTTTTTTATGAGATGGTAATGAAATGGTAACCCTATCTGCTCTATTCGCTGGCAGGGCACGAGTGAGGGATGTTAGGTGATGATGAAAACAGGACAGTTGACTCATCGTGATAAATTCCACAAGAATTAAGTACAATGGTTTTTAATGTAATGGAGCTGGTAAATTTCCATTAACAACAATCCCTTTCCCCCCGTAATGGGTTTAAGGAACAGCGCGGGATGAGTGGCAGCGTCCCTCTTAAAACATCTCCAAAGCCTAACTGCGGTTAGTCCACCAATCCACCTGCCAAGCGTAGCAACTACTGACAACCCCCCCCCCCACCCCAGGGGGGAGACTTATGTTAAGCAGTGGACAGTTAACAGCTGAAATGAGGATATCGTCATAAATCATGCAGGCAAAGCAGCAGGAAATATAGCTAGTAAATTATACTCTTAATTTTCCTCTACGTATATAAATTGGTTCCCTGCCGAGGTTTTCTCAAGAGACTAAAGCATGAGGTTCTTCAAAAGGCTCCCCTTTTGTAGAACCCCTTTTAAAGAGGTTTCTTCAGGGTCGGCAACGCGCGCGTAATATCCCTGGTATTGCAGGTGTTTATAGGCTACGGTAACCGCTTACCATCAGTTGGACCGTATGCTTGTTTTGCACCTCAGTGGTATAAAAAAAAATTGTCCATTCTAGGTGACGTGAGAATAAACCAAACTCCTACTCTAGCACTCCTCCAGACGCTCCTTCTGCGGGAGCATAATCGTGTAGCTGACATTCTAGCCTCCCTGAATCCACTGTGGCCAGACGAGAAGATCTATCAGGAGGCGCGGAAGATCGTTATAGCTGAGATACAGCATATAACTTATCAGGAGTGGTTACCTCTTAATTTTGGTAAGATCATTTGATTTTGGTATCACTGTAGTACCTTTTATGGATGTAGTGAGTGTATGTATTTATGAGGAACTATGCTTGCAGAAGTTGCGGATAGTATCGTTCGTCATCTTCAAAAGAAGTAGAAAATGCGTTTAGTTAAATATTTATTGCCTTTTTTTATTCGAAATGGCAAAGAAGCTGTAGGCACGATAGACAGAAAGTGTTAATCATTGCCTGTGCATATGACATTAACAACTAACACTGTCACGCCATGGTAGGCATTTTATACATTGCGACTTTGAAGTACTAAGATTTTTTTAAATGGATGATAATGGAATGGTAACTGCGCCTGCGCAAAAGGTATACACCGGTGGAGCATCACTGAGGGGATAATAGGTGAGAATGAAAAGACAGGTCAATTAGTGAATTCATTTAGAATAAGTCAAGATGGTTTCCAGTGAGCACCGCGAGGAGGTGGACTGACAGGGTGTATTGCTAGCAATGGAACTACTAATCTTCATTATTAACAATCCCTCCCCCCCAGTATTCAGGTGTTATGATTCTTCTTTATTTTGTATTTACACTAATAGTCTAAAGGTGTTGCAGTCTATCAAGCCCGCATTTTATTGTCGGTATTTTGTTAAGACTCCTTTTTAAATTGTTTTTATGCTATTTCGGTTAAAATGTCTTATTCAGGTGAGAGCTACTACCGCTACTACAGGATCTCACCGTCTACTCTCTACAGCCACGATTATAACGAAGACGTTAACGCTGGCGTCATCAACGGCTTCGGAGCGGGCGCCTTCAGGTTCCTCCACTCCGTCATACCGGACTCTATTATGACCTGCCCGTGGAGCTACCATGCAGCGTACTTGTATAAGTGAGTATTGTTATGCTTACTGACAGTAACGGCCTTAAGAGGGTAGCGCTCGGTGGCATTATGACTTGAGAGGGACTTCGAAATTCAAATGTGGCGTTGAGGTTATAGGTGGCGTAAGAAAAAGACTTTTTTCGTCGTCTAAAATTGGGCCGCTGGGTAATGGTAGGCAAAGAATAACGGAGATTTTCGCTTAGAAGTTGTAATTACAGAAGATTACAGGTCAAAGGCACTGGCATTCTTTTCTTCACTATTAAAATTAAAGTTAAACATACTGCTCTGTAATTTAAACAGCTTCTTCTGAACTTCTGTGTAGCAGTCCCGTGTTTTTCTATATGAAAATCAAATAAACGCCTACCATTTGCAACCGTGTGTGTTATAATATTAGGCATATCAAGAATTTTATTTGTCCTAAAATCCATGATTACAGATTAAGCGATCACTACTTTAACCCGAGTCTTCTAGAATATTCTTCGGAGTCGTTCGACGACGTAGTACGTGGGATCATCGCGCAGCCTTGCAACGAGGCTGATCCCTTCTGCACGGAGGAAATCACCAACCATTTGTTCAAATCTCGCAACCATTGGGGACTGGATCTCATCGCTATGGACATCCAGAGGGGGAGGGATCACGGTATCGCTTCTTATAATGACTACAGGTGAAGTTACGTAATGGAAATTATTGCCATTAATATAACAAAATACACATAATAGTCCATTTATCTTTTAAGATGTTATGCCTCTGTGTCCTGTAACTTTACTGCCATATATGACCCTTTAAATTGTAACATAGTCATACAAACACAGCTGCTTCTCGACAGAAATACGAGTGGGACATGGGTACTGATGCAGACGACTTTTTTACAAAATGTCTCTTTGGTGTTTTTTTTTTAATGGGTGAGAATGGATTGATCACTATGCGTAATCGGTATACGCTGCCGAGGCACCAGTGAGAGATAATGGGTAAAGGATGAAAGCACGTCAGTTACCCCATCGTGACGATTTCCATAAGAATTAAGCATGACAGTTTCCAATTTCTTAAATTGGCGCTGTTAGAGTCCATTATTAACAATCCCTTTACCCCATCTCCTTTTGTTAAGACGCTCTTTTAATGCTCGATATCTTTGCTGATTGTGGTCCGATTTTAATGTGTCATAATACTTGTGTTTTATTTTTTAATAATATGGAGGTACTTAGAAAATTATGGTTATACTTGTAATATAAGGTTGCCATGTGATCCTGGCATAGAATAAGCCACACCTTCCATTCCCGTGGGTGTAGTAAGAGGTGATTAGGGGAACTCTATGAACGGCAGCAACATCTCTCTTAAAACATCACCAAAGCTTAACTGCGGTTGCTAACCCGCCTCCAAGCGTGGCGATTACTGGCTAAACCCCTCTTTATGGAGGAAGTCTATGTTCAGCAGTGGGCAATTAACGGCTATTACAATAATAATATGGTTGCAGAGAAATATGTGGTTTGACAAAGGCGACGACTTTTCAAGATTTTTCCGGTGAAATATCACAAGATGTAAGTATTTTTACCTTTCGTATTGTGGGTATTTCTATTTTGAAAGTCACCTCGGCACTAGCGGGATGTCAGTGAGAAATGATAGGCGAGGTTCAAGTTAGATCAGTTAGTGCGTCGTGACAAATTTATCAGAAATTTAGCATGACACTTTGTATACCGCAACATGTTTTTTTAATTGGTCATGTTTTTTTTTGTAGCCCCGCCTGCGCTATCGATATACGCTGGTGGGGCACCAATGAGGGCGAATAGGAGAGGATGCAAACAGATTTGTAAGCCCATCATGATGAATTCAGAATTAACCACGGTGATTTCCAGCGGGAACCACGTGGAGGTCGACATGATAGGGTATATTACTAGCAATGAGGACTGTTACTAATGTTTTTTCCTCATCCCCACTCCGAGCGGTATAACGTGTGTCATTTTTAAGGGGTATATTGTTACGTAATGCCCATTTGACTTCTATTTTAGATGATTTAGAATTGATCACAATTTGAATGAGAGTTTTTTTTTGGTGGGTGAAAATGGTATGTTAACCCCGCCTGCGCTAAAGGGGTAACGTTGGCGGAGCACCAGTGAAGGGTGATAGATGAGAATGAAAACAGGCCAGTTAGACCATCATGATGAATTCATCAGGAATTAACCATGATAGTTTCCAGGGGGAACCGCGAGGAGGTCGACCTAGATGGGTATATTGCTAGCAATGGGATTCTCAGTCTCCATTACTAACAATCCCTTAACCCCTGAATGCGACAGTTACCCACTGGCAGGTATAAACATGGAATATTATATTGGTGTAGTTTGAAACATAATTTTCTTTTCGTTTAGCGTATAAACGCCCTAGCACAAATGTATGAGAGTGTGGACGATGTGGATTTGTTCGTGGGTGGCGCGATGGAGCGCAGCGTCCACGGTTCGATGCTCGGCCACACGTTCCAGTGCATTGTGGCGGAGCAGTTTTACAGGACGAGGATAGGAGATAGATTTTTTTACGACAACGCCGAGATGCCTCATTCGTTCACGTCAGGTAAACATTAAGATTTATTTCAACGTCCATTTTCTAATCTTATCATTTTATTATCTCCAAAATAAAATTTCGAATTGATAATTTAGTGAAAGTATTTTTTTTAATGGGTGATAATGGTATGGTAACCCCGTCTGCGCTATTGGTATACTCTGGCGGGGCACCAGTGAGGGATGACAGATGAAGATGAAAGTAGGTCAGTTAGCCCATCCTGACGAATTAAACTAGAATTAGTCACGATGGTTTCCAGGGAGAACCACGTGGAGGTCGACCTGACAGGATATATTGCTAGTAATAGGGCTATTTGACCCCGTTACTAACAATCCCTTTCCCCCCAGTGAAAGTATTGTTACCAAGGACAGGACCGAACTACCAAGACCAAGAATTAAGTCTGTTAGCTTTTAACCGTGACTTTGTCCGCGTGACCGCGATTGGTGACAGGGATAAAAGTAGCCTACATCCTTCACTATCTCATATAATACATGTATATCAAATTTCTCAGCGGTTGGTGGCAAGCCGAATGATGAATGTGGAAGAAACGAAAGAGGTTTGTTTAAATCGAAGCATTTGGCGTTCTATTGTCTCTGCCTACCCGAATGGGAGACAGGCATGACAGATATGTATGTATGTGTGGTGACAAGCCGTTATGGCACTATAAGGCATTAAACAAACTTACTTTCTTATTTATAACTTCTTAATATATAAAGATAATAAAATTGTAATTAGACGATGTCTGAATGTACATAAAAAATATAAAAAAAAATGAGAGCTCCAGAAAGTAAAATAATTTTAACACTATGCCCCCGTCCGCCCCTCCCTACCCGTAAATACACCTATGCGAGTATTTGTAGGTACTTTTGGCAATTAAAGTATTAATTCTCATTGTGATTATTTCTTGTAATTTTTTATATTTATAACAATTTTACTATTCTTTTTTTATTTTTCTTTTATTCTTTATTATACACAAAACATACTGTTAATCACAATTCATTATAAACATAATGTACAAAGGCGAGCTTATCTCTAATAAGAGATTTCTTCCAGCAAAACCTTTTCATGTAGATTGTGTTATTTTAAAAATAAAAATAAGCAGTCATACGATCTGCATATATTGTATAAACACATAAGATATGTATACACAAAGAATAATACAAACTACACATTATAATATTTACTATTGTAATATTTTGGAGGAAACAAGAGTATTTATCTATCTATTCATTTCCCAGAACAACTGCAGCAAATAAAGAAGGCGTCGATGGCCCGGCTGATTTGCGACAACACGGACCGCGTGTACTACGTGCAGCGGCGCGCCTTCGAAGTGGAGAACTCATTCAATCCCAAGTACAGTTGTGACGACTACAACGCCATACCCTACGTCGACCTCACCACGTGGAGGGCGCCCACCTTGTTCGATTTATAAATTTTACAATTTATTCATTTCTGTTATTTTTACACGTCTATTTGTCTCTGCCTGGCCATAGATAATATAATATTATACTGGTAGCTTCGCCTTATCCAATTTCATTAGTATTGCCAGTGTATAACGATAGTGAATGCGTCTGGGGTTACCATTTTTATCATTCACTGTTTCCTGCAGCTTTGGTTGCTTCAATTAGTATATGTAGTTATCCTTAGGATACCTATACTACAAATATAACCTACTCATATACTAAATTTCATTCAAATTCTTTCAGCCATTTAAGCATGATTAATAAATAACCAATAATAAAAACATATTTATAAATTTCCATATTAGTCAACGTTTGAAAAGAGCATATACCTTCCTGAAAGGCTGGCAACACACGTGCAATTATTCTGATATTTCGGGTGTCTATGGGCGGCGGTAATCACTTACCATCAGGTGGGCCGCATGCGTTTGTCCCCTATATTATAAAAGTAGGATTAAATGCTATTTTGATTCAATTAATACAAGGAAATTGAAATGAGACAAAATTTAAATAAATTACTTAAATAAGTTTGTAGAAGTTATTTATTTTGTTCAATAAAATATGTATAAATTTATCATTGACTCGCATTTTCTTTATTTAATTAAAAAATACGTTATGAATATTTTTTTTATGACTTAAATTATTCAGATACTTAACATAATATGTATAATATAAATACAAATAAGAAACAAACTACAACATAGTTATAAAAACTATTCTATTAACACAGAAAGAGGACAAAATAGCGTAATTATATCATTAGAGATCTACCCGTCGTAAAATAACATTAGTAATATTTCTGTATATATTTATGTTGGCTTTATCACGGCAAACAGCGAGCTGGTTGCGCAGTGCTGCTCGCACCACAGCCGTGAATAGCGCTCATGAATAAGGGCTCCTATTGAGTTCGAAACTAGTCGGGTATCCCCGAATTTAAAACGTGAATATAAGTAATTAAAATACAATATGACCTTAGGTTATATAGATAGAGCGTCTCCATAGTAATGTTTCGAGAGAAACGGATCAACTTTTTCATACAATTTTGCGTGATAAATAGTTATGAGTAATCCTTTTATAACTTCTATATTTATTTTGTCTTATAATTTCTTCGTCTTTTAATGCGTAAACACTAATTTTTTAAATAATACGTCAGCTTGACGTATTTTTAAGTATAACACTGATAAAAAAACGAGTCATTTGAACTAATTTGCTAATTTGACAATTAGATGACAAAAAGTTGACCCGTTTTTGAGGCTCGATGCTCTATCTATATAATCTAAGAGTATTCCTTACGACAGCTATTACTCAACAATAATATTTTTAATCGAATAAAATATTTACAATTTTTAAAGCTTACGTATATTTCTTATATTTAACTAGAGAATGTTGACAAAAAAAAGCGGTATGTCACATCAGATACCTAAGATGGCCGAAAAACTGTTGACATCAGAGGACGTATATGAAAAGTAGTATTAGAAAAATTAAATAACGGGAAATTAAATACAATAGGAAAACTTTTAATTAATTTTCTACTGTTCACTTGTAATAATAATTGGACAGTTTTTTCTGTACTTAATCCCTAATTTGAGCCGTCGTATAGTCTTTCCAGTTATATACAAATGGATAAAAATATAGTACACAAATTTAGCAAGCGGAAAGTATTTAAACATGTTTGTTTTACTTACATAATATTTCAACAATTTAAAAAATTTGAACATTCGATAACAATCACAACCTATATAAATTATATAAATATATTAAATGCTTTTTGAACACATTAAACAAGTTTATTCCTATACCTAAGTTTGTCGGAACCATAGGTAGGTAGCAATAATAGTATTTATATACGAACCTCATTCCTAGTAAACAATGTACAATCGAATCTATCAATAGAATCTCTTCAATTGGTGCTCTCATGTGAAAGAACAGGACAGCGCATGTCGCTATCTCATTCTATATTCCCATTCGTGTTTCAACCGTGAAGCAGTTGTATTTGCATGGCAGTGTTTCGGTTTGAAGGGTGGGATATGGCGTGAATTTACTGGGTACAGAGGAATAACACCTGAGTCCTCAGGAATGGCAACGCATGGGGGGTATCATGGGCGAAACAGTATATTCTGTTATGTCCATGGCACTGCTCATGTCTATAGGCGACGGTTACCACTTTCCACCAAGTGGGCCGTCACCTTGTTTGCCATTCTAAGCTGTATAAAAAAAAAAATCTACCTAATAGACTCGTTAGCGGTAACAATACTTTTTGTACCTTGTCTAGGAAGCTGATTACTTTACCAGGTAAGTAATTTTTAGGTTATATTTATTATAAATATTGCTGTATGGTCCCAGCATAGAATGGGCCACCTCTACCTATCTCGTAGGTGCTGTTAGAGACGACTAAGGGAACTTAACAGTCGAGGGATGGACAGCAGTCTCTCTTTAAATATCACCTAAATCTAAGAGTTGCCAACCCGTCTGGCAAGCATGGCAACTACTGGCAAATCCCCTTACGGGGGAGGCCTATGTTCAGCAGTGAAAGGTTAATAACTTATATGAGTTATGTTAAATATATCAGTTTGGATACAAATGTGTATGCACAGAGGGCCTAGTTTATTATAATTGTTAAGTACCAGGAAAATTTATATAGTATTTGTAACATTATTTCAGAATACATTTAAATTTCACATTAATTAGCTTCCATTTTTCTCCGTGCAATCTTAATTTGTTTACAAACTACCTTCTTTGAAGTACTTAGGTACGTAGGTATTCCGAATGGAGTGTGAGCGAAACGGAAGACGTTAAAAGTACATACCATAACAAATTTTCATCCATTTAACCCAGCACAATTTCCATTTCTTTATAGCCTAGTACAATTATATCGGTAGATTCCTGTTACGCTCCGGCTCTTTGTTCCACAACGAGTGGAATTTGTTCTGGACGTTGCTCCACGAGACAGACGAGTGCACCAGCTGCCCGAGCCCGCCTGAGCGCGGGCTGATGAAGCGCTCCAGCAGTGGCCGCTTGTACAGCCGCTGCGCTTCCTGGCGTTGGTCGCTAGTCACTTTTCTGTCATCCAAGTGGTATAACGACGGGAATTGGGATATCACGAACAGTCTGGGAATAGATAAAGTGAATATGTTATCTACTATTTCACTGAGAATATAAATAATTTAGTCCTTTTAAGTTTTACTGAACTAGGCGTTATCTTGTGGAAGTCCATATCACTGGTTATTTGATTAAAATTATTTTGTTTAATTCCATTATCATTAGTATCCCAAAGAGGGTTGACGTCAGGCAGGCGGCTGATCGTAAAACTAAAAACCAATCTTTTTGTAATATGGATAAAATCATATTAAGCCGACCACAAATGATTGGGATAAGGATAGGAAGATGATGAATTCTATTATCATTAATATATGTGTAATAGTTATTTAAACTTTATTTTTTTTTTAGAGTTCTATTTGCCTTCAATATATTTTAGACGTGCAGTTAGTAAATTCACTTATGTTATTCTATACAACACTGGGTCACATGGGTCACATTGCGGCAGACAATAGGTAAAGCCTTATAATTGGTGCCTTAACCGGACATACGCCAGTAAGGCATATACTATACAAGTTGAATCTATCCTCAGACACGCTGCAGATTGTGTAGTGAAAAATAGATATGAATCTACTGAGAATAGCTTATCTAGAGCCAAGAGATTATAGGCGTTTTAAACATTATTATGCTTTTATACCATGAATTTAATGGAAAATTGAACCCTTCAAATGAAAATAGCCATGCAAATACAACTGCTTCAAGGCAGAAATTTTACCAGAGGGAGACTTTGTACAAAAGTCGATTGCTTGGGTACCTCTGTCCCATTCGTGTTTCTACCGTGAAGCAGTTGTGTTTGCATAACTGTGTTTCGGTTTGAAGGGTGGGATATGGCGTGAATTTACTGGGTACAGAGGAATAACACCTGAGTCCTCAGGAACGGCAACGCATGGGGGGGTATCATGGGCGAAACAGTATGCTCTGTTATGTCCATAGTACTGCTCATGTCTATAGGCGACGGTTATCACTTTCCATCAGGTGGGCCGTCAGCTTGTTTGCCATTCCAAGTTGTATAAAAAAAAAGAAACACGAATGGGACAGAGGTATCAAAGGAGATGACATGTACAAACTCTGTCTTTGCTAAAAATCTTCTTATAAACTTTTGTTAAAAGTCACACACCTGTATTGCAAGTATTCGTAGAACGTGCCCCCGTTGAGATAGCTCGGCGCGGCCGGGTTGCCCATCAGGCACAACATGTTTAGTTTCGGACACGCCTCTTTCAGCTGCCCCACCCAGGGGTACAGCGACGATATTTTACAGTGATTCAACCTGCAAAATGCCGGTAAATATCTATATATCGTGGATTAGATACGTCTTTTTTTTAATCGGTGAAAATGGAATGGCAACCCCACCTACGTTATCGATATATGCTTGCGGGGCACCAGTGAGTCTAGACTAGTTGGTCGATCGTGACGAATTTGACAAGAATTTACTATGATGGTGTTTAGGGGGAAGGAGGTGAACGTGAAAGATTATATTGCTAGTAATGGAAGACTACCTACAAACAATACTCTTCCCCTCAGATTATATAGTTTTTTTATGGGTGATAATGTAAAGGTAATCTTTGCCTGCGCTATCGGTATACGCTGGCGCATTATTATTTTACACTTTATTGCACCATTTATAAAATAGTGAATACATTTAACTGTAATGAGAAATGATACAAAGAGCGGCTTTATCGCTTAGTAATCTCTTCCAGAAAACCTTTGGGTAGAGGACATAGAAAAAAAAAAAAGACCAAGGGTAGGTGGCGCACTATTATATATAAACTAATATATACAAACATATATGTTTGTATATATTAGTTTATATATATATACACATTAGTACATAAACATACACAAACTTATTGTATCTACCCATATTCACCTAAATCCTAAATAAAAAGGTACGCAGGCATGACACCCTAGTTCTCAAGAATGGCCACACATAAAGGGTAACATAGGCGACACAGTATGCTCCGTCATGTTCATGATACTGTTCAGGTCTATAGGCAACGGTTACCAGTTTCAATACGATGGGCTGTCAGCTTGTTTGTCATCCTAAGTTGAATAAAAAAAAATACCCTTAGATAAATAGGTACAATTGTGTCTCTCCCCTTTTTGAGGGTTGACAGAACGTTAAGTGGCTTATTCCTTTCAGACCCAAGATTTTTTCTTTCAGATTAAATATATTTTCGTGTTTTGGAGCCAAGCCATCTTGCCGGCACGCACGAGACTACTGCACCACCTAACCGCTAAAATAATTTCTTATTGGCCGGTTTAGAATCTCACTATCATGTTATTTCAGCTTTGTGCGTAAAAATGAATTGCGCGCGGTTTTAGAATTTTTTAAAGTTACAACTCACGCCCGTGTCGTTCAGGTCTGAAAGGGTTTGGAAAAATATAATTATTATAATGGTCACTTACCATAGCAGCTTCAGTTTGGGCAACGGCGGTAGAATGCAGTCCTCTGTGATTGGATTGTTGTCTGCTATCAGTGAATGCAGGTGCCTGAAGTGAACTAGGGGGTGTAGGTTTCTGTCGAGTATTTGAATAATAAATTATTTATTATAAATATAATTATTTAATATAATTATTTATTATATAATAATTATTTATATTTATAATAAAATTGTCATTAGGTTATTAATTATGTTAATATTTCCATAGAGATGGGGCACTGGTGACTTGTAACACAGGTTCTTCTAAACCTACCGCAAGCACCAGTCTCTCACAAAATTGGTCTTCATGTCAAATTGTACCTCAAGTTGTCACTTTATTCTACCTTTTGTGAAGAGAAAATAAACCATTCATTCAATTATCAAGAAATTTATTTAGTATTTTACTGAACTAAGTGGTATTTTGCGGAACTCAATATAGCTGGTTTTTTTTAATAGATGATAATGGATTGGTAACCCCGCCCGCGCTATCGGTATACACCGACGACGTACCAGTGGAAGACGATAGGTGAGAATGAATGCAGGTCAGTTAGCCCTTGATGAATTCGACAAGAATTAACCATGATTGTTTCTAGGTGTAACAACGTGAAGGTCGACTTGAGAGGGTATATTGCTAGCAATAGGGTTATTAGACCTCATTACTAACAATCCCTTTTCCTCCAACACACCCTAGTGTGGTCTACCTCGAGTATCAGTTCACTTCCTGTCCATGTGGTATAATACTTACGTAATTTTATTATGGCTAATGTCAAGGTACACAATATGAAGAGCAAACTTTTGCACAATTGTACTTGGCAGTTCATATAGATTCTCGTACGCCAGATTTAGTTTCGTGGAGTCGTCCTCTTTATCAGCAATACCTTCTATTGACCTGAGAATAAATATTTTACAGCTGTTAGATCATACATCCCTAGTGGAGCTAGTTTTATCAAAATTCTAACTTGAATTGTGAAATAATAATTATCAAAGTGAGTTTATCTTACTTAGCCCCTGCTAAGATGTATTCTCTGTAACAATATACTCTGTTATGTCTATGGTACTGCTCATGTCTATAGGCGACGGTTACCACTTTCCATCAGGTGGCCCATCAGCTTGTTTGTCATTATAAGGTGCATAAAAAAAAATTAATAAATTAACACCATTAAAGCTATTTGTTTAACTAATAATTATAAAATTTTATATATACCAATTTTTTTTCTTTACATATGTGGTGTTTACCAATAATTTGTTAGTGCAATGTTTGTAATATAGCAACCAGTATTGCAATGTAACAGCCTTATCAAAATAACATTGTAACTGATATTGCTAATCCTAAGTAAATAAAATAAAATTTGACATACACATATATGGGATGGAGAAAGGTATAAACTACATTTTATCCTGGTCTGTAAATATACCTAGGTCATGCGGGCAAAGTAGTGGGTAAACAACTAGTTTTAGATACGCTGATCTAGCTGTCTCCTGATTGAGTATCCATTCTCATGATGTGATGAAAAAATTATAGACATATAAATATTTATTTCAAAATATTACATACTGTCTTTCCTCTCTACCTATTTCTACCATGTCAATTCTAATTAACTGCAACTTAGGTGGACTCATTGAGTTATAAAATTATAACACACATATCGTCATAGTCGTAGAATACTGACGGATCTGACAAATATTACATATAAAGATCCATCAATATTTTAAACTATGACAATATCTGCCTCACATGTGTGGGTGCCTCAGATAAATAATCCTATACTTTTTGGGTTATTTATCTGAGGTAAGCACTGTCAAATTTTGTATTCTGTGTCTATTGGTGAAAACCTATTGTTTTGTTGACTCCATTGTTATTATCTTGTAGTTATTTTTATGTAATTAATCCTTGGTTTTTCTGTTACAAATAAATAAATAACTTATTTTTACTTACATGATCAAGTCAGGTGGTATGAGGGTCTCAGGTATGTCACTAATGGAGTTTACTGATATATTACTGATGACGTCCACTGTTAGTATTCCATGTTCAGCTGCTGATGTGCTCGGAATGCTACAAGATAAATATTGTTTTATTGTAGTAATGTTAATTATAATTTTTTATATCTAATTTAACAGTATCAAAGTTGGATATTCACTTATTTCTATTCATTCATAAACATATTTTTAATTCAGTCCTTAGCATAAAGATTTATGGTTTATAGGAGTGGGAATGAACACTTAATTCATCAGGGACACTTTTACTCATGGGTATAAGTAATTGTTGCACCTGATTAGACAGTATTGTGCCTAGTGATGAGGTAAAATGCTTATCACTATCTTATTATAAAAGTAAATCATTGATAATCACTAAACACTTATTTACTTTTTATGAAATTTTAAGCAAAATGCTTCTTTCCACTTTTGATTTGCTGTAAGAAAACTCTTTTAGAGTTAAGCTCGGCTTTGTATATTTGCTTACCTCTGTCATATTTTTTGTGTATTATTAATGTATACAATAAAGTATAAAATAAATAAATTAGAAAAGAATAGGTAATATGTAAGTTTTGTAATATTTTTTTATCAATCGTCAGTAAAAAATAATGTAACTTCTTAATATAAAAAATAAATATACTTACATAGAAATGAAATTACACTGAGTCATAATTAAATTATTTGATTTATTATAAGCACTTCTTAATCATTTCTATGAATAAAGTGGGTACAATATTTAGAAATAAATACTTTGTAGGAGTATAACTTTGAATCTATTGTTAGACTATATTAACTATTTTGTTTTTTTATGGCCTTAGTGCATGGTTCGATACACCAGAGATGAAACTGGATGATAAGTTCAGACCAAGGGAAAGTAGATAATTTTAAACGCAAATTTATTTTAATTAGGTGCAATTTTCGGTCAACAGATATGAATTTTTAGTCAATGGACACGAAATTTAATGAGCTACACTGTTTATAAAACATAATATATAATGTTATTGATGTATAGTTTGTAAAAAAAATAAAGCGAATTTTACAAAACTTAAGTAAGTGGGTTAATTTGTTACCTGTTTTTATCAGATTATAGACAACAAACACAAGCTATTATTTATTTTCGTTATAAGACACATCGATACTATTACATTAAATATCAACAAAAGTAAATAAAACGAAATAAATTAGAATCATTTATAAAACAGCAAAACTGACTAGAAAAGTAAAAGAAAACATTTGATATTTTCTCAACATTATCGGGGTCGGTTCGGAAGCGATACTTTTTTAAACTTATGTCTAAAATTAATTTTTTTATTTGAAATCACAGCGGAATCTTAATCTTTAGAACCAATGTGAACTAAATTTCTAATAGATTTCAATCAAAATTATTATAAATTGACCCCCATTTTAAATTTAAATTTTATATATATTCATAAAAATGTCAGACCTTATAAACGTATTTTATTTATTGAACCATTGTTCTTTCTTTCGTATTAAATTCTTAATTTGAATGAAAGTGACAAAACTATGTAATAGTTGAAATAGATTTGTAGGAGGTTTTAGTTTATATATAAATAAGAAGGCTAATTTATAATGGTCTATAAAGCGGTAAATTCGCGAAACTATCAAATTGAAATATTAGTTAAAACGTAAGTTTAGAGAAATAACGCCTCAGAATCGAAGCCATTATTACAGTTTAGGAATAAAACAATCTGTCAGGAATCGGCAGAAATAATAGGTTAAGGATAGTAACAACATCACAACACATAAGATGACATTTATTGCAATTTTAGGGGTGCGTATCTCAAAAGGAAAAAAGAAAAACGGAATACTTATAAGGTCGATCGCGTATCTGTTTGTCCGTCCGTTTGTCACAGACAATATATAACATATGTAAGTTGTGCCGTGAGTCATGCGAATTCCAGATTCGTCTAATGATCACCTCAGAGTATGGGTAAAGTTTCGCAAAGACACGTCTGAGAGTAAATATGCGTCTTTTATTGAGGTCCCTAATCTATGGGTCTATCCTTTTTATCACTGGGACTAGTAGTTACTCGAAGGGAGGGCATTTGAACTATGTACTTTACTATATATGATTTACTATATTTAACATATCTAATGGCAAGGAATTAGATCGGCTACCTGCCACCACCAACTCACGTTGTAGCCATGAATCTCCCTACCCTGTTTGATTGATTTCCACGCGGCTACTCCGGTAAATTATTGTGGTCAATTTCTAGTAAATTTTCATTATCACTCATTAAAAAAACATAGGAGAGATTTATATCTTGTTATTTCTGTGCTGCTGTTAGTGTCTATATGTATGTGGCAGTTACTTTCCATTACAGGTGGGCGTCCCTCTTAAACTACAACCAAAAGCCTAACTTTTGATATATCGGCATTGCCGACTCTTAGGAAACTGATTTAACATTTCCTAAGAGTCGGTAATGTGCGCATGACATTCCTGGTGTTACAGGTGTCCATAGGCTACGGTAACCCTGTTTATAATCAGACGGGCCGTATGCTTGTTTGCCACTTTAGTAGTATAAAAAAAACTGCGGTTGTCAACGTATCTGCCAGGCGTGGCAACTACTGGCAAAACCTCCTTTATGGGGAAGGCCTATATTCAGCAGTAAACAGTTAACGGCTGATATGATGATGATATTGTGATAGGTAGTCTGTAACTTGTTTACCTTTCTCAATATTATAAACACAGATAAAAAGAAATAGGTCAATATCACAATACTACTTTCTATCCAAACCCCGCATACATGAATTAATCGTGTGTGCCCTTATCTGCTTGGTTAAGAAATATATTTATAGTTGAGTGGCGAATCGAATATATTCATATTCCGCGCTTTTGTAGCGTGAATTAGGATAAAAATATTCTAAGATTTGGTCTGTGGTCTATGCACACAATTTTATCGAATATATTCATGAGATCAATTCAGTTATTTAGATTGGTTAACAAATATCTAAACATTTTTAGAAATTTACATTTATAAAAAATATTAGTAAACTACTTAACAGTAAAGTTAGGTCAGCTATACCCTGTGGTATTAATCTAGAATGACTTAAATTAATCTGGGACATACTCTTATTGGTTTATGTATGTACAAAATTTTAGTGAAGTGAAGTTTTAGCGAAATTCAGCAATAAAAACCAGAACTCTTACAATTATAATATTAAGATATTTGGAATCTACGTACCTGTTTGTAAAATCCATTTGTAATTTGATTATTTACATAAACGATTAAAAACATCAGGAAGTCACGTTAAACTCAAATTTTACGCTAAATGCGTTCTTATTTAGAATATTATTTTGGAATAAAAATGTCAAAAATGTATTGATCAAGCTTGTTGATTGAAAATATCGACAATGCACGTGGTGAGGCCTAGAGAACAGAATATAGACTGGAGTGAATTCAAAGATAAGGAACTTCGTTCAGCTTCATTGGCTTGGAATATTTATGTATTTGATAATATTATCATTGATGATATGTACACAAAAATGTTTGTGTATGCTATCCAATATACTTTTATCCCAACAATGTTCCTATATCTAGGTAGCTAGGTATATGGGAAAAATCTATTTCATGAATGAATTGTAAATATTTCGATAGGTATCAAAAATAATAGGTAGATACATAGTTTTCATGAAACGCGAATTTTGAGAGCACATACCTATTTAGATGATTTAATTTTATCCTAATTTGCATTATTATATTGGCAGGACAGTAATTTATTATAATTATATACCTACCCATCCCTCGCCGTCTCATCTCTCTTAGTCGCCGCTTATGACACCCACGGGAAAGGAAGGGGTATTTTATGCAACTTAGAATGGCAAATAAACTGACGGCCCACCTGATGGTAACTGTTTCGCCCGTGATACACCTCATCCGTTGCCATTCCTGAGGACTAAGGTGTTATGCCTATGTATCCTGTAAATTCACTGTTATATCCCACTCTTTAAACCTAACTAAATACAGCCATGCAAACACAACTGCTCCACGGTTGAAATACGAATGGGACAGAGGTACCCAAGCAAACGACTTTTATACAAAGTCTCCCTCTAGGGTGGCCCATTCTATGCCAGGACCACATTTTAATAGTTTAGTGAAATTACTGTTTTATCAATCGTTATAAACCAATTTATTGTAATTTTGATTTACATTTATAAGAAATTTAGTTCATATTGGTCCTTAGAATAAAGGTTTCCTTGCGATATTAAATTTAAATTTTATAAAAAATAAGTTTAGAGAAATGGAGCCTTAGAAAAGAATGAAATCGTCGTGGTTTAGTACATACATACTACACTAAAATGTATCCCGCATCATGAGTTCGAATCCGGCTCACAAAAAATACTGCGTGTCCGGGGGAAAGGATTGTTAGTAATGCAGATTACCAGTCTCATTGTTAGTGATATACCCTGTCAGGTCGACCTCCACGTGGTTCCCACTAGAAACCATCGTGCTGAATTCCAGGTGAATTCACACGATGGGCTACCTGACTTACCTTATCATTCTCACCTATCATCTCTCACTGATGTACTGCCAGCTTATACCGATATCGCAGGCAGGGATACCATTCTATTATCATTTATTAAAAAAAGCGCCTTTACTAAAACTATACTCTATCAGGTCGATCTCCACGCGGTCCTCCCTAGAAACCATCGTGATTAATTCCTGCGGAAGTCATGATGGTGGGATAACTGACCTGTTTTCATCCTCACCTATTATCTTTCATTGATGCCCCGTCAGTGTATACCTTTAACGCAAGTGGGGTAACGGTATGGGGCAACCACGATGAAATGATGGTATAAGGCAGGCAGGGAAGCACAAAAGATCCGTATGGGTCGATATGCATCGGCTGACCTCATATGCGAAAAATGAAATGGGGTAACCATTCCATTATCATAGACTAAGAAAAAAACTTGAATAAAGGCTTATAATAAAACTTACCTAATTTTTAGTGGTAACAAAGCATTATTATTTCCAGGATAAATAGTAGGTACCTAACTCTGATTATAATGTGTAAGTGTTTGACGACGGCAAAGGTCGGCAATTGGACTTTAGAAATTATGAGTAAGATTTGTTTATAAATCCAAATAACCGTGTTGGACCTCTGGTGATAATTAATGTTGCTGACAAATTTAATTAATTTATGAAAGAAAAAGGGTAATCGTCATTTATTGATATACCTCTGGTATGCAGGCGTTCATAGGCTACGGTTACTGCTTCCTATCAGGTGGGCCGTATGCTTGTTTGCCACCTCAGTGATATATATATATATATACTTTAATTGTGATAAAACCAGCTTTTCTTAAAAAACCATGTGACTGAACCGAGTTTGACAATATTTTAAAATTTATTTAATTAGAAATAATCTGAAATATATATCCTTTTAAATAAAAAAGTCGAATCAGTTTATAAATGACGGAGTTATGTGGCAACAAACATAAAAAATAAAATCTAATGAGGACCTCCTCCTTTTTTGATGTTGGTTGATGATTACAAATTAATATTGTGTTATGAGACAAAAGAAAATAAACATATATGTTCCTAATATAGAATATCTGGGGGGAAAGGGATTGTTAGCAATGGAGTTTGACAGCCCCATTGCTAACAATATGCCCTATTAGGTCGACCTCCACGTGGTTCCCCCTGGAAACCATCGTGAACAATTCTTGTTGAATTCGTCACAATGGGCTAACTGACCTATTTCATCATCATCTATCATCCTTCACTGGTGCCCCGCCGGTGTATACAGAGAGCGCGGGTGGGGTTACCATTCCATTATCACCCATTAAAAAAAAATACAGAATATCTAGTCAGTACCGAGTCCAGTCATGCATGCTCGATGTAAATGTTTAAAGTTGGGATTTCACTCGTTTTTATATTACGTTTTATACTTATTTGCTAAATAATCTGATAAAGAGTTCAAATCGTATAGTTGATATTTATAAATATAAATAAATAAGGCTCTTAATGCTTCATGTGACTGATTTTAGGTCAATTATTTGTCAATGTCTCAACTGGGTATTCGAATTTCATCTCGAGATTTCACACTGTCTAAGATTTCATTCTGGTTGTGACAGATTTAACACGTAATAATTTATTAAATACTTATATCAGTTCTTAATTGTCCATTGCTGTATATAGATTCTCTACCTTGGAGGGTTTTGCCAGTAGTTGTCATACTTAGCAGGCGGGTTGGCAACCGCAGTTACACTTTGGTAAACTTTTAAAAGGAAAGCTACCCATCCAATAATCAAATAAATTCTTTTACTCGCCTTGTATGAAACCCGCAGGAAAAAAAAGTGGCTCATTCTATATCAATATGTAAGCCATACGATGCTGTTTTAAATCCGGTTTGAAGGCCTGTCGTTATGGATGTATCATAACTTTAGATCAGTGATTCTCAACCACTGTGCCGCGGCACTTTTGTGTGCCGCCAAATTTTAAAAGTGTGCCGCCAAATTTTGCAAATATTTAAAATTTTTGTCATAAATATTTATATTTATGCAGTGTGTTGTAGTAAGTAAATAATTTTTATCTTTTTCTTTGTGTGCCGCCAAATTTTGAAATCGTTAAATATGTGCCGCAACAAAAAAAGGCTGAGAATCACTACTTTAGATCATGACAAATGATAAACAGCACAATTAGGTATCAAAATCAATGTTATTTAGCAAATCCTTTATGGTAAATGCTGATAAATAAATATGCCGTAGAATGTTTTTGATGACTGATTATTAGTTGATTTTGATTATCAAAATATGTACGGCTGGGTATTATACAAAGTTACAGTTCGTACTTATTTCTTATTCAATATTGCTGACGACTTTAAAACTACAGTGCACGTATAAAATGACTATGAAAACTGCATGATATAAATTTTAATTAGATTCGTAGAATATTGATTGAACCTAAATATCACCATAAATTAATCTAAATAGGCAATAATCAATGACCAAGAATCAAGGAAGGATTTATTATTTCGCAAGGATATTTATTCCGTAAATAGGAATGGAAGGAAATTAACAACGAAATGTCAATGTCAAAATTTGTTGACGCGGCGACATTGACGTAATGGAATGAAATTGTTTTCATGTTCCTTCATTCATATCATATTTTCAAAAGAATATTTATATTCAAATAGGTAACTTTTATTCGTGCAATGATAACACCATAATAATTAAATATAATTATAATAAGAAAAAATGGATGTGAGTATTAAAGTAATTGTATTAAAATATAGTTTTGCTGTGATTATTCCATATGTCGTATTATAAATTATAAATTGTGAACTTTCACTTATGAATTAATTAATTTTCCTTATCAGGAGAGCAATATTCCAATAGACATAAATATAGGGAAGCTCCAAGACTGGCTGGTGAGCAGGCGACACGTCAACAAGGAATGGCAGAAGAGTATTATACCTGTGAGAGAGAAGATAAATAATGCCATCCAGGATATGCCAGCCCATGATGATATTGCTGCCTTATTATCAGGTTATTCCTTATAATAATAAATACGAATAATAAACTCTTTATTGTGTACAATAGAGATGTAAACAAGGAGTATTTATACAGAATGTGCATATACAAAAGGCGGCCTTATCGCTAAAAGCAATCTCTTACAGACAATCTGGATTTTCATCATCTCTTTATTCAGGTTACTTTATCTAGTCTATTTATTATTGACACCCAAAGTTCTGAGTAGGTCAAATTTTAATAATTATATATGTATATACAATATATACTATTTTATTATTAATATTTTTTTATTTGTCAGTCAAGTAGTAAAGTCAGTTAAGTGTAAGTATTGTTTAAACATTTTTTTTATTTATTAAGGTTAACAAATAGTAACACATTACATATATAACTTATAGGTATGTTGGTATAACAATTATAATAGATTTGCCATCCACTATGGTAATCACATTATTAAATTACAGGTACTTTTATATATATTATTACTTATTAAAATAATACTATATTATAATAGTATATAAATAATTTAAAATTTTATGAATATAGTTTGAATTTTCAACAGTGACCTAATTTTTTTTTCATGGGTGAAAATGGTATGGTAACCCTGCCTGCGCTAACGGGATATGCTGTCGGAGCACCAGTGATGGGTGATAGATGAGAATGAAAACAGGCCAGTTAACCCATCATGAGTAATACATCAGGAATTAACCATGATATTTTCCAGGGGGAACCGCGAGGAGGTCGACCTGGTTGGGTATATTGCTAGCAATGGGATTCTCAGTCTCCATTACTAATAATCCCACAGTGACCTGATTAGGTCATTATACAAATTACAGAATTTTATAGAATAAATTTTTCCTTCAGGATTCTAGATACAACTCATTTCCATTCAATTTACCTTTTACTTATGTAAAAAATAATTTGACTTGCAATTATAATGTTTCATTATTAATTATTATTGATTTTCAGGTAGCTATATCAATTATTTCCACTGCCAGAAAATAATAGAGATACTAAAGGAAACTGAAGCGGACACCAAAAATCTATTTGGTAGGTATGGATCACAAAGGATGAAGGACTGGCAGGATGTGCTCAAAAGTTATGAGAGAGAGAATTTGTATTTGGCTGAAGCTGCACAGATGTTAGTCAGGAATATCAGCTATGAGATACCTGGCTTAAAGAAACAGATAGCAAAAGAGGAACAAATGCAACTTGTGAGTATTATTTAGTTTAAACTTAATATTATAAAGAGGAAAGATTTGATAATTTTTATTTGTATTTTAAATATTTTTTTATCTGTATAATATTACATTGTTTTTTAACTTGGAGTGTACACTCCTCGCAAAAATTAAGGGAACATAAAAATTTTTGAAATTTTTGGGTGATTTTCAACAGGCTGTATTTCAGTGAAAAATAATCGTACAGGAAATTTAAAAAAAGAGTTTTGAAGCTTGAAAACTCTAGTTTTCAGATTTTTTGGTGAAAAAATTTTTTGAGCTCCGGTTTCCATGCAATTCTTAAACAAAGCTGAAAATAATTTTTTTCTAAATTTTCTAGGTTTCGTTTTTCACTGTATGGGCATGGAAAAATTTTTTCGAGCTACTCCATTGTATAGGTCTCTTAGCGTGTTTATTCAGCTTCAAAAATCGCTTTGGATGGCTCAATTACGACCATTTGTCTCCGAGATATCGAACTTTGAATGCAAAAGCATCCTTTTCCATTCAACTGCTAATATCTCTGGAACTACTAGTCGCACAGCAAGCGGGTGCCGAGTTTCTTTATCTGCATAAAATTTCCAATTAAGCACAGTCAAGAGTTAGTGAAGAAAAAATTTTTTTCCACCTCTAACATTGAATTGAAAAAAGTGGAAAAAAGTGACTTTTTCTCCTTTTTTGGTTACTTGGCTGTATCTTCGCTAATATGGGCGGGAAAGCTAAGGTTTGAGGAAAATTTTACAGTCTATTGTTCCTTAAAGAACCCCTAAATCCCTGGAGCGATCGGTTCAACGGTTTTTCCCGGACCAATTGATTGAAATTTTGGAAAAAATAAGGGAACAAGGTTTTTGTCCCTTAAACTCACCCTAATCCATTCAAAAATCAATAATTTCATTTGTTTTTCACTTTTTACTCAATTTTTTGTTTTTTAAAAATTTATTATCAAAAAAAAATCGAAAAAAAATCACGACGAATCTGACCGTGCAACACGTGTAAAAAAAATTTTTTCTTCACTAACTCTTGACTGTGCTTAATTGGAAATTTTATGCAGATAAAGAAACTCGGCACCCGCTTGCTGTGCGACTAGTAGTTCCAGAGATATTAGCAGTTGAATGGAAAAGGATGCTTTTGCATTCAAAGTTCGATATCTCGGAGACAAATGGTCGTAATTGAGCCATCCAAAGCGATTTTTGAAGCTGAATAAACACGCTAAGAGACCTATACAATGGAGTAGCTCGAAAAAATTTTTCCATGCCCATAGAGTGAAAAACGAAACCTAGAAAATTTAGAAAAAAAATATTTTCAGCTTTGTTTAAGAATTGCATGGAAACCGGAGCTCAAAAAATTTTTTCACCAAAAAATCTAAAAACTAGAGTTTTCAAGCTTCAAAACCCTTTTTTTTAAATTTCCTGTACGATTATTTTTCACTGAAATACAGCCTGTTGAAAATCACCCAAAAATTTCAAAAATTTTTATGTTCCCTTAATTTTTGCGAGGAGTGTATATTATTAAATAAAGTTTTAAAAATGAGAGAAAGTCACAAAATATTATTTAAAAATTATTAATTTTATATTATTTTCATTCATATAAAAAAAAAAAAAAAAACTAGCCTTAATATAAATATTTAAAGATTGTGCCCCACAAAAAAAAAAGATTAATTGTGGCAAAACTAGTAATTTGATCAAAAAACCAAACTACTTGTTCAGTTCCTTGCTGGTTGCTGGTTTTATTGTAGTTATATTATGCAGGAACTTGTACCAGAAGAATAAAATTAAAATAAAATATGCCATATATAGACGTGTATGTATATTGATGAAGTAATAGAGAAGAACAAAAGACATAGTGCAACGACGAGCTATGAGAATTGTCGATGATCCCATGCTTGCAAGCGGTATCGAACCCTTAAGTCTTAGGAGAGATTTTGCCTCACTCTGCGTGTTCTACCGCTTATACAACGGATTGTGCTCAGAGGAATTATTCAATATGATGCCTACGGCCACTTTCTATCATCGTACGGCTCGCCATCGGCAGGGAGTTCACCCTCATACCTTACAGCCTAAATGGTCGCGTACAACGCGGTTTCAAAGATGCTTTCTCCCACGAACACTCAGGTTATGGAATGAGCTCCCTGCCGAGGTTTTCCCGAGAGACTACAGCATGGGGTTCTTCAAAAGGGGGGTAAAGAGGTTTCTTCAGGGTCGGCAACGCGCGCGTAATACCTCTGGTATTGCAGGCGTTCATAGGCTACGGTAACCGCTTACCATCATGTGGGCCGTATGCTTGTTTGCCACCACAGTGGTATAAAAAAAAAAAAAAAAAAACATATTCCATAAAACAAAAGAAAAACAAAAAACTATTTTACAATTATAAAATAGTTTGAATTACTCTATTTTTGTTCGTATTGAACACTACTGAACCGTTTTTGATAAAATATCTATGGTACAAATGTCCTTTGATGTGAGTATGTCCTTTAAAAAATATATATATATATATTGCACATTGGTCTACAAGTGACGGAGATATGAGCTAAAAAACATAAAAAAAAATACAACAGAATTGAGATCCTTCTATTTGAAGTTGGTTGAAAATGCATCAAGCTTGATAATGTTTAGGCTACAAGTTTGTACTGGAGATCTGTATATAAACATTACCCTTCATTTTTCAGCAGTTGCAAAAATATATTTTTAGCATTAAATTCAATGAAAATATTTTTTATTAATGTTTGACAATTCTTTGATTTCTAGGAATGTAAGAAAAAGCATTCAGATTATTTGAAGAATGAGGCGTCCAGTAAATCTGAGTTTTTGACTTTATGCAAACAGTTGGGTATTCAGGGTAACAGGATAAAGAAAGAGTTGGTGGAGAGGTTGCAGGAGCTGCCTGAAATTTATGACAAGGTATGTATGAAAAAATGTTAAGTTCATTAGTTTTTACTACCACTACTCCCTCTGGTGTCCAGAGTTTTTATACACCCTTTGTTGTGAATGAATGACTCAGCCTCAAAAGAAAATACAACCAAATTGAGAACCTCCTTGTTTTTGAAGTTGGTTGAAATTAATAAAGTTTAATCATCATATCAGCAGTTAACTCTCCACTGTCGACCATAGGCTTCCTTCATAAAGAGGCGTTTTTCCAGTAGTTGCCATGAGTGGCAGGCGGTTTGGCATGTGATTGCCAGTTAGGTTTTGGTGATGTTTTAAGGGACACTACGGCCCATTCCTGGACCATTAAATTCCCTTAGTCGCCTCTTACAACATCCACGGGAAGGGAAGGGGTGGCCTATTTTATGCCCAGACTACATGGCAAATTTCAACTGTCATATGCATAATGGCCCAAGTGAGAGGCTAAGCATGGAAAATAAAGTCCAATTTACTGTGAATTAATTAAAACTGTATATGCTTCAAATAATTTCTTGTAATGGCAACATACACGTGATTTAGTATTGCAGGCATCCATAGGCTATTGTGATAGTTTACCATCAGATGGGCTGTATGTTTTTTTTTGATGGGTGAAAATGGTATGGTAACCCCGCCTGCTCTAACGGGATACGCTGGCGAGGCACCAATGAAGGGTGATAGATGAGAATGAAAACAGGCCAGTTAGCCCATCATGATGAATTCATCAGGAATTAACCATGATAATTTCCAGGGGGAACCGCGAGGAGGTTGACCTGGTTGGGTATATTGCTAGCAATGGGATTCTCAGTCTCCATTACTAATAGTCCCTTTCCCGCCGATGGGCTGTATGTTTGATTGCTAATTTCGTGGTATAAAAAAAATCATATTTCTGGTTTCAGATCGGTAAATCCCTCAAGCCTTTATTGCCAGGAATAGAGTTATATTCAGCATTCACGAAATACGTACTCGGTGACAAAGCAACAGATGTGGTGTTGTTACTGCAATATGTGGTAGAGCATGGCAACACAACTGTTTACGAGTGGAGTTATGGTGAGCCGCCATTAAGTGTTGAACCTGACCCTGTACACATAGAGCTGGATGATGAAGACGAGGCTGCTGGTGATCAGGTAATTATTTTATCATCATAAATTAGGCAAAGACAGAAATAATTGAAGAATCTTCTTTTTTTCCCTCCATAGATACCCCTCCATGCATTGCCATTTCTGAGGACTCAGGTGTTATTCCTCTGTACCCAGTAAATTCACGCCATATCCCATCCTTCAAACCGAAACGCAGCCATGCAAACACAACTGTTTCACGGTTGAAACACGAATAGGACAGAGGTACCCAAGCAATCGACTTTTGTACAAAGTCCCTTTTTAAAGTCTGTTGAAAATAATATTAATCTACTAACCAGTTAAATATTAACCCTAAATCATTTTTGCAGATTGATTTTGGCGATAATGAGATAGACTTCGGATCAATAGATGCGTCTGCAGCTATAGACTTCGGCGACGGTGATGCTGTCGCAGAGATTGACTGGGGGAACATTGACGCTGGGCCGGCAGAGAATGTGGTGAGTTTGATTCATCATTCATAAACGCCAAAGTATAGTGGGAACATCTTTATGTGTTTTGATGTATCATATTACATCATCATCATTATTTACATCAGCCTTTAGCTGTCCACTGCTGAACATAAGTCTTTCCCTTGCCCTCGAGTGGAACTCTCGACTCGACTACTAAGAATTGGAACTGAACTGACAAAACCTTCTGGTTTTGCCAGTAGCTACCACCTTTTCTTTACGCTTGGGTGTCGTAAGAGGCCATTAAGGAGGGAAAGAGATGGGCGGCAGCGTCCTTATTAAAACATCTCTTAAAGCTTAGTTGCGGTTGCCAACTCGACTGCCAAGTGTGGCAACTATTGGCAAAACTCCAGCAAGGGGAAGGCTTATTATCAGTAGTGGACAGTTTATGGCTGAAGTTATACTCAATTCAGTGATAGTATTTTAAATATAGAACTAGTCAAGCATTCCCGACTTGAAGATACGGAAGTAAGTCGATTTACCTTACATTTAAAATATATACTTACTATACAAAACTATACTATATAAACATATACTCACTTCTCATTAATATTTACTGCATTTGTAATTTCTCTTTTTATTTGGTGCAATAAAGTGTAAATAAATAAATAAATATACTTACGAAACTTAACAATAAGGTATTCATAAAATTAGAAAACATTTTTTTTTAGTGTAAAACATAAAACAAAATCTGTTCTAAATCGATCATTGATGGTAAGGTCAAGGTCCCTTTTAATATTGACCTTTGAGTTTCTTTGGGGAAAGTCGTTTTGATTCATATCAATTTATTTCAAAGTGTCATCATCATTATTTCAGCCATTATCTGTCCACTGCTGGACATAGGCCTCCCCCATCGATCGCCATAAGGAACGGTCTTGAGCCATCTGCATCTATTGACTCCATGCATTTGAGTCGTCATTCCATCTAGTGGGAAGGGGGGGTCGTCTTACACCGCGTTTGTTTGTACGAGGTCGCCACTCAAGAACCTTTCTTCCCCATCGGTTGTCGGTTCGGTGTATGAAATTGAAATTCGATAATATTTGCCAAGGACATATCGGCGAGTATAGCGGAGGTGTCGCTGGAGGAGTCCGGCATCGTGGTGGAGGAGCAGGGCGTGGGCGGCGGCGTGGCGCGCGGGAAGGACGCGCTCACGCTCCTCGACAACCCCACCACCAGGAACCAGTTCATAGACCAGCTGGTAGAGGTATGCTCCACTATAGATTTACCTTCTCATCCAGAGCGAAAGGCAAGCATGTTAGTGATGTTGAGTAAATAACTGGAGTAAACTGCTGAACATAGGCGTCGCCATAAAGAAGGGATTTGCCACTAGTTGCCACGTTTGGCAGGCTGGTTGGCCACATTACTTAGTATTTGGTGAAGTTTTAAGAGGGACGCTGTGATCTCTTTCGTGCAACCTTTGGATAGAGAGGAGTATTATCTCCAGAGAAGTAGTAGCTTCATTTCTTTTGCTTGCTGTCACTATATCCTGTCAGGTTTTCCTCCACGCGGTCCTTTCCTGGGAATCATCGTGATTCATCCCTAGCAAATTTGTCACAATAGGCCAACTGTCCTGATCTCATCTTTGCCTCAGTGAGGGATGATAAAGGGGGATGAAATTAAATTAGTTGACTCATAGTGACAAATTTATGGTATTATGATCATCTTTATTGAGTACCATGTTTTTATCAGAGGGAGACTTTGTACAAAAGTCGATTGCTTGGGTACCTCTGTCCCATTCGTGTTTCTACCGTGAAGCAGTTGTATTTGCATGACTGTGTTTCGGTTTAAAGGGTAGGATATGGCGTGAATTTACAGGGTACAGAGGAATAACACCTGAGTCCTCAGGAATGGCAACGCATGGGGGGTATCATGGGCGAAACAATATACTCAGTTATTTCCATGGTACTGCTCATGTCTATAGGCGACGATTACCACTTTCCATCAGGTAGGCCGTCAGCTTGTTTGCCATTCTAAGTTGTATAAAAAAAACACATTGACCTGTCAGAATACACTACTAGTAATAGGACCGCTAGTCCCCATAATTAGCCCCCCCCGCTTCTCCTCTCCTTGTAAATTTACAGTTGATATTATTTCCAGTTGGAGTCGTTTCTCAAGATGCGTCTATACGAGACGAACACGTCTAGTGATGGTCACAGCTTCTCTCTAATCGAGCAGCTGCCGACGGAGAGCTCAGCTGCGCTCACCGCCATGCTGGACGCGGTGCAGATCGCTGCCAGTCGGCTCACAGCGCCAGAGGTCAATCACCTGCATAATGTCAAACACTCGCCAAGGTATGTATTTCTTGCTGTTCTTAGGCCACATTAGGTTGATTTTCGGTCGCCAATCATCCGCGACAGAACGCCAATACATCAAATTGCATACAGTTTGCTACTAATCGATTAAATGAAAATCGATCATTACTTCGATTGAACTTCGTATTTGTTCGGTTGTCGGCGCACCGATATTCGGTCTGCGGAAGTTTGGTAACTTGGCCGCAGTCCGTCAATGTGTCAACGTGTGTTTGCGTTGGTATGGATTCGCGTTGATTTTCGACCAGGTTTTTTTTTTAAGATAGCCTTTATCACACACTGATAATGTAGCTTTCTATAGGTAAAAGAATGTTAAAAATTCTTTATTTTGGGTTTCTTCCTATTACAAATAAAAAAATCTTTTGTTTATGTTTTTTTTTTAATAGGAGTGGAATGTTCCCTTCGTTTGCGCTAATGGTGTACGCTAGCGGAGTACCAGTGAGGGATGATAGGTTAGATAAAAAAAGCAGGTCAGTTAGACCACCAGAGAGAGACTTTGTACAAAAGTCGATTGCTTGGGTACCTCTGTCTCATTCGTGTTTCTACCGTGAAGCAGTTGTGTTTGCATGGCTGTGTTTCGGTTTGAAGGGTGGGATATGGCGTGAATTTACAGGTTACAGAGGAATAACATCTGAGTCCTCAGGAATGGCAACGCATGGGGGGTATCATGGGCGAAACAGTATACTCTGTTATGTCCATGGTACTGCTCATGTCTATAGACGACGGTTACTACTTTCTATCAGGTGGGCCGTCAGCTTGTTTGTCATTCTAAGTTGTATAAAAAAAAAACCATCGTGATGAATACAAGGAATTGAGCATAATGGTTTCCAGGGGCGACCACGTGGAGTTCGACCTGGGTCTGTCGGTATATTGCTAGCAACGGGACTAGTTTAGATTACAATCGAAACTAAACTTAATTTTATCGTTTTTTTTTATTTAACAGATACGTAGACGTGCTAACAGCGCAGCTCAAACAAAAATTGACGCTTTGCGACAAACTGTCCAAGCTTGCGGCCCGCGCGGCCGAGCAGGCGGACGCGGCAAGCGCCCGTGGCGCCCAACTGCGGCCCGTACTCGCGCGCCTCATTGACCGTACCAAGGAGTTGCAGACTCAGGTATTGTTTGTTTTTTATTTGTAAACACAGATTGTGTTACACAAAAAAAGACTTCAGTTCTGGTAATACCAGTTATATTAATTTCAAAATTAAACTTCTGAATCGAATTTGATAAAATTTCTTTGGGACTAAACTGTAAGTGTATTCTTTTAGAAAAATAAGTCTTATGTATGAATAGTTTATGGTTTAGGATTATTGGCAAAAATTTAATTTCTGCTTGTCTTGATAGTTTTATAATACTATATATTCCATATATAATATATTCCACAGTTCCATTCACTTTCACCAGAGGGAGACTTTGTACAAAAGTCGATTGCTTGGGTACCTCTGTCCCATTCGTGTTTCAACTGTGAAGCAGTTGTGTTTGCATGGCTATGTTTCGGTTTGAAGGATGGGATATGGCGTGAATTTACAGGGTATAGAGGAATAACACCTGAGTCCTCAGGAATGGCAACGCATGGGGGGTTATCATGGGCGAAACAGTATACTTTGTTATGTCCATGGTACTCCTCATGTGTATAGGCGACGGTTACCACTTTCCATCAGGTGGGCCGTCAGCTTGTTTGCCATTCTAAGTTGTATAAAAAAAAATATAAAGATATAATATGTATGACATGATAATAGATTGATTTTTTTTAATATACAAATAAACAATAATTTGATATAGGTAGGCAAAAAAAAAATTGCAGTACATATTAGATACTAAATTAAATTAATTTAATATATGTATATCAAAACGTAAACGTAACGTTGTCACATGTGTAAAAAATCTATTTTCTTTTTGCAGATTGAAAATGACATTTCTAAGAAGTACAAAGGCAGGCCCGTGAACATAATTGGTGGTGTGAAGTTCTTATAGAAACGGTCAAACTAGAATGTAGAGTATATTTTTGTTGATATGTATAAAGATTACATATTTATTTTTTAATTATGTTTTTTATTGTATGTACCCCTATTAATGATAAAGTGATTGGGACGCCCCCCCCCCCCCCCCCCCCCAAATACGCCTGTTTATAAGGGGGTCCAGCCCCGGCTGGAACATAATCTGAAATATACCAATGAAGTAGACAAGTAGCCAGTGACAGTTGGCCCATGGTGATAAATTTGCCAGGAAATAATCACGGTGGTTTCTACGAAGGACCGCGTGGAGGTCCATTTCTCTCCCTCTTTACGGGAACTAGTAGCCCTAAGTAGCAGTAGCATTTAATTTTTTTTAAAACGAATTCATCATTACGTCGAGGGGCTAATCAACCTGCCTCTCCATCCTCACTTATTATCTCTCACTAGCGCCAGTAGTCATTCTATTTTTCATCTATAAAAAAAACTAATCCGATGCTGATACCTGCCGCCGCTGATACCTGCCGCCGCTGATACCTGCCGCCGCTGATACCTTCCGCTGCTGATACTTGCCGCCGCTGATACCTGCCGCCGCTGATACCTGCCGCCGCTGATACCTGCCGCCGCTGATACCTGCCGCCGCTGATACCTGCCGCCGCTGATACCTGCCGCCGCTGATACCTGCCGCCGCTGATACCTGCCGCCGCTGATACCTGCCGCCGCTGATACCTGCCGCCGCTGATACCTGCCGCCGCTGATACCTGCCGCCGCTGATACCTGCCGCCGCTGATACCTGCCGCCGCTGATACCTGCCGCCGCTGATACCTGCCGCCGCTGATACCTTCCGCTGCTGATACCTGCCGCCGCTGATACCTTCCGCTGCTGATACCTGCCGTTGCTGATACCTGCCGCCGCTGATACCTGCCGCTTGCTAATAGTAATAACTAATATTAATGTTACCAACTTAGTACTATTTGGGTTGAAACTACCCTCCCAAAATTAATTGTATGATTTTTTGTTATAATGCATAATTTACAAATATGTGCATTTTGTGTTTATTTTATGATTATAATTAATAAGTTACATCATGTAATGCAAGTTTTTATGTTGTGTAGAGTTATAGATACTTGTATCTCTATTTTAAATGTTTGAAGGAGTGTATATTACTCGCCAAACGATTTATGGCTGATTGTAAATTTTAGGCTTACGTACACTGGAATTTATTATATTTGTAATCACTTATGATAAATAAAGAACTTTAAGAGAAACGGGTTGATAAATTAAAATGCTTGATATTTTAGTTCTCTTTTACCACGTCTTCATCGGTAGGAAAACAAAGACTAATAAATGACAGAATTGTAAAAACATAAGAACAATAGAAATATAAAAATATGACAGACGGAATATGATGGCCAGTTATATAAAAGGCGTATTGTGAAAAAAAAAAAACAATCCGATAGATGATGTTGAAATTTATTATTGTTTTAATTTTTTTTTCTTTTCTTAAAAATTACCAGTATATTGGCGTTGACTTTACCACCTGTCAAAATGGATACAAATTTATGGGAACGCTCTTAAATTTCCATTTACGACCGAACAGCCATATTATTCATAGCAATATAGATTATTGCTAAATATACCATATATGAGCATATATTGTGTCATTTAGCACATGGATTGCGAAAGGCTGTGAAGAGCGCTATTGATTCAGTTTAAGATTGCAACCATGTTTGTTCTATGGTTATTCACCAACATGTTAAGTGGATGGTCAAACAATATATGCACGTTAGTAGTGTAACATTTTGGGGCAGCGGTTCAGGAGTTAATTGACTTATAAAAATGTGGAATTGCCTACTTATAGCATTTAAAGACTAGCTGTTTCCCGCGGCGCTGTTCGCGTGAATCGGTATATAAAATGCCCTATCAATTAAAATATTATTACGGAGTAGTGGACTGTGATGAGATGATGAAATGAAGTAGACACGGAATTTAGTAGCGGAAAAAAATTATCATCAGCGAGCAAGGAACAGACAATATTGCAAAAAATATAAAATTATGTGTACGCATTAGTGAAAACTGCATTCAAATCGGTTAAGCCGTTTCTTAGATTAGCCCGTACAAACGTACAGACAAATAAACATTAATTCTAAAATAATTGTTTTGGGTTCTATTGCGTTTATAAAGCCCCTCTATAATGGTTTTTCTTATACATCTTCCATGTACAGACAGCGATCAGTTAAGATTTTATTATATGTATCGATTGATAATAATGAATTAATGAATGTATGAATGTATGGATGATATTTTTATTTGCTTGAATACATGTTATTACATTGGAAGTATTTAATAAAAAAAAGGCTTTGCATTCAACCCTGTGGTGTTCCTTGAATAATTTAAAATTGCGTTCCACAACAAAAAAAAAACCGACTTCAATTCTAACAAAATCAGTTAGTTAATTTAATTTGAAAACTAAAATACTAAAGGGATTCTGATAAAGTTTTTACGAGATCAATTTTTAAATATGTCCATTCAGATAATATTATAAGTCGGTTTAAAACTTTTTTACGCAGTTATGAGGTAAACAAACATAAAAAAATACCATCAAATCGAGAATCTCCATTTTTGAAATCGAGCTATTTTAATGAATATTTGAAAATGTTATTAAGTATACATTGTTTGCTTTAACTTTAAAAGATAGGACAGTTTTTATTCTGATAAGAAATAATATATCCGGTAGGTGGCGTTAGTTTATTTATAAAAATCATCAATCCACTTCAAATAAAGGAGTTGTAAATTCGATTGTATTTCCTTTTTCCTTTTATTTCTAAAAAAAAAAAAGAAATAGATAAAAAATAAATGAATTTTCTAGATCGGTTGCCAACTGACGGATTTATGATAGATAGATAGATAATTTATTTTTCATTACTTACAGCACACAAATTACAGTAAAAAAAAAAAAAACACACATAATACACAGTAAAAGAGGCAAAAGAATAAAAATAAAAAAGCACAAATAAAAAAAAAATACAAAAAACAAAATATATAAACTAACATTCTCCTTTCTTACCCTTCCCTTATGAGGTACAATTATTATTGAAAGACGGCCTTTTTCAGGCAGAAAACCCTGTGACGTTACGACCCCACCATCTTTTGTGCTCATTCTATTATATTATATATATTTATATTAAAATTATATTTATCCATATTAGTTAATAGGTTCCCCAGATACAGGCTCGACCCATATGGGGACCGTTGTTAATCAATTATGTAATCTACTGTTTGAAATAAAAATTATTATTATTATTATTATTCTTTTTTTAAAGTTCGCTGCTAAATTCTATCAATGATAGGAATTTTTAGATGTTTCTTGTAGCGACGATTTTTATCTCCTAAGGATATGGAGTGTTGTAAATAGCAGGATGCAGTAATAAAACATTATATGTATTTGAGATATAAAATAATAAGTTTAGTGAAAAAATACAAGACATGCCTCATAAAAATTTGACAACAGAACAAACATAAAAATAATACATTGTTCTAAAAAAGCTCAGTGTCAACAGCCAGTATTAAAACTCCAACAGACTGTGTTTTCCAATAGAGATATATCGTTTGTGTATGAATGGGCTATAGCCACACACTAATTGCTGCGGAGTTATGAGGTAACGAATTGAAAATTTCCTCTTTTTTGAAGTCGGATGAAAAAAAGAGACAGTTGGTAAACAATGCGAACGATTTATCATAAGCCAAGTTTTTATTTCATTTATTTTACATCGTAGTTATCCGTAGACATAATAAACGGGGTAATACCCATAGTAAGGGTAATACCAGTAATATTGTGGATAATTCCTATAATATTCCTTCCACAGGCAATCGTTTGTTTTCTCTGCGTTATTTCTGTTGCTTCGATGTTGAATTTGGCAGCCCGTGCGCAGTGTTATAGTCGATTTTCCATGTATCGTCGCGATTAGAATGGTAACACCTAATATCAGAAGTATAAGTGATAATGTTGACATCTGCAAAGTTGAAAAACTGTCTAAATTAGAAAAAAATAATTTGAACGATCTTGGTAGTGACCGTAGATTCGATTCCTGTAATTTTTTATGCAAGCAAAAATGGTAAACAAATGGAATGGTAAGCGTAGCAAAAACTGAATAGGAGAGAGGGAAAGAATGGGCCATATTAAGACACTTTAATAATCTATAGCATAGAATTCTAAATAATAACGAATACCTATAATTAAAGATGAATTTTTTTTTGTTTTTACAGTAATTAAATGAAAATTTATTGATTTAATAAGTTGTTTTAAGAAACAAGGAAATGGTAATCAGGAGTCTGTGATCCGACGTACTCCAAAATGATACCACTTTTATAGTTCCACTAGTGTTTTCTATATTTATTTACATAACAAAATTAAACTCACAAATTATTACATGAAGAGATACAAGAATGGTATGCAAAAATTCAAATAATTCTTTTTCTTTTTTTTAAATATATACTATATGGCTTCTTTCCAGCCATGACCAGTTTGGACATCGTTATATGATATTATTGTTAATTATAAACCAATTTTCATGATTAACAAAGTTATAAAGTTTAATTTATTATGATATAATATATATGAGTAAGTTTATTAAGATTGAAGAAATTTCTTTCTTGTTACATAAATCCCAATGTACTGATACTGTCCATGTCTATAGGCGACGGTTACCACTTTCCATCAGGTGGGCCGTCAGCTTGCTAGTCATTCTAAGTTGCATAAAATAAATCCCAAATAATTTGTATCTAGTATTACGTATCATTACTATCATTTACGTACAGAGTTTTTGTTTTGTTGATATTAAACATTGTTGTAACTTGGAAATTTACTACTATGAGAAATTCCAACACTCAGCCCAACGTTCAAATCCAATTTAGAAAAGCTTGTTCCCTAAATTGGCCCGGGCGAAAATCGAATCTGGTATCTTATATTTATATGAAATAACAGCTTGAACTGTATAGCGAAACATCTCATAATACCCATGTTCAGGAAAAGAGGCAAGATTTAAAAAACGGGTCATTATCGTACGATTCCTTTGAAGAAAAGTCCTTTAATTCCCATTGACATTTTGATTTTTTTTTTGTCATAAAGCCGAGACTCGAAAAAGGAAAATTTATAAGGATGTAATTATACATTATGGTTTTGATCGAGTAAAAATAATTGATTTTGAAACAAATGTTGCTTCAAAGTGAAACATTTTACTGGAAATATATTTAAGTAGGTATATAGATTGAGAGGGTTCCTAATTACAAAATCTTGTCAGGTCGACTTCTGGATCCATTAATTCCTAGAATATTAATTCTAGTGGTTGAATTTGAAATTTGCCATGATGTCTTCATTAATTTGACGTCATCATCATTTCATCTTCCATCGTCCCGTCATTGTATATCATTAGCATAGCACCATTTTTATTCCATTTATAAAAATACAAAATCCCTTTGTACTTACGGTGAAAATATATTCTTAAAAGGTTGAAGATTTTACTGTTGTATTCAAATTAATATAAGTTTCCCAGACTACCTACATTTATAAGAAGTCTGTTAAAGTAATATACAATGTACACAGTATGGGCGTCTAAATATGTATGTGGGACAATTTTATATCAATTCACTTGAATGCAAAACAAATTAATTTAGGAGTGTGTAATTTCTTATGCATTCATCATTACATGTGAAAGGGGATTTGCTACGGTTAGATATCTTAAACGTGGATATATGCACGTTTCAAAATGATCATAATATCAGCCGTCAACTGTCCACTGTTTAACATAGGCCTCCCACTATTGGGGGGTTTTGTCCGCTGTTACCACCCTTGGCAACTGGATTGGCAACCGCATATAGTCTTTTGTGATATTTTTAAAGATACGCTACTGCTAATTCCTCGATCATTAAGTTCACTGAATCGCCACATGCGACACCCACGGGAAGGGAAGGGATTTTAAATAAATGTAACGATTTAAATAGAATCTTAAACTGTATATTGATATGTTTCGTGTCAGTTAAAAAAATGGAGTCTAAATTGTGTCAGTCGTTAACACAACACACACTCGCGAACACGCACACGCACACGCACACGGACACGCACACGCACACGCACACGCACACGCACACGCACACGCACACGCACACGCACACGCACACGCACACGCACACGCACACGCACACGCACACGCACACGCACACGCACACGCACACGCACATGCATACGCACACGCACACGTCGGATTGTCCGAGTGTTTCAGTGTCCGAGTGTCCGAGTGTCAGAGTGTCAGAGTGTTAGAGTGTCAGAGTGTCAGAGTGTCTGAGTGTCCGAGTGTCCGAGAGTCAGAGTGTCAGAGTGTCCGAATGTCCGAGTGCCCAAGTGTCAGTATCCGAGTGTCAGAGTGTCAGAGTGTCCGAGTGCCCAAGTGTCAGTATCCGAGTGTCAGAGTGTCAGAGTGTCCGAGTGTCAGAGTATCAGTGTCAGTGTCAGTGTCTGAGTGTCTGAGTGTCCGAGTATCTGAGTGTCAGTGTCAGAGTGTCTGAGTGTCAGAGTGTCCTAGTGTCTGAGTATCTGAGTGTCCGAGTGTCTGAGTGTCTGAGTGTCTGAGTGTCTGAGTGTCTGAGTGTCAGAGTGTCCGAGTGTCTGAGTGTCTGAGTGTCTGAGTGTCTGAGTGTCTGAGTGTCTGAGTGTCAGAGTGTCAGAGTGCCAGAGTGTCAGAGTGTCCGAGTGTTAGAGTGTCCGAGTGTCTGAGTGTCAGACTGCCAGAGTGTCCGAGTGTCCAAGTGGCTGAGTGTCTGTCAGTGTCAGAGTGTCCGAGAGTCCAAGTGTCCAAGTGTCAGTATCCGAGTGTCTGAGTGTCCGAGTGTTAGAGTGTCCGAGTGTCTGAGTGTCAGTGTCTGAGTGTCAGTGTCTGAGTGTCAGACTGTCAGAGTATCCGAGTGTCTAAGTGTCTGAACGTCTGAGTCTGAGTGTCCGAGTATCTGAGTGTCAGTGTCAGAGTGTCCAAGTGTTTGAGTGACAGAATGTCAGAGTGTCAGAGTGTCTGAGTGTCAGACTGACACTCAGACACTCAGACACTCGGACACTCGGACACTGGGACACTCGGACACTCTGTCACTCTGACACTCTGACATTCTGACACTCTGACACTCTGACACTCTGACACTCTGGCACACTGACACTCTGACACTCTGTCACTCGGACACTCAAACACTCGGACACTCTGACACTGACACTCAGACACTCGGACACACAAACTCAGACGTTCAGATACTTGGACACTCGGACACTCTGACACTCGGCAACTCAGACACTCAGATACTGATACTCTGACACTCTGACACTCAGACACTCGGACACTCGGCAACTCAGACACTCAGACACTGACACTCTGACACTCTGACACTCTGACACTTATACACTCAGACACTCAAACACTGACACTCCGACACTCTGACACTCAGACACTCGGACACTCAGACACTCTGACACTTAGACACTCAGCGCTGACACTCTAACTCTCAGACACTTAGACATTCGGACACTCGGACACTCAGACACTCTGGCACTCAGACACTCAAACACTTAGACACTCGGACACTTGTACACACAGACACTCTGACACTCGGACACTCGGACACTCGGACACTCAGACACTCAGACACTCAAACAGTGACACTCAGACACACGGACACACAAACACTCTGACACTCTGACACTCTGACACTCAGACACGCGGACACTCGTGACACTCATACACTCAGACACTCGGACACTCGGACACGCTGACACTCTGTCTCTCAGACACTGACACTTGGACACTCAGATACTCAGGCACTTAGACACTCAGACACTCTGAAACTTAGACACTTAGACACTGACACTGACACTTAGACACTCGGACACTCAGACGCTTTTACACTCAGACACTCGGACACTCGGACACTCATACACTCGGACACTCGGACACTCGGACACTTTGACACTCGGACACTTTTTGTAATGATGGTTGTTAAATATCCCACTGTTATATGTCCATTGTATACATACAAACATGCTGTCATCTATATCTATATTGATCAATGGTATATCTATATATATATTAATCAATGGTACTTGTAAAGATAATCAACACTCATTATTAAATGTGTGCTGATTATCAGTGTTCTCATGATTTCTTTAATTATATCAGATATACTTATTTTAATATAAATAATGTATGTAAGTACATTACTCCACAATGAACCTATTGAGTCTTTACTTATTTAGCTAATGTTTTATTTATTGTGCTTACAATTCTCAGATCAAAGGTCGTATGAAAAATATATGTATAATTTTTTAAAAATTTTCGCTGTGAGGTTCAACAATTCCTTAGCAATATTATCAGATCGACCGACAACCAAATGGTTTCCCGTGGAAACCGTCGTAGTTGATTTTTGTTGAATTCGTCACGACGGGCCAACTGACCTGCTTTTATCCTCATCTATCATATTTGACTGGTACCCCACCAGCGTATTCCAAAGGCGCAGACTTCCCTTCTTTTTTTACCCATTAAAATATGTTCCATTTAAAAAAAAATATTGTTCCCTCAGTTTGTTTGCCGTTGCTTTATGTAATTCAAAATAAAAGTAAAAAAAAAAAAAATATTTTAAATCCAACAATAGTAAAACAATAATACGACATATGTATATTCACATGTAGTTCCACGCAAGTATTGCATTAGACATCAACGTTCGTTAAATATTATTTTAATAAGCACTACGCACGACTTACCTATCAGTATATCTGGGCATCTAATTCCGCTATTGTGCGTCCAACAATGGATATTTCTCGTATGTTTGGATGTATGAATGCGTATCAGAATGAAAGCTCGTTAACTTCAATAAGACTTCAAAAAAGAAGGAACCTCTTTCTGACGGTTCTTACTTCAATACGGCTGTATTTTTTAAAGTTTGTTACCTTATAACTCCGTCAGTTGTGAACCAATTTGGTAAATTCTTTTTTATCTGAAAGGATATACTTACAGGTTGGTGCCATAGAAATTTTATCAAAATCGGTTCAGTAATTTAGTTTGATATCAAAATAACTGGTTTTGCCACAAATTAAGAAGGTTTTAGGCGACAAAGAGAGTTTTATGGTCGAGGGATGGGTAGCAGCGTCCCTCTTTAAACATCACCAAAGTCTAACTACGGTTGCCAACCTGCCTGGGAAGCGTAGCAACTTCTGGCAAAGTCCACTCTTATGGGAGAGGTTTATGTTCAACAGTGGACAGTGAACGGCAGATAGAATAGAAAAACACTCTGACTCTTAGATAATAAATTGTAACTTAATACGTTATACTGAATCTATGGTTTGACCAGGCCCTCTAGACAAGTGACAAGCAAATTCGTCGACTCCATGAGTTGGAATGAGATATCCAATATTGCTATCTCTTTCTATCCGACGGACTCGCTAGCGATGTCGATTCCATCGTCGTATTCGCATGCCACTTGTCTATAGGGCCAGATCGCTATTACCTCGGTATATGGCTACCTATTGTTTACGTCATTGTTGTTGGCATCTTGATGAAGTCCTCTGTTATTGTATATACATACAGATAGATTGGCTACGCTCATTGTGATCTAGTCAAGTAGAAGGGTTTGATTTTGATACCACTAGGCAAGCAATAAGCATACGTATTGAAAATTAATGAATAAATGCATTGTTTGTTGAAATACGTATGTATAAAATGTATTGGTTACTTACCTTTAATATTGCTTGGTAAGATATGACCTTTTGCGTAATTGTTGTTTTCAATGTACATTATTTTTATACTTTATTTAGTTACTGATTTGATATTACAATTAAATTGAAAAGTAGTTTATATTCTTCACAATACCAGTAGCATATCTATTATTTTTAATATTAATTTAATATTAATTTAATTTTGTGTATTTCCTCATCTCTTCCAGTCTTAGAAATCAACAGAATGCCTTATTAGTGAACCATAGAGTTCATCATATAGTTCATTGCTATTGAGTAATATGTTACAAAACCATGCCAAATATTATTAGAGAAATTATTGAAGTGAACGTTAGAACGTCATACGAAAGCGCCGGCCCTAATTGAGACGACATAGTGTCCCAACCCGTATTTGAACTGTTGCTTAATTCACTGATCTACTAAATGTATGTAAATAATTATAATTACACCTACCAGTATACTGTAGAGTGGAATTGAACTCGTAAACCGTATGTTTTTTTTTTATACAACTTAGAATGGCCAACAAGCTGACGGCCCACCTGATGGAAAGTGGTAACCGTCGCCTATAGACATGAGCAGTACCATGAACATAACAGAGTATACTGTATCGCCCATGATACCCCCCATGCGTTGTCATTCCTGAGGACTCAGGTGTTATTCCTCTGTACCCTGTAAATTCACGCAAAATAAAAATAAAAATGGTCCCATACGATAAATATTTTCATTAAAAAAAAAAAAATAACGAAAAGTTTAACCTTTCATGCTTCGGAAAAGGGTTTCTTAGTAATGGGGACTTTTTGAAACATGGCTATAATACATTAAAAGAATATAAAAAAAAAACAACGCCATTGTGGGAGGAAGGGATTGTAAGTAATGGGCATTAACGGCCCTATTAGCAATATAGCTTATCAGGTCGGCCTCTATGCAGTTCCCCCTGGAAACCATCGTGGTTAATTATTGTTGAATTCGCTGCAACGGGTCAACTGACCTGCTTCGTCCTCATCTATTATTCCATAGTGGTGCCTCGCCGGTGTATACCGATAGCACGGGGTCACTATTTCATTTACATCTTTTAAAAAATGCCATTGTGTAAAATGCTGTATTGTACGTAAAAACTATAATATTTAAAAATCTCCTTGATTGTTGTTGTCCTAAGGAATGGCAATGCGTGAAGGGTACCATGGCCTCTGTAATTTCCAACGTCCATTCCGTTTTACATCAGCTTGTTTGCCAAAAACAAAAACAAAATTAACTGCATTAGATTACCTGCTAATCATTTTCTCTCTTACTGCATTAGGTTGACTGGAAGAGATTTCTTTCAGAGATAAGTCCCTTCATGCTAATAAGTTGTATTGATTATGTACTAATTTTGTCACGATTAAAAAAGCTTATAGCTTATAGTTTGTTTATAGCTTAATAGAAACTATAAAAAAACTCCTATGAATGACAAAATTTGAATGATAAATGTGCATGGTGTTAGTCGATCATGCATGGGCTTTTAGCGACCATGTAATTTCAGATATAGTACATTTAATACACATAATGTTAACAGAGATTTAAAAGAGTAACTGTTGAGTTTCTTGCGAGCTCTTTCTCAGCAGGTAACAATTCTCGGAACCCTGCAGTAGATTTAAAAAAAAAATGACGATTTAAAAGTGTTTGTAAACAAGTCTATTTATTAGGGGAACCACTTGGAGGTCGATCTGATAGGGGATATTGCTAGCAATGGGGCTATTAAGCCTAATTACTAACAATCCCTTCTTTCTCTACCATTTAATTTGCTTCAATAATAAAAAAAAAAGCAAAATGAAACTACATTGATTTGGTGATAAATTTGTATTAATTAATACAACAGTAAAGTATGGAGTAAGCGTAATTAGAGCGACTTGGGTACCACCGTTGTTGCTTCTCTTTGAATTGCCAACTTTCTGTCTTTTCAACTATTCAGCGCACTTTACACCGAAATGATTACCAGAATAACAGTAAATTCTGGAGCAATCTCAACGGGGAGGACTTGCACAGCGCCCTCTGTCGTGGACAGTTGTACTTCCTGACGCACATGGCGAATCTCCTGTCGCATTCGCACAATTTCGCCGCGCACCCGTTGATGAATTGATGCTGTGTGTCGTAGTTCTCGAGAGCACACAGAGGCTCGCCTTTGTAGCACTTCCAGTAGTAAGGCTGGAAGTAGACCGTAAAGATCGGACAGTAGATGTTCTCGTAGCAATCGTCGTGCATTTTGCAACATCTGTACGAGGAGAGAGGTTCAATTAAACGGTGGCAATTGGTGGCGAGAATTTACGAAATAATGTGTAATAATATGTATTTGGATCAAAGTCGATTTATCGTTATTCAAAATGACGGACGTACACAATTCGGTTGATTTTTTTTTATGTTTGTTACTTTACAACTTAGTCAGTTGTGAACCGATTTGGAAGATTCTTTTTTCATCTCAAAAGATATACTTACAAATTCGTTCTATAGAAATTTTATCAATATCGGTACAGCAGTTTAGTGTTCAAATCAAAATAACTGGTTTTACTACAATTGAAGTTGGATTTTTTGTGGTTTACATTCTTCATTGTTTTAACGTATAACCCAATTTGCATGCTGGTTTAATGAACAACATATTTGATATTCATATACCCCTTCCTTTCCCGTGGGTGTTCGTAAGAGGCGACTAAGGAAGGGCGAGGGATGGGCAGCAGCGTCCCACTTAAAACATCTGTAAAAGCCTAATTGCGGTTGCCTATCTATCTGCCAAGCATGACAACCACTGGCCAATCTCTCTTTATGGGGAAGGCTTATGTCCAGTAGTGGACAGTTAACGGCTGAAATAATATATATATAATTAAAAAAAAATATATTAAATAAAGTGTTCATAGATAATAAGGTAACTAGAAACAATTTGACTAACCACTTGCCTATGTTAGTGCATATGTTTGTGTAAACGTAAAATTATATTACGCTGAATGAAAGGTACGCATTCTCATACTTTATTTGTGTCTGACCGGTTTCGCCATTAAGAGACATTCAAATTTTATATGAACGTGCTGGGCTAGGTTGTTCACACTTTTAGCAGCCGACGTCTAAACTTAGCCGGTTTTTTTTATTAACTTTTTTATTTTACACGAGTATATATATATAGCAGCTTGTCTGGTATATTTAAATATATGGTGTAATATTATGTAACTTTAGTTAATTAGGTAATTCGTCGATTGATTTCTGGTAGTTGTATGTTTGATTTTGCTTGGTAGACAAGATTGATTTTTAAAACGGAGAACTATTGGGCAACCGGTTGATCCATTGTTGAGCAAGTGTTACTATCCAAAAAATAAACCCTTTATTTATATAAAAGTAAAACCTACAAACCTATTTTAACTATTACACTGTTTTGATATTTTCTTTTAAATTAGGAATTTAGCGGAAAAGTTTAATAGCTAAAATAGATTTAAGAGAGGTTTGGTGCTTTTATCAATAAGGGGAATATGCTTTCCAGGTTTTATATAGTCCATATTGATTAATATTATAACTGTGAAAGTGAGTTTGTTTGTTTGTTACATCTGGGCACCTTAAAAACTTAACTATATTTGGTATATATGTACTATATGGGATGGAGAAGGCTATGGCGTACTTTTTTATTCTGGTTAGCGAAGATATCCCAGTCACGTGGACTAAGTCACGTGTAAAAGCTAAAAAAAAAATTGTAGTTCCATTGAACTTTTTGTTTCTTGCATTACTGCATTGTGCTTTACTTCTGTATCCTTTTACGAAAATGGAAGTAATCAACTTGTTTATTACCGGGATAAAAATCGGGATTCTTTTGTTTCGGTAGAGTTAGCGTTAACTACCATTGTACACTTTCCACTTATGTAACAATGCGAAAGAGTATCATGTTATCTTTTTCTATAAATTTGAATTGCAAAAAAGCTGACGGGGCTTTAATGGAAAATGGAAATAGTCGCTTATATACATGAAGAGTTTCATGGACAACGGTACATCCTGTGTAATGCTAATAGTTCCCTTCATACTTTGCTATTTACGTGGACTAAAGTGTGCCTGCGTAGTGGGTATGGCGCCATGTGGTCCTGGCATAGAATGTGCCACCTTTTCTTTTCCCATGGGCGTCGTAAGAGATGATTACGGGAACTAAATGGTTGAAGGATGAGCAACTGTGTCCCTTGTAACACATCACCAAAATCTTATCACCAAGCCGTTATTTGTCCATTTCTAAACATAGGCCTCCTTCATAGATTGGAGGGTTTTGCCACTAGTTGCTACGCTTGGTAGGCGGGTTCGCAACCGCAATTGGACATTGGTGATGTCTCGAGAGGGACATCACCAAATATTTCTACATTCCCTTAAATGTTTGAACCGAAATATAGATATATGCAAGCGAAAATTCATTTCCAAGTAGATGCTTGGTAGTATCAAGTAGAAACATCTTTTTTATGCAACTTAGAATGGCAAACAAGTTGACGGTCCACCTGATGGAAAGTGGTAACCGTCGCCTATAGACGTGGGCAGTACTATGGACATAACAGAGTATACTGTTTCGCCCATGATACCCCCCCCATGCGTTGCCATTCCCGAGGACTCAGGTGTTATTCCTCTGTACCCTCTAAATTCACGCCATATCCCACCGTTCAAACCGGAACACAGCTATGCAAACACAACTGCTTCACGGTAGAAACAAACATGAATAAGACTTCAAATATTTTACAACGAGTACCTGTCTATGCCATCGGTCGGTTTCCCAGAGCCCAACAGGCCACAGTAGCAACCATAACCCTTGTAGGACAGGGGTTCGCAACCAGTGGCACAGTAGATCATGTTGTACAGATGCAGAAGTCCTCGTTTGCCGCGGCTGTCGCGTCTGCCACCGTTCGAGCGTGGGTTCACATATCTGTAAAATAAACAAGAAATCCGTGCAAATGGCATGTGGAAAATAAAGTAGGTTTTAGTGCGTTTATATAGATAAGTTATTCGATTTTTATCTGATTTTGTATTGTTGGAATAATACATATTTACGTTTACAACAGGTCAGTAACAATTGTGCTAATCGACTTAAAATTTATCATTATAAAAAAATATTAGGTACAAAATTAATAATTAATATTATTAATAAATTTAATTAATTATTAAATTCATTATTAATTGATCATTTCAATTTTGAATAGCATTTTCCTTTATTCGAAGGAGATTTTGTACAAAACTTTGTGTACTTCCGTGATTGTGTACGTCCGTTTTTACTGTTGAGCACTTGTGCTTAAATAGTTGTTTCGGTTTAAAGGGGGTCAATAGAAAATAAGGTTTGAAGGGGAATGAAATCACTAACACCACCATTTTCAGGAATGGAAACGAATGGGGGTACCATAATGGAATATTCTGTAAATCCCAGTTGCTGTTTATGTCTATAAGCGATAGTTTCTACTTTCCATCAAGTGGATCGTTGCCAGACGATTTTTCATAATAAAATAACCGTATAAATTATATTAACTATTATTTTAAGCAAAGATGGCTACTGATAAAGATTATGATAATAGAGACAAAGCCCATGCATGAGTAATACATTGTTGACTAAATATATGAGCAACTGGACTCACCTAATGCCTTTCAAAAATTCTTCTTCTGGTATCGAATACCGGAACGGATCTTGTGCGAACCCTACTAACAATCGACTTTGGCTTGACTCTTCTTTTTTTCTCTCTTCAGATTCATTGTCCTCTCTTCCCAACTCATTTTCTTTCCATTCTTCTTCGTTCCTATAGTCTATTTGTTTATTAAAACTACGTATAGGTATAGTATATGGCCTCGGTCGGTGCTGTAGTTGTGGGTAGTTGGTATTATTATATATTTTATCGTAGGTGAGCTCTCTCGACCAATCTGCAAAGGATTTTTGATTAATATAGTTTTTCATATGGTTTGAAGTATTTCTTTATTGTGGTAAAGTTCAATATTGTTTTTTTTAATGGATTAATAATTCAAGTTTTGTTCCACAAAAAAAAAACCGATTTCATTGTGACAAAACCATTTATTTTACTAAATTACTGAATCGATTTTGATAAAATTTCTTAGGGAGAAATCTCTGAATATATATCTTTTCAGATAAAAACGAACTTTTCAGATCGGTGTAGAACCGATGGAGTTTTGAGCTAACAAAAATAAAATAAAAAATTGAATTAAGGACCTTCTTCTATTTTATTTATTTATTTACAAGAAACGTGGTAAGTGTATAGATGTTAACAATAAGTATAAGTTCTCATATTTCGCTATAATTAGTGCGGATGGATAGGAAACATGATATGGATATTCATCTTGCACTTAAATCTAGAATTTAAAAACTCGAAATAGTATACTCTGTTATGTCCATGATACTGTTCATGTCTATAGGCAACGGTTACCACTATCTATCAGGTGAGCCATCGGCTTGTTTGCCATTCTAAGTCGCTTACAAAAATCAATTAATTAATACTTTAATACAGTATTTAGGATTTTAAAATATGTATTTATTACGTATGATAGAGGAAGACTTTTTACAAAGGTCGTTTGATTGATTATGTCTTTTTAACTAGCGTTTCTGCAGAGAAGTAGCTATATTTGTATAGATGTGTTTTGATGTGGCAAAGAAATTGTAGGATACGAAGGCATCAAGACATCATGCATATTACACGCACTTTCTGCAAAGGGGTCCGTTCATCATTTTGTTAGTTATTTTAAGTATAGATTTAGATCAGTAAAAGGTAGTGGTGTCAAAGGGATATAATAATAATAAATCTTAATAATAAATTATAATAATAAAAAATCTTTTATTTTCAGGTATATACCCAAAATTTACAGTCATTGCGATGATAATTTAATTATAATTAATAAAAAATTTTACATATGAATATTTTATAAATAGTAAACAATGAAGAATTAAAACAAAATAGCAAATAATAGGGAACCTACGCTTTGAAGGTGTTAATAAAAAATATTCACTGAAGTAGCACCTGTAGATATTAAATTTAAAAGCAAACAATAATTCAAATTTAAATGAAATAAAAATGGATAAAATGAAATGAAATAAAAATGAATGAAATAAAATGAAATGAATGAAATGAAAATAACTTTTTTTAAATGACATGAAATGAATTAATTTCGAACCATTAACAAAATCCTCTGTTGTGTCACGTACTAGATACTCTATGCCAACAATCTCATAGACAATAATAGAATAGGTGGAATTGTTATGGTCACAGATAACGTACTCGTATTATGTCTATGAATGGATCATAGCTGTGTTTAAAGGAATCAACCAACTGTGAAAATGAATGGTTCAATCATAATAGTGTAACATATATAGTTATATATCCATTTAAAATATTATCATTGGTTATTAGTTCTTAGTAGTAGTAGTATTTACTACCAGTAGTGAATAATAGGAGTAATTTTAATAAATGAGGATAAATGTGTCTTATTTGTGTCAATCTAGGATATTGTCACTCTGTACGTCATATTTCATTCAAATTAAAATAATAAGCATCTAAACATTTAAAGATCTTTTTTTCTTTCTTAATATTATTTTTCAGTTTTCCTTCTTAATATTATTTGGAATTATTTATTGTTACTAAATGAACTAATTTAATTATTATATAATTAAGATTTTCATCTTATTATTAATTAAATATTGAATTATCGAATTAAGATTTTAATTATATGTTATTTAGTAATTATTACTAAAGGCTTTTAAATTAAGTCAACATATTTATAGAAGAGAATAAATATCAGTTGAAACTATAAGGTACAAATTGAGCTATTTGAAATCAAAGAGACTTGTACTTGTTCAGTAACCGAATCGTTTCTCCATTCAGTAGCCGTAGTGTGCAGAGATAGGATAGATAAACTCTTTATTTGGGTCAAGAGATACACAAAATTTTTTTTATAGGTAACATAATCGTATCGTCATATTAGTTGTCATTAATTGCCCACTGCAGAACATATGTATTGAGTACTAACGCTTACTGCATGGCAATACGGATATATAATAATTTGCCTGTAAGTATCAGGAATTGTAATAATTTATCCTATTACAAAAAAATGCTCTTCAAGCTATTTATGGATAAATGTTATTACTCAGTAAATGAGTTTTTAAATGATAAAATAATTATAAATGATTAGATATGTGTTCACTTTGTTTTGTGTATATTTTTAATGATTTTATATTACAATGAATTGACATGAATAGATACAAAAAGTGACAAAATATTATTGCATATGTTTATGTTATTATAATGAAATTATTTTAATGTTTTGTTTAATAAGTTTTTATATTTGCACGCCTACAGTGTGGCAGAATAAGATTGGACTATTTTTCTTGTAAAGCAACACTAAATAAAAAGGTACCTTATTCCAGCAAATAAATGATTTCAATTTCAATTTCTTCTGGGAGGTGGAGGTTCACTAGTAGTTGCTACGTTTAGCTGGCGGTTTGGCAACCGCAGTTAGGCTTTGGAGATGTTTTAAGAGGGACGCTGATAGCCATCATAGGAAACATCAATACGGAATATAATTTAGCTAAAGGGTTCTCTAAAGAAATTTGTTATTAGATTATAACTTTATTTAGAGATATAATAATCTTCGAAAAATAATTTCATTTTGATTAAATATATATTTAAATTTATAGTTATCGTATCGTATTCTATGTAACGTTGACTATTATTTTTCTTATTTATTTTGCATAATGTGTGTATGAGAGATTCATCATGAAAGATTTTTTTTCTTTTTGTTGAAATAGAAAAAAAAAACCACTATCACAATTGTTGAAGCCATTCATTAATTTTCTGCTTCATTCACGTGCATTAACGTGGCATGCGTCTGAATTATCGATTCAAACTTGAACTCTAACGAAATGTAATTTATTTTCCGTCTAAATAATTATTATATTTTAATATTCCATCATTAATATTTTATGATTATGTAGTCACGCTTTCTGTAAAAATTAAATATTATTTCTAAAATTATGTATAATAATTGCAATGATTATGGACATATTATGTAATGCATTGTACGCGCGGCTACCTCGTCTTATAACTAGATCTATCATATGCATAAATTAAAATAAATTAATTTATTAACACTTTAATTATTTATATAAATTAGAGGAAAGTTTAAAATGAATAATAATAATAGAATATTGTATGGTAGTAGTAGATAAGGGCGTATCCTTTCCATCCTGTCCTGCCGTGTGGTCCTGGAATAGAATGAACCACCCTTCCTTTCTTTTGGGTGTCGTAAGAGGCGATTAAGGGAACTTAATCGTTGAGGGATGAACGGCAGCGTCCCTCCTAGACCATTACAAAACACCTAACAGCGGTTGCCAAACGTGGCAACTACTGGCAAAACTCCCCCATAGGGGAGGCTTATGTTCAGTAGCGGAGAGATAATGGCTGATAATATTTGGTATAATTTTACCATTAATTTCCTATAGTCGCCTCTTACGACATCCACAGGAAAAGAAGTGGTGGCGTATTCTATGCCGGGACCATACGGCAATAATAACTTTATTTGGACTTATAGGTGCTGTTTTACCATACCTGTGTACAATATTAGATAACCTGCAACTGATAATTGGCATCATTTTATTACAGACAGTCTGTCGTGACCAATTGTTATTATATGCTGACCCAGCCTTTGGTTATTAGCATGATGATAAGTCATCAATCAACTCATCACTCGCATAGTTAGTTTCAATTATTTTCTAGTAATTTATATTTCATATACATGTTAAAAACTTATTTTATGTGTGGTAACTCCCTGTTCTAAAAAACAATGTCAAAAATAAATCCACTCAAAGGAATCATGATTTTTTTTATACCACTGAGGTGGCAAACAAGCATACTGCCTATCTGATGGTAAGCGGTTACCGTAGCCTATGAACATCTGCAATACCAGAAGTATTACGCGTGCGTTGCCGATCCTGAAGAAACCTCTTTACCCTTCTTTTTTGTTTATAATGAATAAACTCAATAAATTTTTTCACCTACAATAATTATTTCAATAATTTTTTCAGCTACATTATCAGCGAGTGATATGGGCTGTATTTTATCTAATATATGCATGCAATCCATCTTGTATGCATGATGCATACAACATGCATCATCATCATCCACTGTGTAACACAGTTCTTTTCCATAATGAACGATCTTGAGGCACTTGCATCCATTGACTCTCAGCATTTGAGATCGTAGCTCCATTTAATGAGGGGGGGGGGTCCTCCTACACTGCGTTTGTCCGTACGAGATCGCCACTCAAGAACCTTTCTTTCTCATTAGTTGTCGGTTCTTCGAGCCATGTGATCAGCCCATTGCCACTTCAGCTTGCTTGTCCTTCGGGTTGTGTCTGTCACTTTGATTCTTTTACGGATATCCTCATTTCGTACGCATGGATTTTGGAAAATCAAATAAATAGACTTTTAGATCGCATATAAAGGAAAAACATATCAGATTTAAGTTAGGCCTTCAGAAATACAACTGTAAAAATTTTATTCAATTTGCTGTAATAGTTTTTGCGTGATATCGACACGAATGTACAGACAGGCAAAAATTCAAAACAAATATTTTTTTTTAGCTTGCATTGCTTCTATTAAAGTCTAGGTTCAATTTTATTTAACTTTCTTTTTTTTTCTTGCACCTTTTCACCGTTCTAGATTACCCGCTAATCATTTAGTCTCTCACTGCATTGGATTGGCTGGAAGAGATCTATTTCAGAGATAAGACCACCCTTGCTAGCAAATTGGTAAATTAATCGCTATATCTTTTTATTTCAAGTGTAATAAAAATAAATATAATGCATGATATTTTTTCTTTTAGCTACATGCTTGCTATGTGAATATAAAATCATCATTT